TCCAAGAAGTTCAGAGGATGGCCACAAGTGCTACCCTTGTCCCGGACTCCAGTCCGGAAACGGAACCTGCAGCAACAGAGGAGTTTGCGCCGATGACGACTTGGTCCAGAGGCTTGAGCTTGCTGCCGGTACAATGATCCCGTCAGAAGTCCATGTGCTGCGCGGCACGGGGCGGTGCACCTGCAACGCCCACTTCTTCGGCGAGGACTGCAGCCAGGGTGAATGCCCAGCCGGACGAGAGCCGACGCTGGACTTGACCTCCAGGTCCACCTTTTGCCGGACGTGCTTACAAGGCACTGGAAAGGAGCAGATGGGGAACCATGCTTGTGGAGCCTGTCCTCCGGGAGCGGCCGCGAACGGCACTGGCTTCTGTGCTCAGTGCGATGTGGGCAGCTACCAGGCGCGTCCCGGGCAGGCGGCCTGCCTGCTTTGTGAAGCAGGCAGAGCCCCCAGCGGCGATGGCACCCACTGCCAGCGATGTGTCCGGGGCACCTTCGCAGCTGCTGGTTCCCCTGCGTGCCGCCGGTGTGACAAGGGCTTCTATCAACCCACTCCAGGCCAAGCCGAGTGCCTTCTGTGCGATGCGGGCTCACGCACGGATGATGGCCACACGAGCTGTGCTCCCTGCCCTTCTGGCACCATCGGGAGGCTTTCTGGCGCCGCTTGCAAGCCCTGCTCGATGTTTACCACTGCCGATGTCAGCCGTACGCACTGCGTCATTGACTGGGTCCTCATGGTGGGTGCAGCCGCTTTCACGATCCAGAGTTTGGTGTTGTTCCAGGTTCTGGTCTTTCTTCCCGGGGTGCGGAGGTCTATCGCTGACATAACCTGGTCGGTGGTCGATGAAGCCGTGATCCTCACAACGCAAGGCAGCCATCACTTTGGTTCCCGGCTTATGAAGGTGCGACTGCAGGATACGGAAGTCCCTTGGCTGGACCACGGTTCCAAGAATCTGTTCCTCTACGTACGAAGGTTGTCCCCGACACAGCTCCAGCTGTTCACGGAGCCGACTCTTCCTTTGACACAAGTAAGTGAAGCCTCCATCGGCACACTGAAGCCGTTGTTCATGGTCGAAGCCTTCGGCACCGTGTTCCTTCGAATCCCGGTGCTGATATGGCTGGCCATCGTTGCAGTAGGCCTTATTATCACTTGCAGCCTGGTCCGGATCCCTTGGTGGTATGTAGTACTGACAGCTACTCTGGATGCTGCTTCGCTCCTTTCCCTGCAGATCCGTCAAGCTGCGGCAGGCTCGCGCACTCCCCTGCGAAGCCTTCTGCGCAAGTACGAGGAGCATCTGCAGAGTGTGAACCCGTTTCCAGTTGCCTGCGAACCAGGCCCCAACCGGTCGGTAAGCGTCGCGCAGGTGCTGCACCTCAATGAGTTCTTTCGGCCGTTGATTCAGCATAGGAACATGTACTACATTTGCCCAAATATTATCAAGCCTACGACCAGCAAGTGGAAGCTTTCCTTTGCTGAAGTCGCGGGCAATGGAATGGTCGACTGGTTCATCTCTCACTTCTGGGGACTGCCCTTCAACGATTTTGCTCACAGCCTGCGGGCGCACGCCGTGCAAGTTGGTGGCGGCAACTGGGAAGAGCTCCGCTACTGGATTTGCAGCTTCAGCAACAATCAGTGGCGTTTGGATGAGGAGATCCCGCCTGGCGCCTCACCGAGGGAATCGTCCTTCTTCAAGGCGCTCACAGCACCTTCATGCCAGGGCACCGGCATGATGCTGGACACGGAGGTCACTCCCTTAAAGAGGTCCTGGTGCCTCTTTGAGATGTTGCATACCTTCCTCCAGCACGAAGCCAGCCAGAGTGTGCCTCGCTTGGTGCCATTCATGGGCTTGTGCATGCTGACGCCGAACGGGGTGCTCAATGCCGGCCGGGGCAGCTTGGACACGGCTCTGAAAATCGGGCTGCAACTCGCCAAGCTGCGCTTAGAGAACGCCTCTGCCACTCGAGCAGAAGACAAGCAGCGCATCGACGACGAGGTCCGCAACTCCCCGGGTGGATTCGCGGCCATCAATCGCAAGCTGCGCGGTGAGATCAATCTCGTTTTGGAGCACATGTCTGCGCGATTCACAGACGACCTGACAGCGCTGACCTCGCAGTTGCATGAGAGGGATGTGCAGGATGAAGACAGTCCACGACCGGAGCAGCAGGAGGGCACCTCGGAAGCCCCAGATGTGGCATGTACGCAAGAGCCGGGAAGCCACGGCTGGTGGTGGAGACGATGGCTGTGGGGAGCTGTGTACGCCTCGCCAAAGCATCAATAATTCAGTTGTAGTTGGGAGCTTCCAAACCTGTAAGAATCCGAAGAATGGACGCTTGAAGTGTTGTTTGCTTGAAGTGATGGTTCGATCTCACAACGACCCAACGAGAGGTCTGCATCTGGACCCTTTAGATGAGAGAGGTTCTATTGGAAGCTCCTTGTTCTAGCCTCCGCGGCTGACGACCCCAGCCCAGCCTGCAGCCTGACCTGGACTCTGCTTGGGAACTCTCCTTTCCTAGCTATCATTGGTGCCTCAAGACACCGGCAAAGGCATTTTCATTATTGGGATCCTAAGGAGGGCGCAGTAGGTATGTGCGTTCCAACTGTTTAAATATGCCAAGGAGCTCAATGCACCTTACAAGCAGGCGCGGGAAGAATGCTGTTGCACAGGTCCACACGGACGGGAAGGTCTGTTCACAAGACCTGCGCCCTACAGCACAACTTAACCTGACGAAGAGCAGGCAACCGGTAAAGCGCAGGGCGGCTCGCATATGGCTCACAACCTTCTGCTGAGGATCGATGTGATCCCCCACGACTTCCTGAAAGAGTGGATGGAGGAGCCATAACCCCAAATCCTATAAGCCTTGAGCCGCAGCGAGTACGAAGCTGGCAGAAGACGCTCTGATGGAGGACTTTGAGAAGCTGGGGGATGCGCTGAGCCGAGAGACTTCCTACGTCGCGAGCCTGGCGAGGCTCGAGCCCTGGCAAAGAGGGGCGCTTGAACTTTTCGGTTCAAACTTCCTTCCAAAGAGTCTTCAACACAACGGTCACACCAGGGATCCTGCGCCACGGAGCCAGTCCAGTTGTTGCAGCCCAGCATCGAAGTGTTTATCATCGGAGTAATCCTTGCGCCCACGCCACGGGTTTTGTACATGCAGTCGCTACGCCTGCTTACTGCCGTCACCTCGGGCTGTGTCCCATGTGCGCTTGGCTAGTCTCGCTGTGCTATGCGGTGCATCTTGGTGACTGCGAGAGACGCTTCCATTCCGAATTCAAGTAGACTTCAGGGTTGTCAAAAAGGTTCTCAAGGTTCACAGCTTGGCTGGTTCTACACTGAATGTTTCTCAAAATAATGTTGAGCATCATGCCACACTTGAGGGTAAGTGCACAAGTGGAGCATCTGGCCTGATAAACGCAAGCCAGGGCAAGCCCGCTGCAAGCGTTGGCTTGACATGAACACGTTTTGCTGAGCAGCGCATGGTATGGTTACCGCAGAACGAGCAGCGAGCCGCCTAAGTTCGAAGAAGCCTATCATAGCAGAGCATTGCAGCCTTGCTTCGGGAGAAATTTTGGGGGGATCTCGTTGGGAGGTCCATGAGCCTGGCCATGGAAGAGTTCTACAGCAACTTGAGGCGTCCCCGTCCCCGTTTTTCTGTGGGCCAGGCCGTAGGTTGCGTGTAGGACAGAGGCTGGGATTTTCGGATTATGCGCGGCATGTGCACTGGGAAAGCTGCCCACTCGATGGCCCCAAGGTCTGTGGGTGTCTCCGCCGTGACGGGCGCCGGCTGTGAGGATTTTGAGAAGGCCATGGTCGACGCTTGCAAGGAGCTAGACAGCTACACCTAGTCAGTGCGGCTTCGAAACTATAGATGCTCGAAACACCAGGAGTTCGAGGAGAGCTACGTGCCTTTCCTGCTGGAGCAACGCCGAGACCTCGAGGCAAAGCGCCGGGCCGCCGTCGAGGAGCAGGCTGGGCGCAGAGCAGCTTGGGGTCTTTGAGGAGGCGCCGATCAGGTGAGGGCTCAGCGCCCAAACACGAACAAGCACAATCATCTTTTTTGCTTCGCGTAAGCGAGAGATTCAGTGTGAGAAGGGGGCCGTTGTCGTGTTGTCGTGGGAGGTGAAGTCCTTCGAGCGGGGCCTGGACCGTGCGAAACGTGGCCACCAAGAGCTGGAGAGCGAGGACGTCCATCAGCTCCTCGCTCTGAGTCTTGGGGTTCGGGGTTCCAAACATCACCTGCTTGGCATGCAGCAAATGCAGCAAGGCTTGAGGAGGATGTCAGGAACTTCTCCATCGGAGAGCATGAGATGGACTAGGCTGCAGGACGCAAGAGTGCTGTTGCAGAAATGATGGGTGCTTCTGTGTTTCCTGGCTCGTGTGACATGGACGAAGGCAATGCCTGCAAAATCGCCGGCCGCAGCTGTGTTTGCTTGTCAGTTCCCATCTTGGGCGTTCGAACTGAGTTCGGACTGGGCTTCAGAGCCTCGCCTGAGTTCCATTCGCAGGCCACAGCCGCCAGGGCCGAACCGAAGGTGTCGGGGCCTTTTTGTATCTTTTGCCCGCAGGCCCGCCGCAGGGACCCCGCCCGCGCGCGCGATGGTGCATCGGCTTCTTCTGGCAATCGTCGCTGTTCTGCGCTCAGTCCACAGCGGTCAGGTCTGTTCCAAAAGGCGGATCATTCCTCTAACCTCTAGCGGTTCCAGCGGCTTGCCATGCAATGCATGAAACCCATTTACGACATTGCATTACGTGGATCTTCCAGACGATGCCCTTCCTTTTTTGCCCGGAGAGCCTGCTTCAGGCCTCGGCCCTTGGCCCTAGGCTAGGAAAGGTGATGCAAGCGAATCAGAGGCTTCGTCTGGGTTGTGGAGCTTGTGGAGCCTCGCCTGGCTGGGGCTTTTGTCACCCCTTGCTTCTCGGTAGACTTTCCTGTTTCAAATCCTCCACAGCTCTGACTGTTGAGCTCCGAGCATGGCTTGAGGTTGAGGCTGTCCGGGACTCGGACATGCAGCTGGAGAGCAGTGAAGGACATGGGACCCTCGGCATGAACCGGTTGCTATCGGTTGATCTATATAGGGCAAAAGCTTGGGAAAAGCTACAGAAATCGCTCATGTCCTGCATTGCGGGCTTAAGGAAGATGCACCACAGAGCCCACCATCATCATCGCCACCACCTTCACCACCACAAGCACGTGGACCAGGTCGGCACGTCTGTTTCGGCTCGGCAGTATTCGGGTAGCCTCGCGTTGAGTGAGGAGGCGCAGCTTGAAACTGCCGGTGCAGACCGAGGCGGGCGACAGCACTTGCATTGGAGATGCAGAGTCCGGCAGTCTAGCCCTAGCTGTCAGTGCCAGGTGCTGACCTGTCCCAGCCAGCGCTTTCACAAACTGCTACATCGGCGTATGGTCGGGGCTCAGAAAGAAAGCGTGAAGTACTAAGTAGTTGAATGCATTGTGACATTGCCCGCACATGGGTCCCAATGCTCTGTGGCAGGACGCGCAGACCCGTTTCCGGTGGGTAGCTTGCTGTCGGCCCACACGCATCATCAGCAACGGGACCACCATCAGAAAGCGGATGCAGCGACCACGGACGAATCTGACACCGAAGCCTGTCAGGAGGCTTCTTCCCACCAAGAGATCCGAAACCGCCTACTTCAGCTGTATCAACAACAGTGTCTTCCTGAGAGGAGGTGGACATCCACCAGCCGCAGCACCTGCTGGAAGCCTTGAGGTGAAAGCTTGCATGCCTTAGCCTCAATCGTAGCTCCATCTGAGCCGAAGGCGCTGCTTGGAAGCGAGGTCCGGGCCGGCGAGTATTCCCTTTCTAGGGATGTCCATGAGATGTGTGCGCCTCGTTGGGAGCTGTGCAGGAAAGAGCTCTCCGTGAAGACGCAGGAGCTACTGAAGGAAGAGAGACTTGGCACAGCGAAAGTCTCTTGAACTTGAATTCTGGGCAATCCTCTGTTTGCATCCCTCTCACATACAGCCCAGGAAGGAGGGTGGCAAGGTTTACGCCACGGAGGTTACTGGGATCATGGACCTGATCAAGAAGGTGCAGGATGCAGACAGCGCTCCGACGGCAGCACTCGTGATCTCATTCGGAGCTTCGAGTGAGGGGACGGAATCTAGCAGAACATCGCATTCTCTGGTGAATCCGAGGGATGGACGGTCCGTGGAATGAGGACCACAAGCAGGCTTTTGGGTCGCAGAACTGTTAATTTCATGATTTGTACTAATAGTCCAGGTGGGTGGCAAAAGCTGAAACTAGTACGAGTACTATGACTATTACTAGTACGTAAAATTACTGTTATTGTCAATATTTGTGTTTGTGTTTGCATGTTTATTGTTCTTCTTATTGTTGCTGCTATTCTTTATTTCGAAACACAAGCATTAGTATCTTGTTAGCATATTGATAAGCATGGCAACATTATGATTATGTTCACGTTCTTTTTCATTATTGTTGTTACCACCATAGTAGCAATAACTAGTAATGTTCTTCTTATTGGTTGTATTGCCACTTGTTATTTTTATGGCTCGGGCCGCAAAGCATGCCTTTTCTGCTTTTTGGGCCTCGCATGCAGCGTCACAGCGCAGGTCCTGCAGCAGCTGCTGGAGCAGACGGGCGAAGCAGAGAGCCCGAGCTATCAAGTAAGAGTAATAATGGTAGTAATAGAAACATAATCATAAGAAGAACACAACAGTCATGACCATAGTAGCAATTGGTAATAACAACGTCAATCACACAATACGAGCAATAGGAATACATAATATCAATATGAATATTCTTGATAAGACGGATAGAAATAAGAAGTCTAAAACCAAACCAAAAATAGCAACATTCATAAGTGTAGTCCTGCTAAGCTTACGATTACTGCTGCGACGACGACGACGACGACTACTACTACTACTACTACTACTACTAGGTGTGCCAGGTGGGTGACAAAACTACTACTACTACTACTACTACTACTACTACTACTACTACTACTACTACTACTACTACTACTACGACTCACAACACTGGCAATAACAGTAACGATAAACAAACCTGCTCTGCTCTCGGCTCCTTTTGCGGAGCCTCTCCGAGGAAAGAAGCGCAGGCCGTTTGGCAAGACCACGACGGCCACCACGACTCCGACGGGCACGCCCACGGGGGCGAGGGCCCCGGCGACGCCCACTCCAACTCCTGAGTTCACACCAGCACGAGGGCAAAAGTCGAAAAAAAGAGCGACCCGGGCGTTTGCCGAACTTGCAGCTGCAGTTCTGGAATTGAAAGTGCGCTTGTGCCGTCTGGCCGCCTCAATTGTAGGTGCCATGTGGAGCCATGACGTGTCACACGAAAGAGGTTCCAAGATGACCCGAAACTCGGAGTACTCGGAGTTCATGGCCTTGTGGGGTGTGCAGTGCATGACGGCGGCCCAGTCGCCGCATTCCCGTTTCAGCAAGCTTCAAGCTGTGTGCATAGCAGAGCCATGGTCGTGAGTGGATCGTGCCTCACCTGGCTACCTCTACAAAGCTTCGCTCCTTGGCAGCAAGCGAGAATCGAGAAACCCCTTTGATGGTACAGGATGCGGCAGTACAGTGCATGTCGGATGCCACATGCACGGTGCATGCAGCATAGCCTCCAAGACTGTGCCCTGTGAGTGAGGATCCGAACGCGAAGCGAGAGCCAGGGGAGGAAGCAGGCCTCTCCCCAGCCATGTCTTCGTGCTTGGACTCACGTGGGTGTCTCATTCAGGCCGGCTCGCGCCTGATGGCAGTCCTGACAGCTTGGAGCACTATCAGTCGCGGTACTCCCAGCCGAATCAGGCGAAATGTGCTTTCGAGCCCTTCGCAGTGCCGGAATGCCACACAGCCCCCTATGTCCAGGCCCCACTTGGCCTCTTCGATGATTTCTTGGTGCCAACTCCCCCTGTGCTCCCGACCCGCAAGGAGGCCCCCAAGCAGCCAGAGGTCCACCCTCCAGGTGCTCCCCGAGCGGCCGGACCAGCAGCCCGAGCTCGGGCAGTGTCGGCCCCGGCGATCCTCCACGACAGGAAGATTTTCTGCCAGGTTTGTCAGAAGGTCGCCCTGGGCATCCGGTGGTTGACATGCCCAGGCTGCAAGAACTCGAAGAAACCACCCGATTTACCGCAACTCTGCTCGGGCCATCGACGGAGCAACGCCTTCGTCGGCTGCGAGTATGCACGTTGCCTGGCTCAGTTGTAGATCCGTGAGTCCATGAGACTTTTTGGAAGGATTTGTGCCACCCATGAACTTCCAAGCGAGGTCGGGGTGAGTGCAATAATGGCAAGTGCCAGAGTTGCCACTGCCAGACGCAGCAGAAAGCGCCCGGCAAGCCGCTGAGTCAGCGCCGGCACAAGCGCAAAGCTTCGAAAGGGCAAGCGGGCTGTATTTCGTCGAATGGTCGGTTCAGGGGCAGGAGCTCTGGCCTTTGCAAAGACAGAGATAGAGGGGAAGACAAGGAAGAGTCCACGAGTTAGTGGTCACCAAACACTGGCTCGGCACCCTCTCTCCACACACCAGCCGCAGGAACTTGGGTCGGCGGGCCACGCTCAATGCATGGTCCCCAGCTTCCCGACGGCTCTGCGTAGCAACACTATGCTACTATGTCTGGCCCCGCCTGCACCAGGCACCGCCGACCAGCTCCGAAATGCGTAGCCTCGACCTTTCCGACTGCAACGCTCGAGTTTTTTCTACAGTCTGATTCCGACTTCGTCAATTTTGTACATAGGCCTCAGGGAGTTCCCTGGAGCTGATGAGTGCAACGCCTCTCGGTGAGAAGCAGGCGAGATGTATGCTGATCGCCTGAGGGGACGCTGCTGCTCGCATAGCATTCATGCCTTGTTTTTGTTTTCGAGAGCCTGTGACGGTCGACGTGCATCGAAAGAACACTGCAGTCTGTCAAGCACGAGCGGCAGTGAAGCCTTCAAACGCGGCTGAGCCACATGCATGCAGTCTGATGCCAGGCGTCCGCAGGATTCCGCAGGCGCGTGCTCCTCGAGCCTCTCTGTAGTTCGGATGGGGCTGCTCCGGGAGTCTCCATCCCAGTCCCGGGTGCGGGTGCATGAGCTCGACGGTCAACGGACGCTCAGACGGCACATGAAGAGGGGAACGCGAGGGCTCAGGACGGCAACAAAGCAGAGAGATCTCACTGAACTTCTCAGGTGAGCCTGCACGGCAGACGAGCCAGCCGATTCGCACAGATGCCACCTTTGACACGCGTCTCCGCAGCATGAGAAGCCGTCCCACCATCCAACAAGCCATGAAAGCCGTGAAGCTTCAAGCGCGAGCATATGGAACCCCCAGAAGGGAGACGTAGCATTGCTGCTGGGCTAAGGAAGGCCAAGGAAGACAAATGGCGGAACCTTCTGGTGCCTTTGGCCCTTTATGGTACTTGTTCTTTTCTGTCTTGGGCTTTCGATTCGGGGTTCGAGGGTGCTTGCGAGCCCAGGTGCTGATCCTCCGCGACAAGGTGTAGCTTGGGAGCTTTTGAGACGCCCAAGAGCTCTTGCTCGTCGACATTGAAACGGAAACGGTGAGAGCTTCAGAACAAATCTTCCTAAGGTACAGGTCACTGACGTTTTGGAGGCCGCGCTTTGAGTTCAAGACAGCCGGAGACCTGGCGCAGACGCTCTACGACAGAAGCAAGGGCGGGAAGGATGTGCCTCGGCGAAGCTTCTTGCAGGGTGCATATCCGCATATCCCTTCAGTGTATAAGCCTTTGGACCCCTCCGCGAAGTGCAGAGAGTCAGGTTCTCTTGGACATGAAGTGGCTCGTGCAGAACGACCAGGAAGCCGCTCAGACAGAGGAGTTTGCGAAGGGAAAGCCGTCGGCATCAGATGAGAGCTTGACCTCCGGCGACGGCAAGAAATCCGAACGCCCCGCGGCTGCTTCGGGTCCTGGTGTCCTGCCTGGTGACCTAAGTGTTCCCGTGGTTAAATGACATGGAAATTCGCGTCGCCCAGGCAAAGCCTGGATCGAAGTCTTCGACTCAGACCTCGCCTGCATCATCGACCTGCTGCGCCTGTGTTTGCAAAGAGACGAATCCGACGAACCGGCGGCTGAGCTCGCACGGCTCGCACTGTCAGGATGCTGCTGAACGTGAGCCTGACTATGGTGGTCGCACCCCTGACTTTCCTTTGGGACGGCCGCTGGGAAGATCCCTCCTCGGTCCCAGGAGGTGGGGAGCCACGGATTTGCCCATGCAAGCCTTGGGCCCTTTGGGCTTTTGCCTTCAGGTTCTGACACTTTGACGCTGGATGTTTGCACCTCCATCGCACTGGCCGGCCAGAATCGACGAAGCTGTCAGAGTGTGCATGGTACATGGGCAGGTATGGATGTTTTCTATGCCATCTATCTCCTTCTGATGCTGGCCGAAACCTCAGTGCCAGCCGTGCATGCGGTGGGCCGAGCTGAGCGGCTGCGCTCAAGCCAGGAGATGTCTTATCTCCATCCGGAAAGACGTCGCTCGATCGCAGAATGGGCTAAGGGATAGTTTCAAAGCAATCCTCATGTGGGAGCCCATGTGAATGCAAGGAACGGAGGCGCCGCCGGCCGAACATTGCCGTGTCTGTCTTGTCGGCCAGAGGCCTTTGGCTTCGTAGGGCCAAGTTCAGCCTCCCTGACAGATTGTGACGAGCAGAAAGATCCGGCGATGGCGGATGAAATCCTTTCTGTACTGGTTAAAATGGCTCAGTGTCACCGCAGTCGGCTCAGAACGCAGCCCTCGCAGCATCAGTGTGAGGCTTCAGGACTTCGGGAACGGCCTTTCTCGAGTTGTACAGGTGCACATATGGGCCGCATCCTTCGGCTGGCCGTTGTTTATCAACCTCTTAAAGGTAGTTCGCGGAGGCGTTCCTTGGGCTGCAGCTGCATCAACTTGATTTGGGAAGAATTGGATTACTCCTTTTTGACTCTTTGAGGTTTTCGTGGAATTGCCAGACTCACTCTGGCGACTTCGGGACTCCAGCGAGGTTCGGCTCACGAAGCCGATCCTCCTGCTGATTGGACACTCCTCTGCACACATGCCTTTCCACCGGCTCCATCTTGGGTGCTATGCTTTTGTACGTGCCACTGGGATTCTGAGGTGTGTCGCACTGGGCAGCTCAGCTGAAGTCAACACAAGCCATCAGCCTTCGCAGACCTGTTCGCAGCGCCATGCAAAGTGAGCTGAGGTTGCCTGCCTGCTTTTCTGTTTCGGTGGCTTCTTGGAGAACCTTCAACAATTCGGACCGGAAGCATCCGAGACAACGTTCCGAGGAGCCGAGCCTACCAAGTGCCCGCCATCTCGGAATGCGGGGGGGAATTCTTCCCTGTGTCAGGAGAGGTCATCGATGGCAAAATCTCTTCATATGCTGCTTGCCAGGGATTACTTCGAACCTTAGTGTGAAGCTCTCCTCTTATTTGCGGTCGTCCCACAGTCGGGACCTGTTTACATCACCCGGGTGAGTACAACGAAACCTTCAAGGCAACAAATGGACTCTAATGCTGACAGAGGCGGTGAAGACGGACGCATCCGCTGTACCCCTGAAGCGGCCCTTGAGGTCGTCGCTTACGTAGAGGCGATCTACATGCTCACGGGAGCTCTGGATGGGCCCACCGGAGATGGGGCGCGAGAAGGGCACTTCGGAGCGTGACCTGGCCAGGATTGGATCGGTTCGAGCAGCCCCTTAACCAGCAGCTTAGAAAAAGCATGACCTTCACGTGGTATCCATTGGAGTAAGCTAGCATGGTTTCTGGTGGCACCCAGGTTTATGGTACAGTAAGACGTTCTTGAACAGTTTGTCATTGCCTGAGAGCGATGCATGCGACTGACACCGGTCAGGCTGATTATTGTTGTCATCTTTGCCCCAATTGGCCAGCTAGCTGCCTGGCGGCATAGAATCGCTCTGTCTTGAGCTTTGCAACCTCATCGGACCAACAGGTTGTTTCGCTGTTCATCGCAGCCATCGTGCAGGATGGAGTCTTGCGGATCCCAGCAAATTCCCATAGGCCCTAGCCCAGATGAGATGTACTAGGAGCAAGATCTGAAGCATGCGCTGGACAAGCGCCACAATGAGAACAAGGCCCTGTGCACGTAGCCGTTGCAGTCGCTTGGAACTCTGGAGCCGTCTCTTTCCACCGCCTTCTGTCTGTGACGCAGGCTTTCATGCAGCGTGCCGTCCAGACCCTGGGCATTCCCAAGGAAAGCTGCGGTTTGGGGCTGTGATGTTGCCATAAACAACGGCACCCGTGGCATGAGTCATGGCATAAGTGAACAGCGATTGCGAGCAGCATTGTCTGGGGGCTAGATCAGTTACAAGCTGTCAGCACTGCCTGTGGTGGTACAGTAGTGAGCCCAGATCTGACTCATGATAGGAACTTTTGCAAAAGTCAGCAGATTAGGCTGAAGGCTTTGCGTTGCCATTGACTTAACAGGACCATGGGCAGAGGCAAGAGCAATGAACACAATTCGTTTCTGGAGCTAGTAGCAACAGCAATCGCAAAACAGTCGCTGTCGGTTTGATCGCACCCTGGCCAGCGTCGTCCTCAGGCGAGTAGTCATTGGGGTCGTCGTCGTTGTCGTTACAAGCCATTTCCGATTCACCTTCATTATAGTCATCGTCATAAGGCTAACGGTGGCGGCGACTAGAGGCGACTATAGACAGTGCGAGTGCGAAGAGCCGTGGTCATAGCGCCTACAGAAAGCACTGCCACTGTAGGAACAGCAAGTGCTATAAGCATTCTTGCTGATGGTCGGTAACGCCGGTGCAGCGAAGCAAAGCAACAATAGGAATTGCACAGCAGCCAGAACATGCATGCTCACAGCGGCTATCGGAAAGACCAGCAACGGTCTCGTACTGGCGACATCTGTCGCACGGGCGTTGGAGTCTTGGCAGATGGCACTTCGCAGGAATTGCAGAGAAGGGTCTTCAGCATGCATTATTTCCAGAAGATGAGCCACGACATTGAGGCTGGCTAGGTTTGCCTCGGACCTGTAGCAAGATGCCCGGGAGCCTCCTGGGGCTCAGGCGTTTCAGATTTTGTTCGATGGCAAGAACTTGAGCGGGGCCCTCTCGTCAGCTTTGAAGCTTCCTGTCTGAGTCTGGAAGTTGGACTTTCCTTGGCCTGTTTTCCTCTTGCGGCACCAGCTGCACACGACAAGGATCTACCTCTACAAAGAGAGCGTCCTCAACTGCGCCCCTGGGCGGCACTTCAAGACGCCACAAAAGAAGGAGACGGCGCATGGCGCATGTAGAAACCTCGCACAATTTGGCAAGGCTCACCTTCAGGGTAAAGACCCAAACTACATCATCGAGATCGTGAAGATTCTGCAGGACGTGGTGTGCCTCCCGGGCGTGCCTTGGCTGGTCAAGTGCGTCGCCTGAACTCTGTTCGGGGAGATGCTCCTGTTTCATTCACTGCTGGTGCGAACTTCTCACAGAGTCAAGGCCAGAACCAAGGCAGTCGTAAACAGTCGAGTGTTTGTCTCCACCAGCAATGCCTGGCTGATTACTATCACGATTGAATCCCGGCCAAGCCACGCCATGTTAATGATGTCGAGCAAGAAAAGACATGGTGACACAACGCTTTACATAGTATGAAGCCGTCGAACGCTGCCGGAGGCCAGGAAAGCAGGCCGGGAACCTCCAACGGTTCCGAGACCTATCTTGTAGGGTCTTGGGTTGCCATCTACGAGTACCTTGCAAGATTGCAACTCAAACAGCTCGTGGAGTTGCAAGAAACCAGCCGAGACTATTCTCGAAAACCTGTCCGGGGTTTTGATTGAAGTTGAGGTTACGGCCGTGTGGCCGTGTCCTCCGTATCAGTCTGGCCATCGTCCGGTTCATTGTCGTCGTTCGCCGTCGGCGTCGGTGATTATTCATTCTGCCGTTCCTGGTTCAGCTCACAGCCTTGCTTGTGGTTCCCCTGCTGTTCCTGTTAAACTCACTCGCGCTAATTACTGTACTTGCTGGTCCTCCTCCCCAGGCTTTTTTCTGTTTCTCCTTATGCAGTGATTGGCGCGGCAATGTGGAAGGGGAGTCTTGTTCTCATTGGAGCTGTTGCCGCATGATCTCGAGGAGTACATTGCGCGAAGGGGCGAAATAGCTCATCAGATGTTCTTCATCGCCCGTGGACTCCTCTCCGTGCTCGTCCCTGGACTGGACAAGCCCAACGACGTCGCTGCTGCGAGAGCGGCTGCTGAGCAGAAGAGAGGGCAATCCACTTATCCGAGAGATGCCCTTTGCTTCGTGGTGGCTGAGGTCAACCAGCTCAAGTTGTCTGACTTCTTCGGAGAAATCGCTCTCATCAAAGACTGTGTCCGCACCCCAAAGAAGTGAAGGCGTTTCTCAGTTCCCGGAACTGGAACTCGAAACGGGAGGAGCGGCACTACCTCGAACCTCCATGTCCACCATGCCCCGAAGCTTTGTTCAGGCGTCCCAATGTTTATCACAACCAGGTGCGGACCGCGTGGATTCGGGCAGATACATATGCTCTGCTCTCCTCGCTTTCCCGCTGCTCTCCTGAAACAGACATCAGGGCCAGACAGGGCTTAGTTGGGCTGTTTGGCCTTCGGTGCTTAGTTCTCCACGAATATGAGGCTTCTATTTCCTTCAGTGGCACTGCATAAGCAATAAGTAGCCAGAAGGTTCGGTGCTGAACGGCTGCAGTCACTGTGGAAGGGTTGAATGGTCGAATGTTTTACTCAGGTGTCAGGTTGAGCCGAGAAAGTGTGCATCTCTTGCAGGCTTCGACATCGAGCCGATTTGGAAATACTTCCCGGAATACAGGGAGGAGCTTGAACAACAGGTGCGACCTTGCATTGGCGGAAGCTGAGAAGAACTCGCTGTGGAGAAAGCGCTATGCCTGACTATGCATGGGGTGCATACGGCACAAGTCGCCTTTAGCTAAAAGTCTGCAGATAGACAGTTCGCCAGCCATGCTGCGCTTCTTGTTCTGCCTTGCTCTTGCGGCCGTCGCATGGAAGGGATCTTGTGAGGAGTTGACGTGCAAGTTGCAGAAGAGGTTGCATCGTCCCAGCCTTTTACGCCCAGAGATGCCGGAACTTGCAACAAAGCTTGCTGCGCCAAGAGGGCCGATCACCGCTGAGGGTGCCTGGTCCACACCAGGTGTGTACTTCCAGGAGTGCAGCCGAAAGCCCAAGAAGCGCAGCAAGCTGCTCCAGCAAGCGCGGCATATTCAATTCGCAGCAGAGGAAGTCTTGTTTGACAAGGTGACCTGCCCGGCGGGCCAAATGCCAATCGGCAACTTTGCCGACGGCATCTACAACTTCACATGTTGCGACGGAGGCCAGCAGTGCGGCGGATGCCGAAGGATTGAAAATGGTATTTGTCAGGAATGCGCTGCCGGCTTTGTTCATCAGCAGATACCCATCCTCAATGTAACCATGTGCTTTCAATGCGATGACATCTCCGGCTGGAAGGATTCCGAAGGCTTCGCTTGCCGGGACTATGAGTTACAAGGCTTCTGCAAGTCCGGCATCCTCGAGGCAGGCCATGACAAGCCATTTCACGGCGTGCGGCCCAGCGAGGCATGCTGTGCTTGTGGTGGAGGCAGTGTGAAGGCCACACCTTCTCGGATGAGCTTTGCCAACAAAGCTTTGGTTTTCGGTGATGCCATCGATGCCTTCCCAGAGCCCCAGTCGTTGGGCACTCAGGTTTCCGGTTGCAACCTTGCGAAATGGAACCTGAACTTGACTGGCTCTGGTAGAATCCAGGGTAAAGTGGAGAATGCCAACCAGAGCAGCTCGAACATCGCGTGCTCAATCAGGCTTGTGCAAGATCCAATGCGAGGCCTCTTCACCACAGTGAGCCTCTCCGTGTCTGTGGGCGTGTTCTCCTACGGACAGCAGATCTTGGCTTTCAAGTACTGGGGTTTGGATGGCGAGACGGTGACCCAGAACATCAATCCCCGGCACATGGCGCTGGAAAGTGCACGTGATTTGGAGAATTTCCAGCTTCTTTGCAACTGCCCCTGGCTGCACATGTTGCCGAACGGGACGCTGGTGGCTGACCCGCTATTGACACCGCTGCCGGTGGAAGGGCCTTCTCTGGCGAGTTACGACGGCATGCCGTCCTGTCGCTGTGAAGTGACGGCCGAGGAGGTTCACCATGAAGGCATGCCCGGGCAGAAGGTAGTGGACAGCCATGTGTCCACAAGTTTCATTGTCGTGCAAGGACGTCTTTGGAAGGCAGCTGCCTATAAGTTGCCTGTCCTTCACGGCCGCAATGGCATGCCGCTGCTAAACTCACAGCTGCAGGAGTACATCCCGGGGATGCACTGGGTGGAGGACGAGAACCTGGCTCTTCCCGTTCTGGAGAACATGTCGTCAGGAGAGCGCTTGGTGGTCTCCCCTGCCGTGAGCCCGCAGATTCTGGATGTGGGGTGCTTTGACAACAGCGATGCCACCTATACTTGGTCTCGTAGCACTGGTGACATTATCCGAGACGGCAAGGTGGCCTTCAATTTGGATTCTTCATCGGGACTTCTTTCCGGCACTCCTGACTTAGACCTCTCCTCCGAGGGCCGTGGGAGCATACAGATCAATTGCAGCCTGGCGCTTGGCGGCCCGCTCTACGACAAAGTGTTACCAGTTGCGAACCTCACCGTGAACTTGGTGGACGACATGTGCTGGGTCCCGACCCACATCTCGGGATGGTTCAGCTGGAAAGCGATGAATTCCAGAACCGCCTGCCTCAGCCTTTGTCGCCAGAGGGCGGATTGTGCAGCGACCCGCATCAACGAGGACGGCACATGCTGGGCCATAGTGAACCATGGCGAAATGGAGCACTTTGCAGGCCAAGTGCTGACGCGCTTGGCGAACTGTTCCGAGGATGCCACTGACCTGAATCTCACGGCCCAGGGCGCGTGGTACGTGCAAGGCGGCTATTCCCCGAAGACCGTCTACAAAAATCAGGTGTCCTATTCGCACCCCGGCACCACGCCCAACTTGCAGTTCCACCTCGTGCACCGGGAGTTTGCCGAGATGCGAATACCGAAGTCCTGTGAGACTGCCCATTGGCTCCTGGTCCACACAAATACCTCGGACTTTGCTAACGGCAGTCAGCAAGCTCCGGAATTCTTTGGCGCGGCAACGGCGTGCACTGACGGGGATGTCGTCAGAGGAGCTTTCACAAAGGGCTACCAGGACAGGGAGTCTGGTTCTGATTGCATGATGCAGTTCCATGTTCGACCCTAACCCTAAGCCCTCAGTAGGCTAAGCGTAAGCACAGTGAATGAAGCTGCGATGAACCGTCAGCACAGTGAAGCAGCGATTCCAACCTCATTCCGTTCCTGACAACCGACCGTGATCTCTGCTACCAGGAATTTGAGCTGGACTTCCTGCCTGCGGAGCTGAACGACAGTGCATTTCTGGAGCCCCAAGCCAAGCAGCAAGCTGAACTGAAGCTGTTCGTGCCCAACTGCCAGCAGCCTGACCTCCCGGACTTCGTCCTCGGCACTGTGGAGGATCCTGAGCACTTCTCTTTGGGACCGTGCGAGTGCTTTGGGGAAGCTCATGTGCATGGATCGCCTGTGAGCAGTTCTTCTCAGGTACAGGTGTCCCGCAGCAGCGGATTCAATATCGGCTCGGTCGTCGACCAGAAGATCTTCGAGGGTCCTTACACCTGCGAGAATTCAAGTCTCCTCCTTCAGCTCTTTGACAAGACGCTGTCTAAGTGTGCAGCAGCATGCCGTGCTAATGAGAACTGCGCCTTTTACCAGTTCTACTCAGGAGGGGTATGTACGCTTTTCCGGCGTTGCGACTCTATTCAGCTGTTGTTCAATGCAGGCATGGTCAACACCCTTTATGGCCGTGCACCCGAGGGCGATTTCTGCCTGATGGCCAACCCCCATACATGCTGGGAGCAGATCAAACGCCGGAGCTACCTGAGCCTCAAACCTTCAAATCTGCCTCGGTGCCTTTTCCAGGACCAGTATGAAGCCTGCGATGCTCTGCAGCAGCTGGTGGGCGATGATTCTGGAATTTGCAGCAAGTGCCAGTACATAAGTGCCTCCAGCGAATATGCTGCAAAGGGCATGCGCAAGGTGCCGTTGCCGACGAAGTTCGCCGCCGCATCGCAAATTTCCGTCAGCTGTAACTACACCACGCGCATGTTCTCTAGGCTGGACAACGGCATGACATGGGAGGGCCCGCGCCCAACAGCAAGCTTCACTTGCGTCAGCGGTCGGTGGGTCGGAGAGTCGGGTCCGTGGCAGCACTTGGATAGCTTGACCTGTCAGGACTGCATTCAAGTGGGTACGGCCAGCCTGAGAAACTTCTCCAGCTTCAGTCTGCCACAGGTCTACTTCATGGAGCACCGGCTTATCGGGGTCCAGCCGGATTACGCCGGACCAGGCTGTCAAACTGCACGCTGGCTCACAAGGTCGCCACTCGTGGTGAAGCTCGAAGGCTCTAAGGAGAAGGGGCACGAGTTCGTGTATGTTTGTGACGGAGGCTGGGGCAATGGCTCCCTCATCCTCAGCTCAAGCTGCGACGAGAAGGGCAGAGTGGCGTTCTGGCAAGATGCAACGATGCGGTTGCGCTCAGGCAGCGACGAGACGAACTTGTGTTTCTACGAACGCCTGCTCAAGTTCAAGATTGCGCCTTGTGGCGATCACGACCCGTTGCATCTGGAGGACGGCAAGCTGGCCTTCGGCAACGACCTTCACCGCTGCGAGATGGCGCACGACCACGACGGCTCCTTCAGCCTCCTCGTTGCGAATTGCAAGGATGTGCAGGATCAGTTCTGGCTTTTCGAAAAGGGAAATTGCGTCTTCGGCATGGACATGGTGGACGTTTCGGACCGGGCCTCGAGGTATTCTGTTCCAGCCGAAGGACGCGAAGCGCTTGCCGTACAGCGGCTGGCGTTTGAGCCCGAGACCCACCACCCTCCACCACGAGATGATCTGATCGAACTTGGCTTTTTCGAAGGCCCTGCAAAGATCCATTGGGTGGTCAACAACCATGAAGTCGTCACCGAAAAGTTCGACCATGTCAATCCAGGCGGCTTTGTAATTGAGCAGCATGATCGCGGCTCTACCATTGCCTGGTACGAATCTGATCAGGGCGTCGGGCCTCGCTATGCCTACGAGAATAATCAGGTTGTCGAGCTGACGGATGAGAACAGATTAGTCGATTCGCTGCCACAGAGTGCCTTCTGGGATGTCGGTTCATACGGTACTGGCATCTCGATCCGCAACAAACATTCCGCACGCTACATCGTGGCAGCGCATAAACCATTACACTCTCAGGATTCCTGGCATGAAGGTGAAAGTGATTGTGGGTCAAGCCTGCTCACTCGAATCCGAGTTGATGACCAAGGGAAGCAATACCATTCTTGCTGGAGTTGGGAAGGTTGGACCGATCTCACAAACAACGGTGCAGCTTGTGGTGACTGGGAGGAGCATGGCGCTGGATATGACGATTCTGTGCAAGCACAGTGCAGTGACTCCGAGGTGGCGATGTCGGCAACCAATCTGCAAATCCCATATGACGGATATTACACAGGCGGCAAATTCCGGTGGAAGTGTTGCAAGTTCTCAGCCCTGCCAAAACATATTTCTTGGAAGTCGGCCCCTGGCTACGACAATCCCAAACAATTGAAAGATGGCTACTGGGAATACAGCTGCGACTTTCCAATTCTTCTGCGCGGAGTGTATAATGATCATAAACTAGGCAAAGGTTCGGCTTCCTGTGCCCCGTTTGCTTTCTTTGGCCCCGTCTTGGATCAAGCCCGCTTGGAAACGACTTCTGACAAGGACTCGGTGCCGGCCTTCGGCTCGTGGGACTCCAAGAAGAAGCAGGCTTCCGCGAGTCCGGCCCGAGCCTGGGCCGGTGAGAGCTCCGCGGCGAGCTCCGACGTCGTCCTCTTGGGCAGCTGCGAGGCAACCTTGACCGTTGATGGCGCCAAGGCGACATTGCAGGCAGCTGATCTCAAGTTAGACCTCTTTGCGGACGGGGAAATCAATTCTCAGCAGAGGCAAGCTTACCAGTACGTGGAAGCGTACGAGGTCGTGAAGACCCTCAGCGGTTCGACCGATGTCTTATTCGCTTGCCAGAAGCCAGACATCTCCTCAAAAACGCTGTGTGCCCTGGAGACACTTATCAGCCCAGAGGAGTTGGACATGGTTTACACCAAGACTGCGCCTGTAACGATACAGAAGGTGTGCCCGGTGCTCTTGAACACCGCCTACCATGTGGCTAGTTCCCTGGCGAAGCCTACAGAGCAGACGGCGATGAAGATGGATGTCTTAGTCGATATGCTAGTCGACCTCAACCATAAGACGGTCCCCTTCAGCAGAGCCACAGAGTGGCCCTTCAATTTCACTGGCGGCAAAGGACTGACGGCACATTCGGTCGGCCACCTGAGCATCGCAGACAATGGGCAAGCCTTCTGGGGCGTTGTCTGCCCACCTGGGGCTGTGGTTTTCTCGAAGGAGTCGACCTTCCCCCACTGCATGGACATCCAAGCTTCGACATCCCATGAGATCCTAACATCTTACTCAGGGTCGGCGAGGTGTCCGGATGGCTTTGCCGTCAGTGGATGGTATAACCTCCCAGGCATCAAGGTGAGGGGCAACACATCTGCCGGAGGCCCGCAAGGCTGGACTTCTCTCAAAGTTTTCTGTCGCAGGAGCACTCACATAGGCCTTTGCGAGGCGCCATCGAAGCCTTCTTGCACAGCGGGTCACCTGGTGAACGCCATCAGCTACAGCCAAAACCAGTTCAAACTGGGTTGCTGCAGGTTCCTGCGGCCTGTGAGTGTGTCGCTGCAGCCGATTGGACGAACTGCGAATCCCTATCTGGGCTTTGAAGGTTACTACTGCCCCCTGAGGATGGGCTCCGCAGGGACGCCTCTGTACAAGAAGTCCGCGATCGCAGAGATCGGCAATCCGGGCACGAATGTCGACCTGAACTACACCCTGGTGTGGGATAAATTCAGTGGTGATTGGCTCCTACGCAACGGAACTGGGGTGCTACATCGTGTCCATAGCAGCTCCCTGTCGCCGGTGGAGCTCACCAGCGGGCCCTTCTCGGCAACCGCCATCACGGCCTTGGTTTCAGAGAGCCAGCCTAAGGCGCAGGACCTGATCCCTACGAAGGAGCCCACATACCCAAAACTTGAGCAGCTCACGGCTGTCGAGCCGCCAGGTTATGTTGACTACTGTTCGAACCTCCAGAACCCTACCGACTACAATGGCACCGTCGATCCGGCGAGCCCTTGTTACCATACCTTCAACGCAGACATAGTAAAGGACGTGGATGCAACCAAGGGCATCACCGAACAGAGCTTTTGGAAGTGCAGCGAGCGCTCCAAGGCTCGCGACTACATGCAGAGCCTGGCCCAGTACAAGACGGACAAGGCGGAAGATGACTTGTCAACGAAGCAGAACTCGTGGGCAGTTGCGGAATCCGTCTCGGAGTTGGCTGCCGCAGTTATTGGCGCGATCCCCTGGGGTAGCTTTGGCGAAATGGGTGTGAAACAGGTGGACGTCGTGGACAAGGAGAAGAAGGAGTTAGACATCCTGGAGTTTAAAACTAAGTCTTTCTATTGGGATAATGAGGCAGGCAGCGTCGAGGAAATCCGACATGATGCGGAACAGAATTGGAGAACGATCCATCTTGAGATGAAAAGGACACGGAAAGACGCAGAAGCAAAAGCAGACGCAGAAACGCAGGCACTGAAGACAGAGAAATTCGAGAGGTGGAACTGGAAGGGAGAGTTTGTTCAAGATGCTTATGAAGCCGTGTCCGATGTATTCACCAAGGTCTGGGGTTCTGCATATACGAGGAGGCACGACAACTCTGGCCAAGACGTGACCGTCACCCTTTCGCCAGCTGTGGAGTCTGAGCTTCAGAGCAAGACACTGCCCGAGAAAACTAGCGAGGAGACGATGTACAAGTACAAAGAGAGACTTGCAGAAGCGGCGTGGAACGATTGCTTACCTTTGCAATACGGCTTGTCGAAGGTGATGTGTGACCTTTTCTGCCTGCGAGATGCCGTGACCGTCGGCACGGCCAGCATACTGGCGAGCCTCGACACCTTGCACAGCAACCTGTTGGACAATCTGCAGAAATTGCTAACCTACCACACGGATTACATCCTGTATGCATTGGACACGGTGCTCACATCGACTCCGGCAAGTGAGGAAGCGAACGCTGAGGTTTTCGAAGAGGTGCCGGATGCAAGCGCTTTACTCTCAGAGCTCCGAAAGATCGACTTCCAGCAGATAGAGACTCCCCGACTCTCCCGGGACATTCTGCACTGGCACCGTGCGGCCGGGCTGGACTTGTACAAACGCCTGTCATCTCTCACCACGAACGTCACCAAGCAGAGCTGGCCGCTGCGAGTGAAGGCCGCCCGTGGCATGTTACACCACTTTCAGGCAAGTTTCCGGCAGCGCCTTCAGATGGGTACGGGGGAGCCCCCAATGGCGGACAAGATCCAGCTGTTGCACAAGCGCACAGCTCAAGAGCGCAAGCTGGTCAGCCGGACTCAGACGTTGCAATTCCGCTTGTTCCACTCCCACTCCTTGCCTTCGGCGCTCCTCGAGGCTTTCCTTCACTGCCATGAGAAGCACAGCACCTATACGATGCTACATTCCAAAGCCTTGCAACAGATGGATACAGCCTTGGCCGCTGCGCGCAACTTCACCAAGTGCGATGCTGACACGAAGGCTTTGCAAGAGGCGTGGCAGTTTGCCAAGCGAGCTGACGAGCGAAGTCAGGAGGGTCTGGTGGAGGCCTGGGCAGCTACGGTGGCCACTGCGGAGCACGTGGTCATTGCCGTAACGGATGATGAGCTCCTCTCGCTTTTAGGCAGCTGGTTCAAGGAGGTGGAAGAGGAGGTGACCTGTGAGAACACCACGGCACTGGTCTTGCAAAGCCAGGCTCTGGCAGCCGGTGCCTTGGACAAGGTGGCCTGGGCCCTCACGCAGGAGGTGATCACTTTCCAGGCCTTGGCATCCTACCAAAAGAAGCAGCTGATCCAGAAACGCTTGCAGCACATGGAGATGCCAGACCTTTGGCAGGCGCTGAAGCTACAACTGGCGGCTGCGGCGGACCCACAAGAGCCGCTGGGGCAGCGGCTGGCGACAGTTGCGCTGGATGCCCTGAGCTCGGAGTTCTGCCCTGTGCCCCCGAGATGCATTCATGGGATCCTCGTGAGCACCGGCGTGGATGGTGCCGTGCCCTGCGTGCATGCTGACGGCATGAAAGTTCTCCCGAAGCGCTTCGTATCCCGGCTGGTGCAGGAGATGCCTCTCCATCCACAGCCGCTTCGAAGTCTTGGATTGATGCAGATGGTGGAGCAGGGAACAATGTAATACCTATGAGATTCGGGCTGGAATTCTTAAACGTTTCATGATGTGTCAATCGTTCAAGCTGCTGTCTGTAGGGCGACTCTAGTCGCCAAGCCGGCCTCATGTAGGTGCCCAGTGCATGCAATGCGCTGTTTGACACCAGAGTTAAGTGGCTGCAAGCCGTGACCGGTGTTCTGAAATCTGACAGATCATGGCAATTGAGGTTTAGCACGGTTGCTCAGCCCGGTTGCTCTGGGGTGCTCCAGGCATCTCCAGGCAAAGTCCTGGATGAGATTGGCCTGTTTGCTTTCATGTGGCACGGGGCCGCAGAAAACCGCGATGAGCAGATTCACTGTGAGGTAGTTCTCAGTGCGAGGTTGAGCTTTTGCACGCACGCCCCATGCAAGCAGTTCTTTAGTGTCTTATCTTTCGAGTCGGCATGATAACCATGCCGTTGTTCCACCGAGAATTACTCCGCTGCTGCTCCGAGCGAGAGAAATGCCTGCAAGCTGTCATGGCTGCAAAAGGCATCAGGATAGACCCGCGTCGGTGTGGCCGCGTAGCCGGGTAGTTGTCGCCAAGGCCGTATGTGACTGTAGGATGAAGCCAACAGCGCGACAGGTCAAGGCAACCGCAGAGAAGGACAGGAGTCGGAAGGCCCGCGGTCGATGGCAGAACGTCGGCCATGGAGAGAGCCTCGGCCACGAAAGGGCTCGTGGGTCACGAGGTCACTCTCTGTTTGGTCGTCACTTACAATCGATGTCTGCTGCTCTGCTGGCATGGACATCGCTCGCAGCCCGAGGAAGCGCAAGAAGCTGATGGAGCTTCAAGCCAAGGACCAGATAGAAAAAACATCATCCGCTTCCAGGAAGACCGCCAGGAGTGGGCCACAAACACAGGGCGGTTAAATGCCGCTAGGTCCGGGTTGAGGTCGGGTTGTCGCTGTGACTGGCGACTGCAGGGGCAGTATCTTGGCCGCGTCGATGCAAGACGAGCCGCACGACGAGGCCAGCATCCTCGAGTCCGGGGACTCGGCGGCGCCTTGTCTTCAACATAGATCGAATTGTGCGTGGTTGCCTTAGTGGGCCTGGCTCACTGTGGCATGACCGGTAGTCCCAGAGTGTAAGCCTCCGCCTGCAATGCCAAGGCGCTGAATGCACCTGCTGCTCGGAAGAAGCGTTTTCGGTTGGGTTTCCTTCAGCCACGGGCGGACACGGTTCATGCGGTTCATTGTTGACTTTTGCGAGCCGAGGAAAGCACAGATGAAACCACGAAGCTGCTGTCGGAAGTGCTGCAGCGCCAGAACTCACTGGAGGAGAAGTTCGAGGTTCGCCGCCACCCCGCCCCCGCCCCCCCGCCCAACAAACCCCAAACAACCCATTGCCCAGGCACACGGGGAGAAGCTGGCTCAGATTCTGGAAGCTCTCCAAGGTGGGCAAGGCGACTTGCCGCCGTTGCCACCACCGTCAGCTCCGCCTTTAGCACCGCCGCCAAAGAAGGACCGCCCGGGGTAAGGGAGGACGGTCCGCGCGAGGTCGATCTGCGGGGAAGCCTGCTCTGCGCAGGTTGTTGTGAAGAGAGTGAAGAAGAAGTGGCTCGGAGTTTACTTGGCACAGAACTGCCCCCCGTCTTTAGTTGTCATCGTCTCAGGGCTGCTGCCGGTGGGCCTGGGACCCCAGAGGAGGCGGGGGCGGGGCACTAATCCAGCCTGTTTTACGGAGGGCAGTGTAGGAGTTTAGGGTTTTTGCAGAGCACTTCGCTCTGCTGTCTGCTGCTGACTTGAGCCAGTCTCATACATGCCTGTTTTTCTACTACAGCACTATTACTGTAATTCTACCGTACTACTGTGTTACTTGACAGGTTTAGGGTTTGGAGTTTGGGGTTTAGAGGTCTACGGCTTGGTTCAGGGCAAGTTCGAGTGTTTGGGACCGTTTGTGATAGGGTGCCACTGACCTTTATGCAATTTATGGACCTTCCGGCTGTCGTTGCAAAGTCTACCATACAAAGATACAAACATTCAAGGGTGGATGCCGGCGCTACAAACTTACTGTGTGTCCTTGAAGAGTGGAAATTCTAGGATACAAAGGTTATAACAAAAAACATCAAGGGTGGACTTTGGCGTTACGATCTTACAGTGTCATGAAAATTGGCAAATGCTACCATACACGGATACAGTGATTCAAGGGTGGACTTTGGCGGTTACAAACCTACAGTGTCCTTGAATTTTGCAAAGTCTGACATTCAACGATGCAAAAAAATCAAGGGTCGATGCTGGTGCTACAAACTTACGGTGTCCTTGAACTTTGCAACGTCTACCATACAAAGATGCAACAACTCAGGGGTGGAAGTTGGCGTCACAAACTTACTGTGTCCTTGAAATTTGCAACGTCTACCACACGAAGATGCAACAACTTAGGGGTGGACGTTGGCGTTACAAACTTACAGTGTCAGTCTACCATACAAAGACGCAAAAAATCAAGGGTGGACATTGGTGGCACTGGCGCTACAAACTTACGGTGTCAAATTTGCCAAAGGTCTACCTTGCAAAGATGCAAACATTCAAAGGTGGACATTGGCGTTCCAAACTCACAGTGTCCTTGGAACTTGCAAAGTCTACCATACAACGATGCCAAAATTCAAGGGTGGACGTTGGCGTTACAAACTTACAGCGTCCGTGAAATTTGCAAAGTTCACCAAAAAAAGATTAAGCCAAAAACTAAAAAACATCAAGGGTGGACGTTGGCGTTACACGCTTACTGTGTCCATCAAACTTGCAAAGTCTACCATGCAAAGATACACAAATTCAAGTGTGGACGCTGGCGTTACAAACTTACAGTGTCCTTGAAATTTGCAAAGTCTACGGTAATTACAAAGATACGAACATTCAAGGGTGGACATTGGCGTTACGAACTTGCAGTGTCTTTGAAATTTGCAAAGTTTACCATACAAAGATTAAACCAAAACAAAAAGACATCAAGGGTGGACGTTGGCGTTACGAACTTATACGGTGTGCCCTTTAGATTAATTTGCAAAGTCTACCATACAACGGTACCAAAATTCAAGGGTGGACGTTGGCGTTACAAACTTACAGTGTCCTTGAAACTTGCAAATGTACCATACAAAGAGACAAACAAATCAAGGGCGGACGTTGGCGTTACGCACTCGGTGTATGATTGAAATATTCAGAGGCTACCGTACAAAGATACAAAAAACATCAAACGTGGACGTTGGCATTGCACACTTGCTGTGTTCTTGAAAACTTTTTTAGTCTAACATAACTTCAAGCTTGGACTTTGGCGTTACAAACTTAGGGTGCCAGTTGACATTTGCAAAGTCTACCGTGCAAAGCTACGAAAATCCAAGGTTGGACGTCAGCGTTACAAACTTAAACCCTTCATCCGTGTAATAAATCCCCCTAAATATAAAGACTTCCCCGGTCAGACAAATTTCCAGCTTCGCGCAAAAAGCCCAAAAATGAGTAGATTTAACGGCATGTTGAAGTAGGGGATACAAAGATGCAACAACTCAGGGTGGACGCTGGCGTCACAAACTTACAGCCTTTGAAATTTGCAACGTCTACCATACAAAGATGCAAGAACTCAAGGGTGGACGCTGGCGTTACAAACTTAGTGTGTCCATCAAACTTGCAAAGTCTATCATACAAAGATGCACAAAACCAATGGTGGACGCTGGCGTTACAAACTTACAGCCTTTGAAATTTGCAACGTCTACCATACAAAGATGCAAGAACTCAAGGGTGGACGCTGGCGTTACAAACTTAGTGTGCCCATCAAACTTGCAAAGTCTATCATACAAAGATGCACAAAACCAAGGGTGGACGCTGGCGTTACAAACTTACAGCCTTTGAAAATTGCAACGTCTGCCATACAAAGATGCAAGAACTCAAGGGTGGTCGCTGGCGTTACAAACTTAGTGTGTCCATCAAACTTGCAAAGTCTATCATACAAAGATGCACAAAACCAAGGGTGGACGCTGGCGTTACAAACTTACAGCCTTTGAAATTTGCAACGTCTACCATACAAAGATGCAAGAACTCAAGGGTGGACGCTGGCGTTACAAACTTAGTGTGTCCATCAAACTTGCAAAGTCTATCATACAAAGATGCACAACCAAGGGTGGACGCTGGCGTTACAAACTTACAGCTTTGAAATTTGCAACGTCTACCATACAAAGATGCAAGAACTCAAGGGTGGACGCTGGCGTTACAAACTTAGTGTGCCCATCAAACTTGCAAAGTCTATCATACAAAGATGCGCAAAACCAAGGGTGGACGCTGGCGTTACAAACTTACAGCCTTTGAAATTTGCAACGTCTACCATACAAAGATGCAAGAACTCAAGGGTGGACGCTGGCGTTACAAACTTAGTGTGTCCATCAAACTTGCAAAGTCTATCATACAAAGATGCACAAAACCAAGGGTGGACGCTGGCGTTACAAACTTACAGCCTTTGAAATTTGCAACGTCTACCATACAAAGATGCAAGAACTCAAGGGTGGACGCTGGCGTTACAAACTTAGTGTGCCCATCAAACTTGCAAAGTCTATCATACAAAGATGCACAAAACCAAGGGTGGACGCTGGCGTTACAAACTTACAGCCTTTGAAAATTGCAACGTCTACCATACAAAGATGCAAGAACTCAAGGGTGGTCGCTGGCGTTACAAACTTAGTGTGTCCATCAAACTTGCAAAGTCTATCATACAAAGATGCACAAAACCAAGGGTGGACGCTGGCGTTACAAACTTACAGCCTTTGAAAATTGCAACGTCTACTCTAGAAAGATGCAAAGACTCATGGGTGGACGTTGGCGTTACAAACTTAGTGTGTCCATCAAACTTGCAAAGTCTATCATACAAAGGTGCACAAAACCAAGGGTGGACGCTGGCGTTACAAACTTACAGCCTTTGAAAATTGCAACGTCTACTCTAGAAAGATGCAAAGACTCATGGGTGGACGTTGGCGTTACAAACTTAGTGTGTCCATCAAACTTGCAAAGTCTATCATACAAAGGTGCACAAAACCAAGGGTGGACGCTGGCGTTACAAACTTACAGCCTTTGAAATTTGCAACGTCTACCATACAAAGATGCAAGAACTCAAGGGTGGACGTTGGCGTTACAAGCTTGCTGTGCCCATGAAACTGGCAAAAAGTCTATCATACAAAGTAAGATACACAAATTCAATTGTGGACGCTGGCGCTACAAACTTACAGAGTGTCCTGAAAACTTGCAAGTCTACCATACAAAGATGCAACAACTCAAGGGTGGACGTTGGCCTTACGAACTTACAGTGTCCTTGAAATTTGCAACGTCTACTCTAGAAAGATGCAAAGACTCATGGGTGGACGTTGGCGTTACAAACTTACTGTGCCCATTTCAGTTGTAAGGTTTATCATGCAAAGATGCAAAAATTCAAGGGTGGACGCTGGCGATACAAGCTTACAGTGTCCTTGAAATTTTGCAACGTCCACCATACAAAGATGCAACAACTCAAGGGTGGACGTTGGCGTTACAAACTTACTGTGCCCATCAAATCTGCAAAGTCCACCATACAAAGATACACAAATTCAAGGGTGGACGTTGGCGTTACAAACTTACTGTGCCCATGAACCTTGCAAGGTCTATCATACAAAGATACACAAATTCAAGGGTGGACGCTGGCGTTACAAACTTACAGCCTTTGAAATTTGCAACGTCTACCATACAAAGATGCAAGAACTCAAGGGTGGACGTTGGCGTTACAAGCTTGCTGTGCCCATGAAACTGGCAAAAAGTCTATCATACAAAGTAAGATACACAAATTCAATTGTGGACGCTGGCGATACAAACTTCCAGAGTGTCTTTGAAACTTGCAAGTATACCATACAAAGATGCAGCAACTCAAGGGTGGACGTTGCCGTTACAAGCTTGCTGTTCCCATGAACCTTGCAAAAGTCTATCATACTCAAAGATGCACAAATTCAAGGGTGGACGCTGGCGCTACAAACTTACAGAGTGTCCTGAAAACTTGCAAGTCTACCATACAAAGATGCAACAACTCAAGGGTGGACGTTGGCCTTACGAACTTACAGTGTCCTTGAAATTTGCAACGTCTACTCTAGAAAGATGCAAAGACTCATGGGTGGACGTTGGCGTTACAAACTTACTGTGCCCATTTCAGTTGTAAGGTTTATCATGCAAAGATGCACAAATTCAAGGGTGGACGCTGGCGATACAAGCTTACAGTGTCCTTGAAATTTTGCAACGTCCACCATACAAAGATGCAACAACTCAAGGGTGGACGTTGGCGTTACAAACTTACTGTGCCCATCAAATCTGCAAAGTCCACCATACAAAGATACACAAATTCAAGGGTGGACGCTGGCGTTACAAACTTACGGTGTCCTTGAAACTTGCAAGTCTACCATAGGTACAAAGATGCAACAACTCAAGGGTGGACGTTGGCGTTACAAACTTACTGTGCCCATGAAATTTACAACCTCGCTGCATGCGGACGAGGGTTTGTCGTAAGTCTGAAGACGGGCGTCTGACCGAGTAGGGCAAGTGCTCTCACTATGATGCTGCCGGCTCGATGTTGCTGGCTGAAACGTTGAGACGTGTGCCGATGTCCGAACAGAATGTTGGGATTCAATTTGCTGTGTGTTCGCCTCCGCGCAAAAGCCGCTCGCTCCCTCGCTCCGGGTCGGCGGCGTGCGCGGCCAGGTGGAGGAGCCCCTGGGAAGCGAGCTCGGGCAGGAGGCCGCAGCTCTGCGCAATTGAGGTAGGGCCCGGGCCAAGGGAACCGGAAGAGCTCCGGCAAAAGAAATGTGGAGTTGCGCTTTGAAGTTCTGCACTGAGCCGAGGAGCCTCTGCTCGGTGAGGAGTAGAAAGGCCAGGGACGGGAGGGTGGCAGTGGCAACCCTGCGTTTTTTTTGCCGCTGCCTGTCGGAAGCGCTTTCAGGCGCTGCTTAGACGGCGGCTGCTCCGCGCCCGGGAGCGTAGTCGCGGCTCGGAGAGAACTCGGAATTTTCAGCTTCGCAGCTTCTGCGGATGTTGGAGGAATGTGTTGTTCCCTTTCAGGTCCTCAACGAGTTAATGCCTGCGGCAGCCCTTGGTCCTTGGGTGCGGCTCATCGAAGGCCAGGGACTCAAGGCACAAACAATTGCCGCAAACCTCCTTGGCTCTGCCAGGCTACGGGCATCGCTTTCCTCTGAGCCCCCTCTGAAGCGAAGCGGCGCTCGGTAGTTTTGGATGCCAGCGACTGGTGTGTGAAACCTGAAGATACAAGTTGATATGGGACAGAAGGACATAAAGTTCAACATAAAGGCTCCGGAGCTTCCTGGCTGGGCTGGCCTCTGTAGGACGCTGCCTTCAAAGAAGGAGCGTCGGGTTAGTGAACCGGGGCATGGCTTGATTTCCAGGGATCGCCCTGCCCTTCGATATCTCAAGGCCTTTCGTGAACCGTGTATGCGGGCACAGGCCGAAACAGGGACTCTCATGCCCATCAGGGGCTTCAAAGGAACAGGTCGATCGTTCAATGCATGGTACTCCTAATGCCGGGCTTCCAGCAGCCTCCCGCCTCCCACAGATCGGCGTGGTTTTGCATCCGGAGGATTTGCTCTCAAGTCTCTAGGTCCTCAAAGGATTCCGAAACATCTCGCCATGGCAATGCCAGATGCGTTGCCGGCGCCGGAGAACACTCCCCGCCTGCTTGAGGGATACCGGGCTAAATTCGTGGGTTCAGAATGTATGTGTGAGTATGTGCGCGTGTTTGTCGGTGTGTCTGTGTGTGTGTGCGCGTGTTTGTCGGTGTGTGTTTGTGTGTGTGTGTGCGGGATGCAAAACCTCTCTGGTCTGTTGTGCTTTGGCTTTCCCGCCCGCTGCCACCCAGGTGTCGGTGAGTATGCAGAGCTCGCCCGATGTGCCCAGCAGTATCAGCGAAGGAGGTCCATGGCAGAGCGCAGGAAGCAGCCCAGCGGCAGTCAGCAGACGGCGGAAGCTCCCAGCTCCCAGCTGCTAGTGCCAGAGTGCCGAGGTCAGCAAGAATGAGCCAGCTTTCGCGGGCTCCGAGTTCCCCCAACCTCCCTCAGCGAAAGCCGTCGATGGCTTTCATCCGATTGCGGAGGAGTCACCCGTTACATCCCCTTACCCTCAGACCCTCCCCCGAGTGTAGGGATGCTTGACCATGAGAGGACTGTGACTCCTGTGGTGATCCCTGGCTGGAGGGGTACCATACACCGGCTGCTACAGTCCAGCCTCTGTGACATAGTCACGGGCCTTGTGTGACCAAGCTGCAGTCAGCCAAGAACGACCACCACGCCCCCCGCAAACATAGAAACCTATCAGTTTCGGGTCTTTCGTTCCGAAGGATTGTGGTTGACGTCGTCCTCACTTGCATTGACATCGACATCCGAGCCGCGGGTGGGACCACGCCACTGGCAGTGGAGCTTCTCTCGAACTTGTGTCTTTCCATGCCCCTGGGCTCTTGAAACTGGCTGTTGGAAGCCCTCGATCCGCGTTCGAGAAAAGACGTACACAATTTCACAGGTACATTCTGGAACTGATGGCTATCATCATCGTCTACAAACTGGGAATATTCCGCGATCCCTGGACCATGCTGGACTCGCGGCTTTCTGAAGCATCCCCAAACAACATGCGGTCTGTAGCAGTCCAGCGGAAGCTTCTTACCGGTCGTCCTTAGCTGGACCAAGTGCCTAGAAACAACTTGTCGCCAAGAGGTCACCTACACAGATGCTTGCATGAAAGAACATGCCCACAGCCCACAACGAGCATTGATGTCTACACCTGTGCCCATGTCAAACAGCCTTTTCATGGGTAAAGCTTCTGCACGTGGTTCGGAATGAGGCATGCAATCTCCGCATCTAGATAAATCTATGCAGCATGCCTGCAATGCTTTCATGTGACATAATGGAATGATGTCTAGGTAGATCTTTGTGTTGCCTGCGCGCGCTTACGCAGGTGCATGTTACATATCTGCATAGGTGCATGCATACACACATACACACATAGCATTGCAGAGCACGTGATGGAAACGCCGTTGACTCCGGCTCCGCACGCGGCCTTTTCGCCAGGGTGCCGGCTGCGTCCTGTTTCTTTGCGGTTCGTGGAGACTGAGCTCTGCATCTGTCCTGCCTTGTTAGCCCGGATGTTCCGGAGTTCCCTCTCCCAAGAGGCAGATTTCTACAGTTGCAATGTTTAGCAGCACAGGCAACCTCAGCTTAAATTTACATTGGGGTTGAATGGGCAGTACGTTGACATTACATCAACATTACAACAGAAGTAACACAATGACTTAACATCATATTAGCAGTACATCAACTGGACGCGATGTGACGTGAGTGCATTGCAGTGCAGTGCAGCGCAGTAGACTCAGTGGAGCCCAGCATGCACCCACTCGCGCACATTCAAGTGCATCGCTTGCCAAGAGGACATGCTGATCGTGATCTTTGGGCTCGTGCAGCTCTTGCTCGGCTTCATCGGAGTTTCCCTGGACAAAGTCACCATCCTCCGCATGCTTCGCGTGGTCCGAATTATGCGGCTATTCCGGCTCTTCCGGAAGTTCGCCATGCTGAAGGAGCTGCGGAAGCTGATCAGGATGACGGTCAGCTGCTTTGAACCCTATCCACAGAGTCAGGAGTGTAGCCGCTTCATCTGAGAGCATGGTTTCTTTATGTTTCCTTTGTTTCTGTCAGCTTGAGGCCTCATGCTTCAAAACGCTGTGCTGGTCCTTCCTCTTCTGCGCCCTGGACCAACACCTGGGAAACCAGTTTCACTTCGGCGTGAGGCCTTTTCCCGCTGAGGCTTCGTGGTGATGACGAGCTGGGCCATGCTCGCCGTAGAATTGCTGAACCCCTACATGCCGGAATTGGCCAGTCACTGGGAAGACTGCGAATTTTGCCGCCGCTCTCTTCAATCCGTGATGTCTGCGGACCTGCTCCTCTTCAAAACTGTGGTGGCTGGGGACTCCTGGGGCAAGGCGGAGCCGGCAGCAGTTTCTTGCAGAGCGACTGAACGTGCCGCCTGGAACACCATGCAGCACCACCTGCGGTAGCAACACATAGACAGAGCACGAGTCCAAATCCGGATTGGCGATATCACAGATTCTGGAACGGAAAGCTTGAATTTTATGTAGTCACTCTAGGCGTCTTCCGCATTGAGGTGGCCGTGCCGCTCATCGAAAGCCATCCCTGGACGGCCATCCCAATCTTTATCGGTTCCCAGCTCTCCATCGTGTTTGGCGTGTCCGTGGCTCAGTTGACTGCGACTTTCTGCTCGCAGCACTCGCAGAGCATGAATCATCATGATCTCGTCGTCGTCGGCCCATATCGGCCAGTTTCTGCATCAGAAAGCTTCGACTTACAGCGCCAAGCTGCTTTGGGAAGTGTGTGTCGTTTTCATGTTCCGCTCGCCAGCTCTCGAAAGCAACATGCTTGATGCAGGCAAGACAACAGACACGCTGTGGCATATTCGGCTTGTGTTGCAAGGCTGAACCTGGTGGTTGCGGTTGTAGTTGACACTTTCGCGGAGCAGCGCACGAAGGCGAAGCGCTGCGGGGGTTGGAAGCGTCCAGATGTAAAGAGAGCACCGCGCAGGACGTGACGAGCATGGCGCAGGAGATGGACGAGGACGCGGAGGAGGAGCTGCAGGAATTGGACAAGATCTTCGCCAAGATTGACAGCGACAACGACGGCCAGCTGAGCTGGGAAGAGCTAGTTGGAGGCGGTGGAGGGCTGTCTTGTTTTTGGCCTCCCCGGCCTCTGTCCTCAACGTTCCTGGAGATTTTGAGGTGCTCAGAAGGTCCGAGAGTTTCAACACCGGCTGCGGGTCATGGACATCGACCAGACGGATCTCCAGCAGCTCTTCACCATGCTGGACCACAACCAGAGCCTTCCCAAAACACAGAAGCATCGAGGGACCTCCAGGGAGGGCTCGGAGGCCCTAGCTCCCTCGGCGCTGAGGAATCAGACCGTGGATCCGGACGAGTTCAAGAGGACCTTGGCTCGCTGGGCCTTTGACTCGAAGACGGCCACCCGCTTTGTTCGCTACACCCTGCAGCTCGGCGGCTAAAGCCTGGGCGAGCGGCGGTCTGCGGCGGTCTCTGCGCCATGGAAGTGAAGCCCCCCCCCCCCCCCCCAAGGCAGCAGCTAATGGACGATCACAGCTCTGCAGCCGAGAAGCTCTCGAAGATGGAGTCGCACCTAAGCTTGCAAAACTAGCTGCGTCCATGGATCCAGCTTGACTTGGATTGCGAAGTTTGCATACCCGCATCCGCCGCACTACGAACTTCGAGCCGTGCCTAGTTTAGGATAGTTAGTGCCCGGCAGTCGTGTCGGAGCAGTCGCGGGGGCCGAGCAGCAAGAGGGCCCCGCACACTAGCGGTAGATGGCGTCTAGCATGCAAGACGTCGAAAGTACTGGAGTGAGGCCGTGCGTAGCAGGTGTTCCTGTTGGGAGTAGTGGGAAGAGCCGCCCCAGGATCAAAGCAAGCGTAACAAGATGAAATCGCATAAGCAGCAAAGCGGCAGATGTGGCAGCATATGCCAGCATGTTCCGAGCCGCCTCAGGCTTGTCCGTGACAGTTTTCAAGATGCCAGCCCACCTCCCCCTCGTCGGCGCCGGCGTCGGCGCAAGGCGTCGGGGCCCTCTTGAGTTAGACTCAAGGTAGAGATGCACGCTCTCCTGCGTGCACCAGTGTGCATATTTGCAGAAGTACGGAAGTAAGCCTGAGTAAGTCTTCATGTCTGCATAATATGCATGCTCTTCTCTCGCTCTGCCTGCCTGTCTGCCTGCCTGCCTGCCTGCCTGCATGCGTGTATGTGCGTATGTACGTATCTGGTGTGTTTGTATATAGTAGGCGCAATTGTGTGTGCATGTATGTGTGTGTATGTAAGCATGTGTACATGTATGTTTGTTCGTTGTAGGTAAGACAGCGTGTCCTGTCTGTCTGTATGTATGTATGCATGCTCGTGAACACAGAGGACTGAAAATGTCATCGTTGGCTGGATTCTCGTTCACGCATGTGCAGCTTGCGTGCGGTTGCGTGCGCGCAGGGTACGTGCACTTTGCATGCGCATGGGCAGGCATCTTTTTTTTGTCCCACTGCCATGTTTCACGGTTACATCGGACCTTCACTGATTGCACTGTGATGCTCGCTTGCATTTGCAACTCGTATCGGCCTTACGTGACTTTGCGGCAAGCTTGCATTGCCGGTATATTATATGTTTAATAACTGACTATAAAATGCAAAGAGCTGCTAGGAGTGTTTGACCAGCCTGCGCACTGTGACCGTTGAGAATACTACTCTCATGACGTGCTTGGTCTGAGTCTCTATAACCGTTGATTTCTCGTCGCTTTCTTGTGGCCATGTGTCAAGACGACAATGTTGGTCTCGCTGTTGTGGATGCATCGATATTACTGTATGAACTGCATCCTAATTGCATGTCTCCGGCTTTGTCCTCTTGGCGTCGCAGTCATACGCAAGATGGCGGGGGGCAGGTGAAGGCGCAGGAACGCGAGTACAAGGACTTCGGCCGCTGGTAGCATGATTCGGATGTTTGGAGACCCGTAGACTATCAGACTATTGCCGGTTCAAGTCGCCGTCGCATTCCTTTGCCATGCCGCCTCAGTCGTTCAATTCCATGAAAATCTACTTCAGGAGGTTGTGTCCCGTTTTCCTCGACTTAGGCTTTCCTGGAGCTAGGGCCACCGCCACGTTAGTCTTCATGCTCATGTCGTAGTAGTTGCGATGATGGAGTCGTCACGGAAGTGATTGCCTTTGCAGTGCTTTCTCATGCTGGGCGGGGCAGGTGCCGAAAAGTAGCACTTTGTCATCCTCAGTTTGGGGGGCAGGGATGCTTCTTAGCTGGAGGACGTGTAGCAGCCTTTGCAGTCCTGTGGACATCGAGAGTGGCGTGGGCGAGAGCCGTCATGAATTCGAAAGCAGTGACAGCAGATTTTTCACGGCCTCTGACTGGACGTGGCGGGTTTAGTGGAGCTTTGTAGATGTTGCAAGATTTTTCATAGGGCTACGCATGCCCGGAATGTACTTCCCTCGGAACATGCGCCAGATTGCCACCGAAGGGCACCATGTTTGTATTTGCAGCTGTCAGACGTTTGGAGGTTAGAAGCAGTAGCATGTGCAGCATTCACCTTATCCCATGACTCTCTGTTCGGTGGGTTCGGGGCACTGTTGCAATTTTACACGCAGCGGTCGGCTGCATGAATTCGATTGCAAGCTGTTTTGTTTCTGTCTGCAAGTTGCATGCCTCTGGAGCAAGCGGGGCAGGCATTTTGCTGCTGGCATTCCGATGAATTGCCGCCAGCCTTCCTACCTCCTTCGCAGAGATGCCAAGCTGTGGATCTCTCGAGTTTCAAGAGGACGCCTCCACACGACTGCACCACGGATGTCCGCCCTTGTCGCACCACGCTCCAAATCCTGACTTGCCCGCTGTAAATCTTCGCCAGCTTGGGCTCCAGCTGCCGCAACGCAAAGTCGCCGGTTTAACTGACCGAAGAACTGCCCAACATGCCATAGCCAGCTACGACCAAGCCACCCACAAGCCCTGGTGCTGCCATTCAGCCTGACCATGAGCTACTTCTGCATGACAATATCACTACCAACACCGATAGCGATATCGCAGTACTGCGCCGGTTTGCAAGACATACCTGTTGTCATCTTTCACCATCTGAAGCCATGTCTAATCTGATTCCAAACGATGTGGAGCAGATGCACTCAGTCCCTCGCTCAACAGGGACCATTACCAGATGTGCATGGATTTGGCTGTTGGACAAGTTCAGCTGGTTCTCAGACAGCCTTCCGAGAAAGCCATTAACACCAACATGCGCCGACAGCCTTCAAGAGCGACACTTGCGCTGTTCCTGCGTGGATGTCTACACCGATCGACATTATGCATGCCCATTGCCCATCCCTTTAAACTGTCGCGTGGCTCTAGCGTCGTGAAGCAGGTCGCATCGTTTGCGTGTCCCGTCAAGGTCAAAATCGACTATGTGTCCACCCGCGTTGAGAAAGAGGACCTAGAGAAGCTGTTTGGCAAGTATGGTCGGGTCGGAGATGTCACTTTGACGGCAACTTCCAGTTGCGGCTTGAAACAGCTCGTGCGCACAGAGCTCGGCTGAAGGTGTATTTGCCGAGCCATCCCAATGGCGACCGCAAGGGTTTCGCCTTCGTGCGATTCTACAACAAGCAGGCAAGGCTGGCATGTTACCAGTTTGTGATGTCCGGAATGCATATAGGCGTGCTCAATGTGCAGGATGCAGAGGATGCCGTGAAGGAGATGGAAGGCTATGAGCTCGAGGGGAAGACGCTCAAATGCATGCTTGCGACTGTGCAGAAGGGACACTTGGCACAAAAGCGTTGCAGTCTGTGGCATGTTTTCTCGGGCCACATCGTGTGACCTGTTCTGGAAGTTGAGGTCGATTCAACCCCAACGTGCGAAAGGGTTCTGGACGCTCGAGGCCGCACTCATGTAAAGTTCGCGCATTAGAAATGAAGTACTGGACAGCGGCGGCAGGTTCGAACGAACATCCCTATGCGACACTGACGAGTCACCCGTTTTCGTGTTTTTGGGGAGCTTTCTGGCAGGTCAAGGTCCCGTTCTCGGCGGGGCCGCCGCGACTCGAGATCGAGACGACGGGATGCAGCTTGGACTGACAGGGTGTATGTAAACACGCTTATCAAGGAAGGAACACAAGCGTGGCTTTTGGACTCTGATCGCTGGTACCGGTTACGTGCCATCTGGCACTCTTCAGCCAACACATCTGCAGAAAGCAGCTGCAAATCAGAGTTGGCCTGGCCATGTTGCCGCTTCTACTAGGTTTTCCAGGAACACACAAGCAAACATACATATGTAGGTATGTATGTCGTAAGTATGTACGCATACCCCACGTACTTGCCTACGTACGTAAGTATCTGCGGTATGTGATATGTGTGTGTGTATCTGCTACAGTAAACATAACACAAGCACACATCAATAATGACAATAGTCGTATTTTGGAATGAAACATGAAGGGCTTCCTGGGCCTGTAGGTGTGGCCAGCATCTCGGCAACCTTCCAGATGCAAAGCCTCAGGGCCTTTGGCTTAGCAGCGGATAGCAGCCAGGCGCTGGGCAGCTAGGGATTGCAGTGATAAATCTATCTTGAACATGTGTGCGGACAGACATACAAACATGTTCACACTCAGACATCTGAATAGTGTATACACATATTATATATATATATATATGTCTCCATTATGCATTATGTATAATAATTTGTGTGTGTACTATGTCTATAGACGTATATGTTGAATTTTGATGTATGTGCATGTAGATATAAAGATATGCCTGCACATACGCATACGTATACACATGCATACTTTTAAAAATGCCTAGACAGCTGACTTTTTCACGCTGTAAGCAGCTCCTCTAGGCTCCCGGTGTGGTCCGAGGACTCGAGGGGCCGGCGCGACTCGCGAGCTCGCGGGAGATCACCGCCGCGGCGTGACTCCAGGCCGCAGTGCCAGTGCTCGCGGAGTGCATTCTACAAGTTTAGGGAAGGAACGGCGAGTTGTAGCGGCTAGCGGCTAGCCAGCTGGTGAGGGTTGCAAGGCGAGATGCGCAACGACGCTTTGTCCTGGCTCTTCAGCTTGAGGAGCCACTGTTGATGGAATTGAAGTTGAATCACGAGCTTGCGCAGGCCTCGAGGGCGCAGGGACGACTCTAGCCACTCGGCAGGGTGCCTTCGAAAGCTCCATGTAATCAGGAGCAGATGCTTCGGGTCTGAAGGTGTTGCCCGAACGGCAGACTCGCCCTTCCCTGACGCATCATATCAACACTCTCGCGGTGTCTCCTAAGGAGACAGCAGTCGACGCCGTTAGGTTCGCCACGGTCAAGGCGAGCCTCTGGAGGGATGCGTTTGGACTGGGTCCGGTCCCGCCTGCCTTTCACCTCGCAGGTCGCGACGGGCACCGGCCGGCGATGGGCGCTGGGCCCTGCTGTCCTCTCTCTCGTATACGTCTGAGAGCTAGCAGTGAGGGTGTCGGAGCTGCGCTGGGGCCGTTGGAGCCCCTTGGGGTTACCCAAGGCACACAGGTGCATCCTTCCATTCACCATATGGACATTTCAAACATGGACAAACCTGAGCACATGTAGTCGGATGCAGCAGAGCAGAGCCCACCCCCGCACACCCGCAAAAGAGGCTTCATCGCAGCTGCCTGAGAAATCGAAAATCCTGCGTTCTTTCAATCCAAGCTCACTTTCCATCTGTGCAGCTTTGGCTCGACATGGCGAACTACTCGGGGGATGGCCTCCTGTACTATGAAGGCCGGTACTCGTACGTTCAGGGATCTTAAGGCTTCGCTGACGCAAGCTCGTGCAGGTGCGGCAGAGGAAGACCCAGTTCTTACCTTCTCCTTCCACACCCCGAGCCACAAGCTGGTGCTCGATGTAGCTGAGGACAGGGCGAGCTAGTTTCGTTCTGTGCTCCTCATTCTCCCTCGCTCTTTCTCTCGCCCTCCTGACTCCCCGTCCCTCTTCGCTACTCTCTCTTGCTGTCGCTCGGGCCCACTCCCTCCCACATTTTCTCTTTCTCTTCCCATCTTTTCCCATCTCTCGCCATCTCTCTCTCTCTCTCTCTCTCTCTCTTTTCTGCTTGTGCCTCGAGAGAGGCAGGCCAGTTGCAAGGAGCGAAACCGCAGCCGAGCCGGCTCCGACAAAGTTGCGGGCTTCCGGCAGCGCTACGAGAAGGAGGCTGCGGGCTGCGGGCTTCCGCCGGAGAGGGTTCAGGTTCTTCTATCGCTGCTGCTGCCTCCGCAAGTGCTTCTGAAGCCTGAGCCTTGAGCTACAAACATCTGTTTTACGACGGTTGCAAAATACGTAACCGTAACCTTGCTTCTCACCGGATTTGAGATGCTGGTACTACCACCGTAAATGCAGACAAGCCGTCAATCGGATTTGCAGGTTGCAGCAGCCAAGAGCAAGTACGCGGGCATTGAGCCAGAATTTAGCGACGATGACATGAACGCCACCATCACGGAAGAAGATCGCCTCTTGTCACAAGCTTCGTGGCAAGTTCCATTTCACTTTCAGGCCGCATGTTGAAAGGTGTAGCCAACGTGGTCCTTGGCAGTTCATCTCTTGAGGCAAGCGTGGCTGGGAATATCCGTTAACCAAGACGCAGCAGAAGCGAGAGTTTGGGTGTGTCCCCGCTGATCAGCAGCGTTTCCTGTGGCGATTGCAGGACGGGGATTCCAAAGCCTTTCATGCCGGAGGGCGTGTTTTTGGTAACCTAGGTCAGGTTTCTAGATTCTAGTTTGTGGTATGTGCCGATTCGATGCTTTTTTGGTGTGCCTTTCTGTGGAGGATGGCCACCTGGATGTAGTGGAGGAGCTGCTTCTCCAGCCCCTCTCCACACTGCCATGCGACGTTCTGCCCCCACTCTTCCGAAAGCCGTTCGCAGGATTACCTGCAGAACCCCAAGATGCGCAAAGCCGTAGACATCAACCGGTACGATGAGATTGGCTTGACGCCCTTACATCATGCAGCACGCCTCGGCCATGCAGACATCGTCCGGGCCGGAGCCTCAGCCTGCCTGAGCATCTCTGCATGGGAGTTTCGGAGGCCAGAGGCGAAAACACGTGACGTCTTTGGAAGGCTCTCATCGAGGGCAAGGCGGACCCACTGCTGCGAGACCGCAGCCAGGGCCTCACGGCCCTGGACTTCGCCCAGCGCGGTCGAGACTGGGACGCGGGGCCCAACGAAGAGGCTATCAAGGCCGAAGGGAATTGTGGTCCTTGGTCCTCGATCCTTGTTTTTATTCCCGGCTCGCCGCCTGTCTGTGAGGCGATCCAGCTGTTCGAGCCCTGACACCTCCGGTTGCTGGAATCTCCCCCGCCTCTTCCAAGTTCCGAGACCGGAAAACATCAGTGTTGAGCTTTCCAGAGCGCGAGCACACCTCTCGGTGGTCCATGCCCCATGCGCGGAAGTACCAGTCAGCCAAGAGGATGGATAGCTTCAGAGCTTAGCAGGTGGTGCTGGGATGTGGCATAAAGCACACACTGCATGCTGCTAAAATCTGGCTTGCAGCCATTTTGCTCGGACGTGGTCTACCTGCAACGCCACGAATTACGACATGTGCCTTGACAACTTGCCAAACTATAGCCAGGGAGAGACAAGGGAAGTGCAACGGAGTGCAAAACATGTGCAGGCTGCGATGGCAACTGTAGTATGCTCCGGCATCGAAAGCTAGCAAAAGTGAAGTCACCAAACAGGCAAGACGTGCATCATGCGGCGTGCTGTCGCGCTGGATGCGATTGCCTTTAAGTGCAGGCATTGGAGGCTTGAAGCTGTTTGGCGGGGAAGTCGGCTCTTTGTGCCTTTTTGTCCAGGTGGCCCGTCCGGACAGCCGGCACTTGGGCAGTGCAGGACAGGGCCCTCGGAAGCCGCGCCGGGAGCAGAGAGTGGTGTTCGACGCGAGGAGACGCCGAACCCGAATGTCTGGAAGTTCGCGTCTGCGGCTCAGTGCTGCGTAGAGCGCTCGGCTGCTCGGACTGCTCTTTGCCTCTGCGGAGCTTCGAGGAGCTCCTCGTGCCGCGTTCCTCTCCGTGCGCGGCACGAGCTGCTGGACCTGCCCGGCGTGCGCGACGTCTTCGTCGGCGAGGCCGCGCAGCGGCCTAGTATACGCCCAGTAGGCTGTAGCCTAGGCCGAGAATCTGCTAGCGGCTAGCCGAGCACTGAGTCGCGGCGGTCAGGGCAGCTCATGGCTCGCAGTGACGCGGCAGCAGGGCGCCGACTGGAAGCAGTGCCTCGTCGGATCCGACGAGCGGTCTCGCTGTGACGGCTGCTTGAGCAGGTTGTCGGCACAAGTGCAGGATCTCCTCCATGCGCTGCCCGAGGCCAGGCGCAGAGACGATCCTTGAGCGATGTGAGAGCCATGACTCTGCAGCAGATCTGCAGCAGAGTCCGAGCTCCCGAGCTCCCGAGGAGAGCGCCGCCGCGGCAGACAGCGATGCCGAGGGCCCTGCAGGCCCTGGCCGAGGCCCTGGCCCCCGTGGCCTCGGCCCCCGGGCGGCCGAGGATTCAGCCGGGACGACGGACGCTCTCCTTGAGGAGGCTCTCCATGTCAGGGGCGGGGGGCTCCATGTCAGGGGCAACGGAGGGTTGACGTGGAAGAGGTGCTCCTGAACCGGATCCGCCCCTCCGTTCAAGACGACGGAGGTGACGTGGAGCTGAAGGCCGCGCCCCCAAGCTTCGTCAAGCATCGGCAACGCATGGATCCGAAAGCAGTCCAGGCTTGGCATCCAGCCACTGGCGAGGTGGTCCTGCAGCTGAAGGCCAGTGCAGACCAGAAGTAGAAGCGCCCGCACAGCGTGGCACTGCCGACGGCTAAGGGCGCCTGCCGTGGCTGCCCGCAGAGTGCAGTGACCTTGCAAGCACCATCCTCAGTGAATGTCAAAGTGCGGGGGCCCTCCACAAAGTGGCAATCCCCTACAGTCAGTCTCCTCTAGGAAAGCATCCTGAAGACCTTGAAGCACTTCATACCCGAAGTGCGAAGCGTCCGCTCCGAGGAGGTGGGTTTCTTTTTGGGAAGCACTGGCACTCAACGTTCACATCGTTGAGAGGATGCGGAGCCCGCGGACGCTTCAGATCCTTTTGCCGTCACTCGGACGCTTTGGGGTGCTTTGCGGCGCTTGAGCTGAGAAAGAACCCGCTTGGCACGAGGACCTTCCGTGGTTGCACGTAGGGGAGCCGGCTGGCGGCGCGGTACGGGAGATGGTTGCCAAGGGCACGCCCATCTTTTCCACCTTCGCGGGCACGAAGGTGGGAGTCAGAGCGCAGTGAGAATAAGGAGGTGCGAGAAAGGGCTTCCTGTCTCAGGTTGAGGGTGCGAAGCTTCGGCCGCTTTGCTGCAGCTAGACGGCACGGGCCATCACCGTCATGCCGAGCCCAAAAGGCGCATCGGGTTCATGTCGGAGATTGTGTTGGCTGGACGCAAGCCCGAGCACATCTTCGTCCGGAGCCGCCAAGACGAGTAGGAGTCCAGCTGTTCGAGCCAACGCCCTTCCTAAGGTCACATGCCAGGACTGCAAGGCGAAGCGCACCATTGAGGATCCTCAGGACCGGAGTTGGGTATACTATACAGACTTACACAGATCCTCTATCGGATTCATGCTTCATGCAGGATTTGCTGAGAGCTGACAAAGGCAACACCACCGGCAATGCTGCCGTGGCCATCTGCCCCACATGTTGTGTGGTCATTTCTGCCTAGATCCGGATCCGCTCGGGCCGGATTCTGGATGGTTTCACAGCGCAAAAAGTCAAAGCGATTGACCGACCAGTGAGGTCAGAAGTCGAATTTCCCAGCGTCTCACCTCATCACCGGCCACGGCTCGTGCTGTAGCCATAAAACCGTAAAACCCGTGAACAACAGCGTAAGTCAAAGTGTCCCGAATCTGCTTTCTGCTCTGAGGCTCCGTGCAGGGCCCTGAGGCGAAACCAGAAATGCGAAGGCGGAACTTGTGAGTGTTTGTTTATACTTTATACGTGTTACATGAGCTGCGGGCCCAAGCTCATGGCGCAGCTTCGCTTTGCCGCACTTTGTCTACTCGCCTTGGGACATGCACTCTGGCATCACAGCTCTGTTCTTGCATAGCTCTCTCCTGCTCCCTCGGCAGTAGCCGCCTGAGGCCGGCTTCGCCTTCATCTTGCTGATCATCCTTCTCCTGCGGCTATGGGAAGGTGATGTGCTGGTCCAGTGCGGCTTTGGTGGCCGGCCCTATGTGGACTTCAAATGCATTTGCGGAGGAGTCCCGAGGGAGGAGGGAGGGGGCCGCAGGCAAGGAGAGTTTCGGTGCATCCGACGCCGCCCTCATCACCGACATCACCAACATCTCCAGCATCACCGCCACCATCACCCTCTCTATCATCATCGCTAGTAGTGTTTCAGTTGGCTCTGGCTTATCATGGGTCGCAAGCGTTCTGAGTGCGAACCGTCGCAGGTGCGTGTCGCGCGCGCGCAGGAAACCGATACATGCAGAGAGGTATGCGTTGCTGTACTTGGGGCTGCAGGAACACTGCCTTACATCTGCTGGATCTCGGAAAGCTTCAACGGCATCTGGGGCGACGGCGAAGGCATGGAACGACGGGTAGTGTGGCAATCTTGGCTTTGGCACGCGGCTCGGAGACCTCATGTCCTGCATGTCCTGCTTCAGGAATGTTTCATTCTCTTACGGCCGAGGTTGCTTCTGTCACTGGGTCCTGCAGCAGAGGGCTCCCTACTCATCCGAGTTCGTCTCCCAGCCTTTTGACAATTGAGCACAGACTGCAATTTTCAGCCCCGTCTCGAGACTCTGCATGTCTGCGAGGCGCGGGAATGCTGGCGTGACATCTTCGAAGCTCGGTATCAGACCACTCCTGCATTGTCTCGCCTTTACATGTGGCGCGCGCACTGTTGTCACGTCGTTATGCCCTGTTAGCATATGCGGCAAAAACGTAGCGACGTAGTGCTTCTGCTGGCGCAAGATGTCTGCATGATCTCGCATGATGGGGTTGTATGTGCAGACCACTACGAGAATCAGCTTCTTCGCCAGCAGCATGCCGTTTCCTTGCCGAAGGTTTATGGGACCTACTGGCTGCATGTCCTAGGTCGGTACCATGAGCTGGGGATACCTGCTGTTAGCCCTGCTGCCAGACACGTTGCCAGGCGCCTTGATTTCGTGGTGAGAGCTAGTATCCGAATCCCCGCTTTCAAGCCTTTCGGGGGTCTGGTACATGTGCCTTGCAAGTACCACTAGGACAGAGCCATCTGGTGCCACGAGAGGCGACTACCTTTGGCTTCACTCCGGGACCGCATTGCTGGCGCTGGGAACAGCCTTTCTCTTCCAGCTGCCTTGTCAACATGATTGTACATGGATGCATGGATGACTGGCTGGCTGGCGGGTGAAGCATGTGTCATTCAGTGCATTTGACAAAAGGTGCACTAAGCCAGGTGGATCGCAGGACACAAACAACTCAGACGCAAACATGCAGGCGGACAGGTGTCACAGACATACCAACGCATGCATGCATGCATGTTGACATACATGCTCACCTTTGGTGCATGCCGAACGTTTTCTGGCTACTGACAGCGCTGTACTAACAGCAGGTAAGATGAAGCTGTTGTGATCTGTTGTGGCACGGGTTTGCGCAGACTGCATCACTCAGGTTCCTTCTGCCCTGGCGCTGCCTAGGCAAGCCGCAAAGTCTGGGGCTACTGTTTCCCAAAGCTGGAGAAAGGTCCTCAAGTCCTGGCCATGATGGGTTGTCCAGAGTTGTGCATTCGGCTCCATCATTTACAGCAGATGCCGTTGTGACAGGCATGACGCTGACGGCCTACATTGGCTACTACTTTATGCTCAGCGAGTTTGCGATTTTGCAGGCCGAGCAGATGGGTTGCGGACCGGATCCTCCTTTGTCTTCTCCTCCCTGCAGGGCGCGAGCCGACACTTCACGTATGACTGGACCTTCACCCCTGGGGTGCTAATGGAGCCTGGGTCCCTCGTAATGGTGATTTTGGCTCCTTGGTCAACAAGCCTTGGTCTCTGGGAGTCTCGTGATGTGCCGGCAGAGCCGAAGCCAAGGAATGGACCTTGGCCTTTGGTGCAATCACCGTTGTGATCACGTACTGCTGTCATGAGGCCAAGAAGGCAGGGCTGTTCAGAGAAGTTCCCAACCAAGCCGGGGGCCGTCTGGCTCCAAGGTTTGCCGCGACGAGTTGAGAGAGGAGCCCAGGGAGGTTCTTGCCAAGGAAGGCGGGGGGCCTGGCAGGAGCTGCGACTGGCAATCTAGATTCAGGATGGCTTTCCACAGACAAGCCCTCTTGAGCCGTCGATTTGAGCTCAGGTATGGCACATATGGCATGCGCTTGAAAAGAATTATAATTCAACGCCGAGAAGGCAGTTGGCCTTTTCCTGTGAGTTGCAGTCAGTCGGAATCTCCGAATCTCCCATCCTTCAGCGCCCCCCGACCCACAGTCTTCTGGCTGCGGCTCACTGCACTGGCTTTGTTGACGTTTCGCAAAGTTTTGTTTGCAGTTGCCCTGTTCGAACGCATGGGACGACCGGACTCGTGCGCTCACAACCAAGGCTCCATACCGAGGACTGCAGCTTTGATAAGCTTGGTAGGGACGGGGGCTCCAAGGCAGGTGGTACGGTAGGGGCGAGCGCAGACGTCTGTGTGGAGGCTTGGACTTATGGCCTCGATATAGTTACAATAGCTCCAGGCCCAACGTCCAACTCTTTTCCAGCCTTCATGCAAAGACAGGTGGGCTCAGAAACCTGATCTTCCAGAAGCAGGAAGCATAGTTCAGACCTTTCCATGATTCCGTGATGGGACTTGAAGTTTTCGAGGTGCGCCACTCTCTTAGAGTGGAGTTTGAAGCGCCAGGGTACATGTACGTGTCCGAGTCGGAAGTCGGTGGCCCTATGCCTCGCAATCAACAGGGTGGCCCAGAAGGCAGCAGAGGACCTCCCAGAACGAAGGGACTCCCTACAGATCATTGCAGGGTTGGTGAGACTTCTGGGATGGCTGCGCCTCTGGCGAATTTGATAACGGCCGGCTGGTGGGCATGCGCAAGTCTGCTGTGCAAGCGAAAATCCCGGCAAACAGGCCGCAATTATTTCAAAGAGCTCTTAGGCCTCTTTTGGGCGCCGTGCTTTGGGGACTCGCCTTGAACATGCTGCGGCGCCGCAAAAGCCAGCCGCAACTCGTGCTGGCAGATTTTTGTAGCATTCGGTGGGGTCCGGAACATGTCGGCCCCTTGGCCTTGTGCTGCACTTGGGCTGGTCAGCATCCCGAATCCCCACTCACAGCCAACCCCAGCCGCATTGCATATCTTCTCCGAAGCCTCGGAAAGCCTCCAAGCAGTGCAGACAGTGCAGACTGTTGTAGACGCTCACTTAGAGCCTCAGAACCAGCTCCGATGGATGCTTGCCATGCCTGCCATGGGTCTGGCGCGAAACCGTCGTCCGTCGTCTCGGTAGCTCAGTGACAACGGCAATCGGCTTTGCAGGGCTTCTAATTCTATTGACAGTGAAGGCGAAGTCACAATGCCGCTGCCGGCGACGGAGAGCACGCCTGCATGCCACGAGGGCTAGACGTAGAGGGCCCTTTGAGATCATACCAAGGTTGCAGGTCGGCAAAACATTTGACTCCGAGCTCTCGGCTCTGAAAGCGCATGCCGCCACTCTGCCTGCACAGAAGTGCACATTAAAGTGCGGTAGATCAGTCTATCGTGAGTGATGTGGAAGTGCTCCGCCATAGGATGTCAGCACGGCATGCGAGTATGGTGGTCTTGACGGGATTGGGAGGTCAGCAGCTCCACTCATGCAGACCATGTTAGATTTCCAGCGCGGTTTGCCAAATTGCACACCCTCGCCGTACGCAGTGCTTGGGTTTATGGTTCCCTCACACTGTGTGATCGTCGTCAGGGACTGATGTGTGCCCGATTTTCGGACGGCCCGTCCAACGAACATGGGGTTGGAAGCTTGTTACTGAGCGTCACGGCCCGATGCTGGCGTCGCCAGATTCAACTTACTCATGCAGTTCAAGCGAGCTCCACAGGACAGCTTGGCCATCGAACTTTCAGTGCAATGCACGGCGGCGGAGCTGCTGCGTACAGAGGCAAGGCGGCGCACAGAGGAGGAGCTTTGCATGTTAATGCCTGGCAGCTTCGCAATCGCTAGTCAGTTGCCCCGTTCAGTTCTGGGAAATGAAACCTTCAGCAAACACAGGAAGGGAACTGGGTGCGGGGATGCGGGAGGTCCCCAACAAGAACTTGAATGGTGTGGGGCGATTGTAGACGCAGTTGTATGCTGAGTAGGCAGGCGTTGGCAACTGCAGCTGACGCCTGTTGCGTATGACAGGTCGCCGTCCTCCTTTGTCGGAGAAGCCAGCGAAGGGTCCGTGCAGTTCCACGGCTGCTTTGTGTGCCGCTGCGGTACTCGCAAGCTTCCAAGTCTCCAAGTCAATTTGCAGAGGACTTTGGTCAAGTTTTGGTCCTTGGATTCGAAAAGTACCATCTTTAGGGCTTGCCGAAGGCTGCCACATCAGATGTCAGAAGGCTGGAAGAAGAGCATCAGAGCGTTTGCCATCAATCCGGGTTACGGGTGTTCAAGAGCGTGTGACCGTCTCGGGCAGCCGAGGATGTCTTCCACACCTGGCGAACCCGGTGTAAGAGGCGAGTCGAGACGCGAATCGAGGTGGCCAACCCATCCCTTCGAGAGGTCCATGAGGGGAGCTGTGCATCGGGAAGCGGAGGGGGGCGTGGGGGATGATATTCGGATGTTGTTCTGAGGGGCATTGCCAGGACTTCTTGGTCCCGCGAAGGTATTGGTACTGTTCGATACTGTTCCTGCCTGGGCGAGGAGAACGCGCTGCGCTGTGGGACCCTGCTCTGCTTTTTCCTGCGGCCTGCATTCACTGGTACGGCACGGATTACTTGGTTGTTCATGCAGTTGATAGTTTTTTGTTTTAATTTTCGTGAACCGCCACAATCTTGGTAACGCTTGTCGGGTTCTGAAAAAAAATGGCCTAGGCGATGTGCTCTGTGCCAGGTCCACCACACTCAAGCAGAAAGTCATAAGCCACTGGCGCTTGGCCATGCAAAGGGAAGGGCGGCAGGGGCCGAAACTGGACCTGCCGCGCGGCTGGCATTATTGTTCAAGCGATCTGAGTAGATGGGCTTTTGGGTCCTCGCTTCAGGCGAGCTTTCCGTGCTTGGCGGCTGCAGCTCTACTTGCAGCTATTTTGCACGAAGTGAAGGGCAAGTCCGTCCAAGACGGTTTAGTGGATGCAGCTTGCTGCACGGAGGTGGGCCTGGCATGCAGCCGCGGTGTCTCAACAAGGCGCTGCAAATCTGCAAGTGTCGCTCGTCAGCCGCCGCTAGTCCCCGCCTTAGGCCTTAGTCCCCGTGGAAAGGTGGCGCGCCCGGGGCCTCCCTTCGGCTGGTGGCGCTCCTCCGAACGCGCCGGCGGAAGGACCTGCTCTCCACCGTGCCTCGGCGAACATTTGAAGGGCATTGCAGCTGAAGGTTTCTGAGGGTCAGCGAATCCAGGGTTCTTTTTTGCGAGAGTTTCGTTAAGGCCTGGGCAGGCTGGCAGCCACCGCCTCAGTGTGGAGCTTCTTCTAGACTCGGCTAGACCGCCTTTGTGTGACCTGTAGGATGGGCTCCACGGAAGTGGCCCGTGGCATGGCCAAAGTTAATGCAGGTTTTGGCAGGAAAGTTTGCCGCTTAACACCCCGACGATACGTGCCAGGTGTGCGGTCAAGAGCAGCCGATGCTCTGTCCACTCTGCGAAGATTTGACTTGGCCTATGCTATCCTGCCACCTGCAGTTCAATGGAGCCTTCACAGATGTTCGGCCCGGCATTGGCATTTGCAGTATGATTTGATCGCAATTTGCCGTCCCAGGCAGGCGTGGCATGGTGCTTTGGTCTTCGCCAACATCCAGCGGAGCCAATTCGAAGGCCCAGAGCTCCAAGAACCAGTCTGCCTGAGACCTGAGCAGCGCCCGCCGTGCCCGCAGCTCAGAGTCCCGCTGCTCGAGGCTCCAGCGCAGCTTTTTAAGGAATGCGGAGCTCAGGCTGTGCCGTGTTTCAGCCGGTGCTCACCGCCTACGCAAGGATTGGGAACTTCATGCCATGGAAGCCTGGCAGCCAGTGGGACATTCTGGGTGCCTCTGCATGAAGATCCCATCCCATACATGCGCCGGCAGGACACCACGTGTGCCCGTGACGGAGCCAGTCACGACTCTGGCGGAGCCCACCGTAGCTTGGCGACTGCTTTCATCGGACTTGCGTTGACCGTCTGACCGCCAAAGCCGCTTCTCGACCGAGACCCGAGCTCTTCACCGCGAAGCGCGGAATTTGGAGATCCCTTCCTTTGCCAGGTGGCTTCTGCACGAGTGTTCTGAGGTCCAAAATAGATCACTGATTATGATGGCCTTCGGGTTCAGATCGTGAGGACCATGTCCGGTCTCCTCTGGTGCTGGCGACGCCTGGCTGCAGCGGGGAAGCTCCAGCGCGCGAGGAGCGAAGGGGCCGCCCTGACTGCAAAGATCAAGCTATAGCTCTAAGCTAAAGATCTCTACATGGCGGTCGGGTTTATAAGGGACCCGAATTTAGAGAGCTATCCAAAGCCCCATGTAAAGCTTCCGTCAGCTGCCCATCTGACTTCGCGTTCCCTCCCCACTGCAGAGCACCCGTCTTGACGGGCAATTTCAATGCCAATGCCATATCCCCGAACACGGAGGCTGTTCGGCCCCCAGAGTCAGGTCCTGCGAACTCAGCGCACTTGGCTGATCTTTGCGCTGGAGTCCTGGCGGAGGGCTCTGCTCCTCAGCAAGGCTGGCAGCGTGCACCCGCGCGCTCGCCCACGCGGCTGCGGCGTCCCTCCGTTGTGGGCAGGTGGCGGAGGTGAAGCAGCAGCTCTCCAACCGCTCCTTCGGGCTCCTCATCCTCTCGAGTCGGAGGCCAGTCGGGCAGCGAAGAAGAAAGCGAGTGTCTATAGTCTACGTTTGTCCTTTGTCAGCACTGTCTGAGCACTTGAGATTTCTTGGCAGGGGCTTGGCTGCTGCCATCTGGCACTGCTGGCGCTGCGCCGTGCTGCTGCTCTCCAAGGGCGCCTTGGAAGTGTGCGTAGGAAGCTGTGAGACTGTGAGGTGCAGGTGTTTCTTCTTGCATCCCTCGTTTAGCGCAGTTTTCCCGACGCTTCCTAAGACCGCCGCGCCCTCCGCGCCGCTTCTCAACTTGCGCGGCTCGGTGCCCGGACGAAGGAGGTTCCGCTTCGTTTTAACTGCGTCGCATTCTGCATCCGTTTAACGGTCTCCGGTCTCCTTGTTGAGATGCCGTCAATCGGTGAGCGAAGCAGCGGCATGAGTGGAGCCCGTGACTTCTCGGGTGTTTTTGTCTTGCGAGAGGCCTTGCGCGGTGCTTTTCGCTGCTCCTTGCACCTTGAATTGAAAAGCTCCGCAATGCTTCGTGTGGCGACGGTTTGACCGGACGGGGCCTTCCGACCTTCCTTGAGAAGCACTGCGCTGCACTTAAGGGTGTTGGTGCTGCTTCGAGCCTGGCATTGGCTGGTTTCTGCTGGCAAGCTGCACTACAGCCGCGGGAGGAGGGTTGATCAAAGGATGTGTAAGGGGGCGGATGCGCAGAGTTGCAACGCATTCTGTTTGCAGGCTTCAAGGAGAGCTGGCCGTGGCTCTAACCCGGGGCCAGGCTCACTGCACCAGTGCCTTTCTCGATTCATAGATCCCATGCCACCGTCGCAAATTTCGTAATTAATCCCCTTATTTTTTGAGCGACGAGACACTAAGACCTTGCAGCAGCCGCACCTCTTCATTCAAGAGACCGCTTTGCCTTAAACCCCAAACAGTTTCTGAACAGCTTGTCTGTGAAGTGTCATTGCGAGTGCTTGACCTGTCGTCAACCCCTTCGGGGGTTTTGGCGCGGGGCAGCACCCTGACACTCTCTCACAGAAGGCTGCGGTCAGAAAGCAGTGGAATATTAAAGCGGCCCTGCTTGCTTTTTGGTGTCGCGTTGTCTTAATTACTGCTCTTTTGCTTCTCGTCTTGCTTTTCCGATAGTGGGCCCAGGGTTCCGGGCAGAATCCACCGCACCCCCCAATTCCCAAATTGCTTCTATGATCCTCCTGAAGCTCCCCGAGTGCCAACCGGATGTATAGCAGCTAGCAGAAGACATAGACCATAGTATTCACTAACAAGCAACTTATATATACATATATATATATATATGATATCTAGATAATATGATCCTTATCTAAGATAGTGCGGTATAATATGGTTAATAATATGGTAAAACCAAGCAAGTTGTATAGCATGTTTTAGATGTAGAACCCGGTATAATATACGTATTTAGTCATATTGTTACGCCTAATTATGCTTAATAACATATATCATCGTATAGCATAAACACAATATGCATAGAGCACTGAGAACGGAACGGGAGCCAGAGTTGTGTTGAAGGCCTTGGAGAGGCGTTGTTTGTCGCTGGGTCGCGAAGCCGACGCCCTCCTCCTTTTGGCCGCTTTGGGGCGCTGGCGCGGCCACGTGAAAAGGCGGAGCGGGCTGGCCTTCCTCGCGCGACCGCCACCGCGGCCACCTGTCCAGGACTGCCCCCGACTTACGATTGGTATAGTATAGTTCAGACTATGAGATCACAAATTCAGGAGGCCTGGCTACTTTGGCGGCTGCTGACAAGGCAGGCACGTGATGCGGAGGCTCGAAATTCTCGTGTTGCGGAACTTGCGTTTCCGTTGCTCTGTTGTCGTAGACAAAAAAAAGCTGGATGGCTCATGATACTTCCTGACTCAGATACTCAGAGGTCCCACGTTCTATAGCTTACCTTTGCTGGCTCCCAAACTGTTGTTGTGCTGTTGTGCTTTTGCTGTGGCCATTCTTCGTAGTCTTACAGTCCCTGCGTGACCAGCATCCACCAGAAGAACAAGATTAAGAAGCATAAGAAGATGTTTATCTTGACCATTATCATGGTCTTATCATCATGGTGACGGTGACCATGCTTTTCCACAAGCTGGGGAAAGGCAGCCGTACCTGGCATTGATGGATATGCTTTCAGAATTGGCGCCAGCGCTTTACGGTTCAAACCCATTCCGAACAGATTTGTCATCGCTCCAAATGAAATATTCCGAGGATTTTTCGTGAGGATGTGGTCGTGGCTCAGATTGTGTATCTCCCATCTCGAGGCGAATTCAGGTACATATTGCTTGTCCAACCGGAGTTTCTGCTAACCCTAGGAACGGACTTCGGGGCACGCTTCAATGAGCGCATGATGAGCACATTAATGCAGGCTATTATCCGTGCTAGCATTCATACCGCCACATTGGGGAGGTTTCACCATAGTTCGTCGTTGGGTTTCTCGAACGTCGGTCCCGAGGACGCCTTCCACATGTTTCCGCATGCCATAGAATACCATGCTCTGGATCGGATGGATCGGCTTTGGCTGACGAGTTGTGCTCGGACCCGGGTTCATACACAAGGGCTATGGTGGGCTGGGACAGGTGGCAAACGTCCGCGAGTCCCAGTTTCTGCAAAAGGGGGAGGAAAAGGCAAAGGTGGCAGGAAAGGGAAGGCCCAGCAAGGACAGCAAAACAGAAACATGTGCACTGGTGACGACAGCAAAAAAGCGCCCCGCAACCGCAACGACGGCAAAAGACTACGCGCCCCCGCAACGACAGCAAACAAAACGCGCCTCCGCAACGACGGCAGAGAATAAGACGCGCCCTCGAACGAAGCGTTTCTCTACGCCCCAGAAATCAGGGTTATTTGACTTGTGATCGACAGCCCTCTCGTTTGCTGTGTTCCGCCTCAGCATTGTCTCCACGGGGATTGCAGGCACTGCTAACGGGTTTGTGTTTCTTTTGCTGTGGCTGCTTGCCCTCTGCAGCGAGAAAAAGAAGACAGAAATAGCGAATACACATAACTCAGGAATGACAGTTGAAAGGACACTAAAGAACGAATAACGGGAAGAAAAACAAACACGAACAACGAAAGGAATAACGAAACACTGAATTCCAAAACAAGACAAGACATAGATAGATGGAATGTAGCATGCATATATATATATATATGTATATAATATATTGAGAGACAGAGGGTGTGTGTGTGCGTAACGGAGAAGGAAGAGAGTGTAGTGTGTTACTTTCTGTATATATATATACATATCTACACATGTAGTCTATATTGTGTACCGCTTAATGTTCCCGAAAAGATGTATAAACACACAATATAGCTTACGTATGTTGTAACACACATACATACATACATACATACCTACATCATACATACATACATACATATACAGGAAGTGTATTTTCGTACATCCGTTTGTAAATATACGTGCATAGAATACATGCCTCTATGTATGCGTAAGCATCGCCTAAACATGTTCATACATGCATACATGCATACATGTATTTATGCGTGTGTTTGTGCATGTCTTCGGCACATACGTATGTAACGTGTATGTATTACGTGCCTATGGTATTGTTTACACCGTTACTGCAGTTGTCCCTGGGACCTCGTCTGATGCGTTCGAGCACGAGTGACAAACAATGTATATATACATATACTCACAGGTCATGTGTAGTGTGTACATGTATAGAACTATGTATACTGCGCACAGCTACACACGTGTGTATGTGTGTGTATATATATATGTATATATATATGTATATGGTACCCCCCCCTCCGGTACCTACCATTTTGGTTTATTTGCTATGGGCCTACACGTGTACTGGTTTAGATTTGTTGGCTAAATTCAAAAAAGAACTAAACTAATCCATGCTTTGAACTGTTCACATAGGTGGCCGGTAGCACTTTAGATGTGTTGATTGGTTTCATGCGCCCCAGCTCTTTTCAGCGTTAAATTAAATGATGCAAGCAATTGGAATATATTGCTTTAAAAATGTATGAATTGGGCCGAAATAACAGAACTAAACGGCTTAGTTTTTACTTTATACGGCGTGGTTTCCAACCTTTGGATTAATAACAGACATTTTGTGAGCTTACGTGAGCTAGTTCGATAGATTTGATTAATTTGATTTAAAAACTCGATAAAATGACTTAGTTGAACTGCTTAAGTTCTGGAACTCACATCACACATCTTAACTGGCTGAATTCTTTTCTGGCTAACATTCCAACATTGCAAGCCAGCGCTCCAACAGTCTAACATTCCAACCTTCTCTTGCCCCCACATCTCAACATTTCAGCATCCAACATTCCAATTATCCCCCCTGGCATTTCAACATTCCATCATTTTTGGTGACGTGGGGGGGGGGGAAGAAAAGAAGGAATGTTTGAATGGTTTGGGCCGGCAACGATGTTGGAATGTTGGAATGCTAGAATACAAGTTTGGAATGTTGGGTGGGGTGCACCTTCCAGCATTCCACTTTTTCTGGCCCTGTGAAGTACAGACTAGCTCCCATGGGGCCAGACAAATTGGCATGATTACGTGCCACAGCGTCAGCTTCATTCCGTGAAAATTCACGCTTGAAATACATTGCACCCCTAGGAGTTTTCAGGTGTCAAAACCATCTAACGTTGTGCCCTGTTTAATGTTGGGGGGTCCTCTCAATGAATGGGGGGGGTTCCCTTTAGCGTGCTGCAAAATGACTTCAGAAGGGGTTTTTGCAATGTTGCATATATAAACCCCTGCCCAAGCTCTACCCGCCGCTGGAAGACTCAACCAAAACTAAACGCAGTGTCCGCCGCCACAGTTTTTGGAACTCCGCTCCGGCTGCTCTGTTGAGTTAAAGACCATCCGGATTGATCAAAGAGTCAAGGGTCCAGCTCCGCTTCGAAGAGGAAGGCTATGCTAAACGAGGGGCAGCATTAACAACATGCTATTAATGCAAAACCCTGGATTTGATCGTTGGGGCTGGCCATCGACATTTGCAACTGGTCTCCTGCCTCCGGCTACCGGCTTTTTCCATTCTTGGATGGCAAAGCTAGAAGCTAGCAGTATGCTTTTAAAATCGTTTCGACCACCCCAGGGGTGGGACTGTCAATCTTCATCAAATCATGTCCAAGAGACATTTTTACCAACAAATGACACGCATGGTGCTTTCACAGAAAACGATTGTTCAGTTTTAGAGCGCTTCCTACCTCCTAGTGCAAACAGTTAGAGCTGACAACTTACCCCCCAAACCCTGAAACATACGTCGCAAGCATTATTGGCCAGCTTCGAAAACCTGCTGAACACTTGCAAATGTCGGGCCCCATCTTGATCCATCAGATATGAAGTTTTTCACAATGATAACATGAATAGGTACTGGGTGCTTTGTCATTTCGGGGTGGAAGGCTTCACATAATTAGGGCAGAGCGATTCGTTTGACTGCTTTCCCCCTTATAAACCAGCCGTTCAAACAGAATGTGTGCCGTCAGCGTTTGAGCATGGTATGCCTAAGCAGGGATGCTCACTATGTTTTCTGGTATTCTTCAGAATTCAGAAGCCGAGAATGTTTCAAGCGAGTGAAACGAGCAGAGGCACTCACGCGAAAGATTGTAGGGTGGAGGGAGGGCATCAGATTGTTATTGACAGGCAGCCTCGAAGGCTCAGGCTGCCCATGATCATCTGATTTTTCCCGAGCGCGAGCAGCCATCATGGCATTGCCGTCGGCGGCCACGGCAAGAGCGTGGAGTAACCTCAGGGAGGTGCTGACGACTTTGCGAATTGAGCCTGCTCTGTGGTCTTCTCTCACAAACGTGATGGGGGATCCGGGAGATGAGATTCGGCACGTGGCAGCTTTGAACCAGTGGGCTGTCACTCAAGCCATAGGAGCCGCGCAGATTTCTGCCGGGCAGGGAGTTACTGTTGTTCAGGCTGCTCAGTTGGGATTGGTGTGGCGCTCGTGCAGAAAGGCCATCTACCTTAGAGACGGAGGTGATGAGGACAGCTTCGTGGACATTGATCCCTGGGAGCAGAGGCCGGCTATAGCAGCGAGGCCCAGCTCTTCAGTGCCGAGCGTGAAGGAAAGTGTGTTGAAGATGTCAAGCCTGCTAGATCAGACCGATGATTCGGAACTGCTCCCGCCGAAACCCGAGATGGTGCAGCAGTGGATGCAAAGATACATGTTGACCATGGGTGCACCGCCAGAAGAAGAAGAACCGACCGAATCCCAGCTAGCTGCTCTACACAAACGAGTTGATACATTGGATCAAGCTCCCTACGTAGACTTTGGCGTGTGGCTTCCGTTCGGCAGGAGATCACTCAAAGCACAAAAATTTCGAGTATATCACCCATTGGGCGACGGAAGCTACATGATGAAGGAAATGCCGGGGCCGCAGAACTACCAGCAGTGGATGGCTTCTTGGAGAGTCTTCAAAGTTGCGGCGTTGATGTTGAATGTGGTTTCCTTGGCAAACCTGCTTAGCTACGAGAAGCTTATCGAGAGGCTGGTGGTTCAGTGGCCCAACGCGTGGGGCTTGATCTGTCAGGCGGAGGACAAGGCCAGGGCCGAGAGATCGGAAAAGATACGGAGGCGAATCTTGGCTCAGGACCTGGCGGGCAAGGACACGCCAGACGACTGGAACCGAGCCAGCCCTTGGACGTGCTGTTTTCGCGAGCTTGTAGCTGACGAGAAATTTTGGTCAGAGCAGGTGAGGCACCCGGCTGTGGCATGGACGGCAGCCGGAGGACGAGGAGTGCCCATGGCAACGGCGGAGATGATCGCCGGGACGCACATTCCAGGACTTGCTGATGGAGCTGATTCCTCGAGACTGCCCGAAATTGGCGAAAGACGCAAGCAGATCAATCGGGACAGGCGGGCGGCCAAGAAGAAGCGGATACAAGACGAGCGCGAGGAGCTTGCCCGTCTCCGTGCTGGTCCCCCTCGAAAGGCCCCGTCGCACGAGCAGAAGGGCGACTCCAAAGGCTCCGGGAAGGGCAAGTCGAAGGACCAGGCGGGCTCGGCATTATGTTATAGTTGGGGCTCTGGAAAGGGGCCGTGCGCTGAAGTCCCGGCCGGAGGGGAGTGCAAGTGCCCCGTGAAGAGAGTTCATAAGTGCCAGTTTTGTTTGTCTCCTGCACATAGGAACGCGGACTGCCCGAATCGTTGAGGCATGTCAAAAGACAGGTTGCGCTTTGTGCATGGCGCGGGGGCTGTGCCTGCTGTGGAGCTTTGGGTGTGAGGACCCACCGCGGCGGGGAGTTGGCAGCTTAACATTTGGCGAGTGCCGTTGCAGCGTCCGGTTGAGGCGGTACCATGCAGTGCTTGCTCGTCTTGTTATGTGTAGGGCTCGAAGGATGTCGGTCGCCCCGGCGAGCGCCGGCACAGAGCCGAGTGATGATGGCACATCGTCGGAAGCTCCGCCAGTTGCCGGGCGAGTTCGGGAAGCGCTAAAGGGTGCTGCTAACTTCGGGGAGTTCAGATCGAGGAGGCGCTTCGTGTTTGTGCACCTGTTTTCGGGCGAGAAGGACATCCTCGGGGAGACCGTGAAAGCAGCCGCCAAATCCCAGGGTTTGACCGTGGACGTTAGGTCTGTGGACATCAAGGGCCCAGAGCGGGGCGACCTCAGTAAGGAGGAGCCGTTCGCGGAATTAATGCAAGCGGCGGCGGACGACCACCGCCCGTGAGAGGCAGGCTGCAGATCTATGGGTTGGACAGCAACAACGTTGCCCAACAGAGGGAGGCGGATTTGGGCACCATTTTGGCCGCCCGAAGCTGCCAATGGCTGAAAGAGGTGCTGGATTCGCAAAAGCGAAGGAAGGTGCCCGAAGCCGGCACCCTCGAGAATCCACCTGGCTCGCAGGATGGGCCCGACGGGCCCATGTGGCTCCTGCCTGAAGTCACGGCCTTCGAGAAGGAGATCAATGCTACCAAGGTTTCGTTTAACACCTGTGCGTATCAGATGGGACTTAGAAGCCGATGGTGGAAACTCAGCACGTGGGCTGGAAGGCTGAAGGACATCGAGACTTTGGCCGCCAGCCGTACGTGCCCGCCGGGCTTCAGGCACGAGAAGCTGGTGGGGCGAGCTCGCACCGATAAATCCGCCGAGTACCCCGAGGACCTGTGTGTCAAGTATGCCGCTTTGCTAGTGAAGACCTTCAAGAAGACGCTTCAGCTGGAATGGTGGCGAAACGAGGTGCGCTGCAAGAAGGAGATGGTGTCACAGCTTCAGGTTAAATGGCTAGATTCAAAAGAGAAGCAGCTATCACATCAGCAGGGGGCCGCCTCGCAGAGTGGGGGATCAAAGAGAGTTTGGTCGTCCAGGGCAGCCACGGTGGACGTCGACCCAGATAAGCGGGCGTCCAAGAAGGCCAGGAGAGAGATGGAGAACGTGCAAGCCGTCGGCGGCATGAGGAACCCGCAGGCTAGCGTGTCCAGGCTGGGAAAGGTGGCCGAAGTGGGCCGAGACATCGCGAGGTTGTGGAGGAGGTTTGCACGAGAACACCCAGAGGCCAGCAAAAGCATACGGTTCCAAGGACTGCCAGCCGGACATGAAGATCGCGGAGGCCTGGAAGGATGAGCTAAAACTGCTACTCAAGGTGAAGGAGGAACCCGGGCTCAACCTCAAGGAGAACATCGAGTTCATTTCACCACTGGACCCGGCAATGTGGCGAGCCTGGCAAAGAGCATCAGCGGATCCCGAAAAGCACATTGCCGAATGGGCCAAGGATGGAGCCCCGCTGGGAATGGGAAAGGAGATCCCGACCAGCGGGGGGGTGTTCCCAGAGGTCGAGGCGACATCGCCTATGCTCCCAGCTTGGTGCAGGATACGGCCGAAGATGCGAAACACCATCTCTCTGGGCAAACGCTATAAGTTGACTCTCCTGGAAGCTTGTTTATTTCAGGAGATTTCAATGCAAGGTTAGCTCTTGGGGTAAACGACTTTCCAGCGATAGTCCGGAAAGAGACAACACCGTCTACGTATTGGAGTTTGTGCACAGCTTCGATATGCAACTCCCGCAAGCGTTTCTGTCTTCTTCGCTGGCGCACAAGGTTACTTACAAAGAGGTCCTTTGGCATTGACATGTGATTAGACAACTTTCTCCATTTGTCGAGATAACTGAATTGGGTAGTCACTTTCAGCTTGCTGCAAACACCCTCCATTTACCACTCTTGTGTTCTTTGTCCATTTCTCTTCCTATCAGCTCCCTAAAGACCAAGCCCCCTCCTGCTTTAGCTTTGACGCAACCCACAGTGTACTTCCACAACCTGGATTCATCACTTCTTTACTTTTGTAATCACCCTCTGCACCCACCGTCTCCGATGAAAAGTCATGTTCTCACTGACGCCGGGTCTGGCATCAACAACAGAATTACTCCCAAGACTATCCTGCAGGCTCGGGTTCCATCGTCTCAAACGTGTATCGGGATTGTCCAGTGCATCTACTCTCTCACATCGAAGGCTGTGTCTGCACCAATCACGAGTATGCAGGGGGAAAGAGACATCAAACAATACGACGAAGCTACAAGCGTTGGTTGATCTGTTCGATTATGTTTTCTATCATCCTCTCTACCAACGATGCACGTGTATACTGATCACAATATGCTATGAACATACCACTAGGCGACTATTCCGGCACACGTTGCCGAATTGTCGCGTGGCTGCAGAAGTACTGCTTCGCTATTCGAGGTAAAGTTTCATGTCTCCATGTTTCACGATTTCCCTTGCAGAGCCTTCAGCCTCCAGCAACTAACTTGGACCTCAAAAATTGGGAATCCGTGTCGCTCAACCATCACAACACATTGTTTTCGCAGAATCAAAGAGGCCTTTCCACACCGTCGCAGCGACTGCTTTGACACATTCTACGACACCCGGACAGCTTCGAATGTACGTCTACTTTCATGTCCTCCAAAGCATACCGCCTTATAGGAGGTCATCGGTCCGGCAGGCCCACTCCGCATTGGGCGGAGGTTTCTATGGCGGAGGCGTACATCCGACCACAACCCGATTTCACGACATTCGCCAAGACTACTGGAAGTTTCTTTCAGTCTGCGCCGGATGTAAAGCAAACTCACTGCACCAATGTCTCGCTCAAAACTGTTGAGGTTTGATGGGCGTAGCTGAGTCCCTGAGAGGGAGAGAGAGAGAGAGAGAGAGAGAGAGCTGTTGGACGCAATGTCGTGCACATTGAAAAAGACTGGTGAGCATCATCACCGCCGTCATGATGATGATGATGCTCATCATCATCGTCGCACTTCTCCTATCGACGTTGTCCATTCTCCAGGCCGCCCTTCAAACCTCCGCAGCCGAAGTGCGGCAATCTTGCCGTGACGCCACACGCAGGCTGGCCTGTCCCTGGCAAGATAGGATCAAAACGTTGCGCGGCGAAAGCGTACTTTGCAACTGCGTCGTTTATCTTGTTGTTACTCGCGTGCAAAATCCTGCAGCATCTACTATTTCGTGTGATTGCAGGCAAAAAGGATTGCTGGAATTCCAGGGGTTGATGTTGTGGAGAGAAGCTTAAGTCTTTACTGAAGGATGAAGACGACGTTGTGTCGCAAGACAACAGAATATCTCTGACAATCTGCTGTTCGCGTGTAGTCGCTGAGGTGCTTGGTCTCCATGGCTGTCCTCCGTGCTTGGCACGCTCTCGTCGCAGATGCACGGCACGTAATGCAGACGGTTGCGCAGAGGAAGGACGTCGAGGCCGGCAATTTGTCTGAAAAGCTGCAGGCAGAAGCGCGATCTTAGATCACTCAGGTGCTCCTGGAGTCCCAGAAACAACGGGCTTTGCTGCTACTGGGTGGCCGACAGACGCAGCGGCCGCTACTTCGGATCCTTCGTGTCTGGAACGGGCCCTGTGGCAAAACATATGTAAAGCCTATTTTTAAGTTTTGCCTTTGAACTCCGAGGATCCTTGTCAAGGTCAGCCTTATGTATAACAACATCCCCAAGTCGCCTCGAAGCTGGAAACAATAAATCCGACAATAGGCTAAGATGCGGTAGGACAGATGGAAGCCCCACTCACCTGTCACATGGCTAGCTTGTGTCGACTCGGGGGCTGTAGGCGGTGAGTAAGGCTTCCTGACCTAACAAGGCGCCGCCTTAGAGTCACCACTAGTTAGGTCCTTGAGGCGGGAACTAGTACCCCCCGAAACAGCTGGGACCGGGAGTTGGCCTTGGCAGGTTGAGTCGGGAACGCCACTGGCGTCTTCGCATCGTGCAGTTGGTCTACACCAGCCTTCTCTCGCAGGCTGGTGCCCGTGCCTCCTAAACCCCAGTTTGCCAGTGTCTGAGTCCTCCAGAGGTATGAGTAGCCCATCGGTGTTCTGCATTGACTGGCGCCTTCCACGTGCCGTGCCAGGGGCAATAAGAGCTCGCCTGCCGTTAAACTTATCTGTCGCCATCTTTCCAAGAAGATGCTTTCAGATCCGAAAGAAGACTCCCACCTCAAGCCTGTGCCATCCTGTTCCTTCCCTTTCCCTCTCTGCCCTCTCTGTCTCCGCCTCTCGCTTTCTCGCTCTTGTCGGTTGTTTTGGGCGCAGCTCTCGAAAGCAGTACCTCTGGCAGTCCACGGCGATCTTGCGGCACTGTTGGAACCTCTGGCAAAGCCGACTACACCAGAAGAGCTGCCTCTTGGAGAGATGGAGTTCCAGTTGCAGGGAGTACTGAGTACGTCTCCTGCATCATGGTGCGGAATTTTCAGCTACAGTGCTACAGTTACAGGGTGTCACATCGCGCGCCCTTGGCATTTTAAGAAGCTTGGTGACGGAGCGAGACGGAGCCAGAGAGAAGATTGCAGCTGCGCATGGTCACGTGCACATCGTGTCCATGTCGGTAAGAAGATCGCACATAGATACTTCCAGATGATAGACCGACAGTTCGATGGATAGATGGATGGTTAGACGAATAGAGTGAAAGCAAGATAGGCTGGTATAGATGGGTGGATGGTCCGACAGAATGTTAAGGTAGGAAGGAAGATGTATAGATAGCTGACTTGCTGGGTAGGTAGTTTGATAGGTAATTAAGCTAGACACAGACAGGCACACAGACAGGCACACAGACAGGCAGACAGACAGGCACAGGCAGAGAGGCGGAGAGGCAGAGAGATAGACAGATAGATAGATGGACAGATCGAGAGACAGATGGACAGCATGTTAGACAGATAGAAAGGTGGATAGATGGTGGAGAGATGGATAGCTAGAGATAGATAGATTGTTAGATGGAAAGATGGACCGTCCATCCATTCCATCCATTCCATCCATGCATTCATCCATTCATTCATCCATCCAGCCGTTCAGCCATGCGACCCTTCAGCCATCCAGCCATACGACCGTCCAACGATCCATCGGTTCCTGTATGCATACACACATGCATACCTGTATACACAAATTCTTGCAATTTTTTGCATACAAATATGCACATTCACACTTTCTCTCTCTCTCTCTCACCCCAAACCCACCCACACCCACACACACCCACCCACAGCCACCCACCCATACACACCCACGCACACACACACACGCATACACATATACACATGCTCACACACCCACATACACTATCATCCACCCACACCCACACACCCACACACCCACATACACCTCCACCCACACACCCGCCCAGATCCACACCCACACCCACACCACCGCACGCACGTACACAGGCATGCAAGCATGTACAGATGGGCTAGCAACCCTTACATGGTTGCATGCAGTGCAGGAAGATCTGAGATTGGCTGAAATGTGAGGTCAACGGGATTGCGTGAACTTCTTGCAAGGCGCGGCGGCCCCCATTGCTGGCTTGGGTTGCCGGGTTGCCTTGAGCCTCGCATGTTTTTCCGCGTAGGCGGGACAGATGTGCTCGCGTGGTGCTGGCGTGGCTGGAAGTCTTGGCCAGGGCCTCGAGAGAGTTATTCGGTGGGTCAAAGATGGCAAGCGGCTTTCTCCAATCACTGGGCCCCAGTGGCCCCAGCACGCCATTTGCATGGAACTTGCAGCGCAGCTTCTTTCGCAAGGCACGCCGGGCAGAGGCGCTGCACGAAAGCACTGGGCCTCTCTCGCCGCTACGTGCAGGACTGGCCTACGACTGAGCCATGTGCGTCTTTGACAGTTTCTCTGCCGTTCTGTGCGAGGAGGGGTCTTTGCCAAGCAGCTTCCATGCCTGGCGAACCCAGTGCCTGCTTGCGCGGCGAGGCTTCGGCCGCACTTGTAGAAGCCTTGAACGGGTCTTCCGGAGCGGCGGCAGAAGTGCAACCCGATTGGATTCTCTGTGACTGGGCCTTTGCATGGACTCGAAGTGTCCTGATGAACCTTTTGGCTCGCAGCCAGACGTTGTGGGTACTCGTTGCAGCAATGTCCGATTCATGCACGTTGCATTAAGTCGCACAGTCTTCTGCGGTTTCTCCTGGCTGGGTAAGTTAGTGCGAGCCGCTCCCACTCGCAGCAACATGATGCCATCGCTAGACGCGGGAACCACCACGCTCCTGTTCCGGACGGCCAGGTGCGCTGATTCCACTCACTACTAGCCCCTCCCGCCCCTCCGTTTTGGAGCTCCTTTGGTTCCCGAAAAGGCCGGTAACCAGCGATGAGTTCTTGCAGCACATCGAATCTGTGTGCGGCTTCGGCGACACGGCTGATACATGCTGATACTCCGTGATGCAGGGAGTTCAGGGCTCGAGCTCGCAGGGCAAAACTGGCTGCAACAATGGGGTTTCTTTCCAAGTCCGAAGGGTGAGGCCTTGCTGTCTTTTGGGATGCTGCACAAGTCTTCTTGCTCCCGGTTTACGCACTGCCTTCGCCTGGTTCTCTTCCTTCTGACTACATACATCCCAACCGCATATGAACATGTCACGGTGTTTGCTCAGCCCATGTGAACGAGAGGACTTCTTGCACATAGGCACTCACTGCTCGTATGGCAGTCTTGATGCAAGGTGGCCGGCGCCCGTTCGATTTCGTGTATTTGCCATGGCCTCGCCTGGTCATCATCAATTTCTCAAGCCATCAGATTTGCAGAGAAGCCGTGGGTGCAATGCTCGTCGACAAGAGTTACATCACAAAAGTGCAATCGGTGCCTCGTCAGAAACTGGAGCGGAGCGGGTTACGTCGGTTACGTGTCAGCGATGCGCAGGCAGCCTACCAGGGTCTCGTTGCAAACCTGGCGACTTTCTGTGCCAAAGGGAAGAAGGCCAGCGAGACTGGGACTTGATTTAGGTCAGTTGAAGACTGTTGTCCTGCACAGGGCTCGGAGGGCAGCAAGCTCCCGCGCATCTTCGTAGACGGAGAAGAGGTTTCGTTTGACTTCGCCGTGGCTTCCTTCTTAACAGAGGAGCCCAAGTGGATGGGCCGCTGTGCAGTTGTGGTCCTGGCTCTGCTTCAGAGTCAAGCCAGGACGAAGTCCAGCAACAGAAGGAAGCTTTGAAGACAGAGCCGCAATGCTGCAAAGAGTTCACTGCCAAGCTACTTTCGCTGTGATGTTGGCTCCAACCTGTCAAGATGTAATTTCTGCGTGCGTTTTTGGTGGCTTTGCTGTTGCAGCTTACACTCCCCTTTCTCCTGTACGTACCCTCATTCATGAGGGTAAGGGGAGAGGATCGAATGACACTAAGCTTGAGGACTCCAGATTGTAAGCGAGATGTTGAACGTGGTTTTGTCGAACCTCATGACTTTCAGGGCCTTTGGCTTTCTGATATCCAGGCCCGCATGAATCAACACGTTCCAAGCTCCTTCATGTAAAGTCAGTGCTAGCAGGACTGCGAGTGGTTCAGGCTCAGACCCCGAGACTGCGTATTATGTGTTTTGGATCATATACTACATGCTCTGTTGATTGATTGATCATGTTGTCCGCTGTATAGTGTAGTATTCGACAACCCATATTCTTTATAAAGCCTCGCTAGTCGGCCGCTGTGTTTGAATGACACCTACAGAAAGGCTCTTACTGTACAACCGACGGCATGCAAGGGACTGTAAAGGCTTCTTTGGGCAACGACGGTGCCACACCGTACGATGCCCATGCTTGGGACTTGTCTCGAGGATACTTTTCGGTTTGTACTTGCAGAACTGAAAAAAGAATCACGATGTTTTTTTGCTTCAGGAGCCGCACAAGACAGTGGAGGTCCACAGAGAAGAAACAGCAGAGAAGGGTTGCTTCAGCGGCTGACGTTAGGCGTGTTGGGTTTTGATTACTCATCCACGAAGTGAGATCGTGCAACATCCACCCTCCGAAGGTTCGAAAGTTGGGCTGAGGCGTAAGAAATTTCGTTTGTCGAGCTCATAGATCACTGTTCGGTTCCTGCTGCCAAGATACGGTCCCCGACAAAGTTGCACTGGATGATGGGTTAACCTCATGAAGCTCCCAAAATTCTTCTCTGGATTTCCAGACGTCCAGAATATGCTTTTGCGGATTCAACGGTTTTTTGGAACTGAAACCGAAGTGTTGTAACTAGATTTAGGTCCCATGCAAGGTGGTCGTAATGGCTGTGCTGGTAGATGCACTGTACCTCTGCCGTGTTTAAGGAGCAAGGCGAAAGCTGAGAAGAAGCGGGGCAAGACAGAGTCCACAAGCACTCACGGAGCAGCGAATACGGAGAATGCTTCGAGCTCAATCTTGGCTTCAGTGACATTTTCACTCGATCGGCTGTGCTTCCGTGATGATCTCCTCAGGTTTTCTTCCCTCCTGCTCCGGGGCCTGGGCTCCTTGTCCCAGCAAACTCGCTCACAGCCTAGTTCTAAGTAGGAAATCGAATCCTGTCTCTTTCCGTGGTGTTTCACAACAAGGACGATGGCTGAGCAGTCTGCTTCACATGCTTCGTCAAGCACAACCAGTAATCAGCCGCCCGGCAAAGATGTGTGACGAGAGAAGTGGAAGATGTTTGCTTCAATCCCTACTAATCACAGAATCTCAGGGGGCCTCCTGTTTCACATGCAACGCCCCAACGTGCAGATCAGAGCCACCTGGCTGGGTTTCGTAGGGCCGTAGTGATTTTTGCCTCGACTGCGGCCGAGGTTCCTGCTATGTATCGGCTTCTTGGAAGGAAGGTCGGTGGATCTTTGAACTCTGAAGGATGAAATGCACACACTCGCTCCCCATTTCGGTGTAATTTCGAATCATTCTCTGGCATAAAGGCCGACGCCGAGTTGCGTCCTTTGACACTTTTTGCGACCTGTCCCAATCACAAGCTGGGGCAATTTCGTGCGGCTGGTCCCTCGGTAATGCCGGGACTGTCGCGCATGAAATGACGGGCCAAGGCACTTGAGACGGCTCGCCTTTTTGAAGATAACCGGGCACTGGTGACATGAATTAAAGGGAGCTTCCGATCTCTGTACCTTGAGTAAGGACAAAAGCGGGGCCTAGGTCATCGCCAGTCGAAGTAATGTTTCTCTTGCATCCTGGTCGCAGCGGGGCGAGGTCTCGTTTACACCTAAGCTTTTCTGGTGTTGTAGTTCCGCCCGTGCCGTGGCTCCTCCTGCGACCGTGGAGTGGTTCGCCAAGCGTGGTAAAGTGTTGCAGATTGACCTCGAATGCCCATGCAAGCTTGGAATCCCATCATCAAAGAGTCTGCTTGCAGGGCTTGGTCTGCAAACTCTGGCCCAGCATGGCCGAAACTCCAAACTCGAGTCAAATATGACCCTGATCGGAGAGGCTAAACCCCCAACATGGATGTTTGATGTCTATGGCAACTTCGAATCAGGAACTACAAGCATAGAGCTACAGATTCGTAGGGGTTGGGCCCACTGCCCAAGGTGGCAAGTGAAATCCGTTTCAATCAGCTTCCCAGCGGCGAGGTGTGCTGGAGAAGCTCATGCCCCCTCATGTCATGCTTTCTGAATTGGCCCAAGATCGGTCGAAGACCGTGGTTTGCTATGGAGCTGGCCCAGGGATGGCCTACCTCTCGGGGAAAGCCTGGAGGGCGGAGATACCCCGCTGCTGCCTACCTCAAGCTGCAGGGACAGGGCAGGAGAGGAGTCGCTGCTAAGGCACAGTATGAATGGGATTCTCCATGCAGCTGTGTTCAGTTCAGACTCATCCTTCGCCACGACGTGCCTTAGACTTGGGCGTTTCTGCTCACATATCCAAAGAGGTCTTTTTGGTGAGTGCTTGCATGCCGAAAAGGGTCTCCCGTGCCCAAGATAACGAGGCCCTGACTCGTAGGAAGAGACAACTGTGAATGAGGCCACTCGGGGCTCAGTTTTTGCAATTCCGATTGCAAAGCTGCGGCCCTCAACCAGTGAAGCACCAACCCGTAAACTGCTCCCGTACGTCGACTTTCCAACGAAGGCTCCGGGGACGACCAACCCAGCAGCTAGTGTTTCAGCTAGAGACTCAGGAAATGTCTTTACTTGAACTCGAGGTGAGCCTCTGGTTCACAGAAGGATCCCACCTCTAAGAAAAGGGCCTCCAGAAAGTAGCGGACAGCGAGGAGGAGGAGGAGGTTCCCAGCCTTCCCTCTTTCCCAGAAAGGCTCCCCAGGCCCAGGCCTCGGAAAAGAGGGAGCGGAACAGGGAACGCCCAGGAGAGAACTTCTTGAGACTGGCGGAGCGGCTTCGGGGCCTGCGCGGCTTCCTCGAAAGTTCCCTGGCAAAAAAAGCGAGTTTGAAAGGGAGATGGGGATGGAACTTTTTCAAGAGCCAGAAGGGGGCGGGCTAAGCCCTGGGGCGGCTCCGAGGCTCCAGTGCGGTGTCCGGGCGGCTTTTGCTGGCCTTCGCCCTCCGCAGCTGGCGCCTGGCGCCGGAGGCCATGCGCGAGCAGAGGCGGCAAGGGACCGTTACCGTTGCATCCCTAAACCCTGCTGCGGCATGGCGTCTTTCGGCTCACCGTCGCGGTGCGGCCGCGCACGCCCTCTGCGGAGGCGGCTTGTGGAAGCTCGGGGTGCCGCTGCGCAGGACCTGAGGGAGGCTCAGACTGTTATAAGACTCAGCCACAGGCCCACGTGTGCCCTGCGGTGCCCTGTTCCCTGTTGCGCCTGGGAGCTTCGGTGTTAAAGCAGAGGAGCTCCTGCTCCGTCGCTTCCTGGGGGCTTGGCGCCGTGGGGTGTTCTCACAGCACCGTGCGCCCCCGGCAGTATCCGGCAGTCTCAGACCCTGAAATTCGAAAGAGAACACCCCCTTTCAACATCGAAGGCTCCAGGCTCGGGGAGCTGGCGGAGGTGAAGGAGCACCAGGAACGTCTGGCGAAGATGCTGTCCAAGCGCGACGAGCAGATGCGCAGCTTGGGCGTCGTCCCCTGGCTTTCAGGCATCTGCACGGCTGTGTTGTGCATGCAATTGCAGCATCTTGTCCTAATCTTTGCAGATGTGCTGCAGCATTTTGGCAGGCCGACCGATTGAGATTTCTGGTCCGCTGGTGAAGCTCATGCTTGCAAGATGGCGGGGCTGGGCCCTTCAGGTATCTGGAGACAGACGGCAGCTCGTCAATCAAGCCTTTGTCTGGGATCGAAGGGAACGGCTCACTAATTCCCTACTGCAGCCTTCTTACTCCCTCTTGAATGGTTAGTGGCTCGAGCTCTGGGGCCAAAGGCCCCATGCAATGGGGGCGGCCTCTTGCAGCCATGAGGTGCCGGAAAGGCCGCGCGGCGAGGAGCTGAGCTGTTGCGATGCCTATCTGCAGGACCTCGGTTTGGGCTTAGGCGAGGACTCGACGGGCTCACGGCCTGCGGCATCGCCCCGTGCAGGGCCTTCAAGGCCCTCGCGCGAGCCACACGGGTCGGAGCTGGGCACCCTGCATGTGGACGGAGTGGGCAGGGCTTCACGGCGGACCACCGTCATGGGTGGTCGGTCACTTCATCAGCAGACCGGCTTCTTCGTGTACGAAGGCAAGTTGAAGGAAGCAGAGTGGCTGACGGTGGCCGTTGAGAAGATGTGGAAGTACATCGGCTTGTCCATCGAGAAGCTACTCAAGGAAGACATCACGGCCCTCATCAGAGATGAGGTTCCAATGATGAACTCTTTCCAGTTCAGCAAGTGCAACTTCGGAAGCCAGTCTCCGAACTTTGGACCTTTGAAGGTGCGTGCAAAGGACAACTGCGTGGAGCTGTTGATCGACATGCACTGGACCGCGTCTGGCTCCGAGATTGAGGTGACCGTCGGCAAGATGAAGCTCGGGATGAAAGACATCAAACTCAACGGACCCATCCTTTTGGTGTTCTGCCCTCTACTGGGTGAGTTGCCCATTACTGGTGGTATGAGCATCACATTTCCGGATCCACCAGAGCTGACCTGGAATTGGACAGGTTTGGGCAAGGCTTTGGCTGTTGACGTCGTTCGGATCCTAGGCAGCACGCTTAGAGGATGTTAAGAGTAGCAAGTTTCCGATGGAAGGTGAGAACCGAGAGAGCGTAAGGGCTGCTGGGGGCTGCTAGGGCGTTCTGGTTGCGTGTGCGTGACCAGGAAGGGGATCGTCCATGCCATTTTCCAAACCCTGGTGGTGCCCAGCCGTGTCTATGTGGACATCGCAGGCCTGGCCAGCAACCGGCAAGAAGAGTTGCGAGTGGAAACCTTCCGATCGCCGGCGCCCATCGGAGCCCTGCATTTGGCGGTCCTTGAGGCCCGAAATTTGCCTGCAGCCGACTTCGGCTTCACTGGAAAAGGCTCCTCGGACCCTTATGTCATCATCAAGATTGGGAACAGCAGCTTCCAGACAAAGTGTCAAGCAAAGACCCTCGATCCTGTTTGGGGCCCGGCCCATTCCTGCGATCTTCTGGTCTACCACATGGAGCAGCACATCTTCGTCGAAGTGTGGGACAGTGACATGGTCACATCCGACGATCTGCTTGGGCATGTGGAGAAGAAGGGCAAGAGGCCCACGGTGGCGGACTTTGTGGAGAAGTCGGAGAAGGAGACCTGGTGGACGCTGAAGACGGAGTCCGAGTCCGAAGAGAACCCGAACCCGCCACAGATCAAGCTTCGAGCCTCGCCGCCCAAGGCCCATGGCCCAAGCCTTGCCTTTCAGGTCGCAGAAGATTCCTAGTCCTAGTCTAGAGTCTAGAGTCCAGACCTCGGCACAGAGCTCAGGATGCTTCTTCCGGGAGGTGCCAGAGGTCGACCGCATCGAGGCCATCCCGGTGAACTGCAACAAGCGCTGTGGCCTCGTGGAGGTCGCGGGACACAGCAAAGTACGGCCCAAGAGCTGCTCGCTCTGCGGCAGCAGCTTCGCCAAGACCTGGGATCAGCTCTGCTGTGGAGGTGCTCCCGTCTACCAGGGCCAGGCCGGGCTCCTGCATACATAACTACTCGAAACGGACATCCACAGACATCCACAGAAAAGGAAGCGAAAGGCTCATGTCGCTTCGGTCGAGGTGTATAGGTGTTTGATTGGAGCTTTTTGGCAGTTCTGACGCAGGTTGCTGGGCAGCGTGCACTAGATGTGGGGGTTCGGTTTTCTGGATGGGGCGGGGGAAAGGGGACATCGATAGCCCTTTTCGTAAGCTTGTGCTTTTGTAGCTTTTGCTGTGCCCTAATTGGCATGCGCCGCGCTTCCCTACACAAGTCTTTCACCAAGAGCACGTGGCTTTAGTTTTGTCGCTTAAAAGGTATGAGCGATGGCGTGTAAAGCATGGGGTTCGTCACGGCCTTTCAACTCTGCCAAAAGAACCTCCCACACCCGTCTCTTTCAAGCTGAGCGGATTTTGTGTCAGAGGAGTGCAGGAAGTGCAACTTCCGCTGCTGTGCAACGTGCCTCAGCAACCGGCGCCCGGCAGCAGGCCAGGCCGGTAGCAAGCTTCAGCAGCTTCAGCAAGCTCTCGGTTCTCGGATCTCTTCCCTTCCAGGAATCCTTCGGATTTGCCTCCGCGAGGGCTTGGTCCCCCCTGGGGACGCGGCAGACGGAGTGGTCCTTGGGGTGAAGTTCGAGAACGAAATGCTATGGTCCAAGTCCTCCTACAAGCCCCATTACGTGGATGAATCCGGCCGAAGTGAAGCACAGAAGTGGATTCGGAACCTGTGTGCCAGGTTCGACAAGGCTTCTATTAGCAAGTGCCTGGGAATGAAGCCCGACAAGATCCAGGAGGTCTTAGACATGAAGCTTGCCTGCATGTGCCCTCACAGACCCACGACAAACCTAATCTTCGTCCTGTCTGGCTCTCTCTACATCTTGACAGATAGGCACATGACATGCCTGCATGTGAGAACACATGCGCAAAGCCCGCTTCAGGAGTATCCCCGAAGTGAAGCAGGGCGATTCGGACCTACTGCAGCAAGAGCCGGTGATTTGGGACCATGCGCTCCACTTCCTAATCCGGAATCCTCACAGCGAGATCTCTGCCACGGTCACGTACAAGGGCAAGTCTGGAAAAGTGGAGCGCAACGTGGCGATTCTGTCGGGCAAGAAGTTGGCAGCTACCAAGAAGGCCGCCCTACGCTTGGCGGGCAATGGAAAGACGAAGACGCAGCCACAGGCATTTTCCGATTCGGGCACCCTCGCCTGCGATTCCAACTTGATGGAAGCCACTTGGACCTTGGACGTGGACTCCAAGCACACTGCAGACGTCTTCGTGGAGGTGTCTCTCACACCGCTTGAGTCCTTCTACTGAGCAAGAGCAGCAAGAGCTCATGCGTAAATGAACCGGTTTAGGGCTGAAAATCAGCCGCAAACCTTCGACCTTCCGCGGGTCGCCACATGTTTCACCGACTCCGCCGAAGCTCTAAGAGATCAACCAGTGTCTGGCCTTCCCGCGCTCTTGCTCCCGTGTCCTTCGTCTTGTTGAATTTCACTTCGTCCTTGCTCCTCGCTCCTTGCTGCCCAAGGCATTTGCTGGGCAAATGCTTGCACGGCTGGCGGCAGTGCTCTTCCAGGAGGCGCCGCGCTTGGGCCGCTGGGCAGCGCCGATGTCAGGCCCGGCTGCAGGAGCCGAGCAGCAAGAGACCTGCAAAGCCCGACAGGGGCGGCCGAAGCTTAAAGCCAGGCGTGCGCACTACCACTGATTGTCATGCAAGGAGCGTAGACTTCTCCGAAGCCATTTCGGCAGATGGCTTGTGGCGGCTTGTTGGAACCAGCGCATCTTGCCAGCACTAGGTCCTCGATCACCCTGCCAGATGCAACCGCAATTGCCCGTCCCTGTCTCACTGAGGTTTGCAGTCGCTTCGCCAACATCTTTGGCCGCTTTTCGAAGGATCGAGAAGCGCCTGCGAAAGTTGGAGAGCTGTTGCATTCTGCTGCAATGTTCGATAGGCGTGCACCGAGCTGTGGTAACAACGCTGGTTTTTTACCGATGGCGCTGCTGGTCGCGAAGGCAGGAACGCTTGCCGGAGGCACGGGCCAGTATTTTGCCTACACAACAATCGTGGAGTGTAGTTTTAGGGAGCTCATGCTGAGCGGTCGAGGCCAATATATACTCGCACGACTCGTGCCAAGTGCCGGTGCGGATGTTGCAACAAAGCACCTCGGCACTCCGTGTGCGTCTCCTCGTGACCAAGGGCCTGCATAGCAGAGAAGGCAGTGCCTTCCCCATGTCTCCAGATCCGAGACGACCGCGGCCCGGCTGAGCTTCTGAGAGATGCGCTCCGCCGCGAAGCCCAGGAGCCGAAACAGAGCTGGCTTTCCGGGCCTGGCGCAGCATCCCGCGACGACGGGAGGCCTGTCATCGATGCAGAAGTCTTGAGACTTTATGTGCTGTGGTTGCCGCAGCGGCAGCTTCAGTTTCGAGCTTGGAGCTTTTCCAAAATACTAAGAGGGATTGAATGTTGTAGGTCTGTCGCAGGCCTTGATTGCCTGATTTTTTGCAGGCGTAGCAGTTTCAGAAGCAGCTTTCTCTTTCTCGCCAGCCTTGAGAACGGCACGCGGATTAAGAAGGCGCGTTCTGGCGCATTTGGATCAGTTCTGGCTTTTGCAGGCCAGCAGAAAGAGCGGCGGGAAATGGATGGCCCTTGGCTTACGGTTCATTTCCAGAGCAGAGCATTGCAGTGAAGGGCCAATTGCAGCAAGTCGGTCACACCGATGCGACAACTGCTGCTGCCCGTGTCTGCGAGGAGGCCTCTGCCGCTTCCGAGCTCTGGTGGGGTCCCGTGCAGGGGATCTTCTTGCAAAGAGACCGTGCCCAGGGCCCAAACTCCGACCGACCTTTGACCTTTGGCTTCCCTGCAGGGCCTGGGCGGCTCGGCTGCACGCGCAGGTGGCCCGGGCGCGGCTCGCGCGGCGCGCAGCCCAAACGCGACAGGACGGAACCCGTCATGTGCTGCAACACAACGGCGAACCGAAGAGGGAGGGAGGGATAGAGTCTGGAGAGTCTTCTGTTTCGCCAGCCTTTCCATTCCTCCTGCTTCACAGTTTCGTGCAGGGTAGCCTCCTTCGCCCGACACAACAGAGATCAGAGTCAAAAAGCTCCAGCCGACAACCTAACTCTTCGTCGTCTTCAACTATTGCCAGGCCGCTGGCCTTCCAGCGCCTGCACAGCAAACACTCCAGAGCAACCTGGCGAGATGTTTTGCTTCTTTCTGCAATGTTGAGCCACTGCTATGGTGCGTTGCATCCGAGGCATCATTGAAGATGTGCTGGCGCAGGCGCGCACTGCCGCACTGTTGGCAGCCTGGCGATGGGTGGTGCAGGCTCCTCCGCCTTCCACTGAGCAACGCAATCGGCAAGGGACGTGTTCCTTTGTCTTGCGAGTCTTGCAGGATGCCGAACCGCCGGAGCCGCCCGAGCGCAGCCAGGAGGACCGCTGAGAGAGTCTCCCAACTCCCGCAGAAAACTTGAAACCGGCATCTCAAGCTACAGCTACCCCACTGCTTGGCCGTATGCTGTAATTGCCAGCATTGCAGGACACTGGTCGCGAAGCACGTGAAGTGTTGAGCCTGTGCCAGATGCTGGAGTGGCAGAAGCATGGCGGCAGGTGTGGCCAAATTGCGAAGGCAAGGTGGAATCTTTCATGTCATTGGAGCTGCGACCAAGGAACGCTGACATGCAGTCTCTGCTGCAAGAACGTGCCATGGAGAATGCACGTTTGGAGGCTGAACTTCGAAAGCAGACTTCGCCGCTCCAAAGATGAGTTGGCCGTTGAATCCGCCTACACGGCGCCATGAGTTCAATGTCAGCATTTCATCTGTGACCGCCCAAGATGGGAAGCACAGCGCCTTACAGAGGCTACAGTAATCGTAATCGATGCCCTTCATCGGCGTTTTCCGGATCTCCCGAAGCACGGAAGTTCCGGAGTGCGCTCAGCTAATGCTCCTCGTTCCTATGTTCCTCGTTCCTGGTCGAAAAGTGCGGAGCCTGCGCGCGGTCCGTGTCCGTGATTTTCTGGCGAAGATGCTTACGCAGCTCCAGGGCTGAGGCCTGGGCCTTGTGCACAATGACCGCGCCGCCGAAGCTTCAAGCTTGCCAGGTTGAGGTGGCACAGGGCGCGGCAGTTCCCTAATTATCCCCAACACTGCCTAACACCCGAGTCCCATATTCCCGAGAGCTAGATTCTGGGGGGCCTTTCAGGGTGGGAGCCATCAGCCATCGGCCATCTAGTGGTCTCAGGCCGTTGACCGTCGCCAGGCTGGGGCGGAGTTGAAGCATGGCAGGCTTAATCTGCCAGCATATGTTGGCCCTCCTGAAGTGTGCAGCTTAAAGAGAGTTCTTCCAGGCATGTCCATGGCTCGACCAAGCATCCGGATGGGCTACGAGGGCGGCGTGTTACTAACTCACATGTCCCAGAACAAGCAAGCTCCGGCCTGAGATGATTTCGTTTTGCCCTACATGACAACTCCATTCCCTCGGCAGTGGCCCTGGCTGTATTCCAGTATTCCAGTATGCAAAGGCGCCGAAGTGGAGCTTTGCTGGAAAAAGCCCTGGCAGTGGCATCAGGCTGGGCCCCTAGGCTATCGAGAGCATTGCATGTCAATGTCAACTCATGGCCTGTGTGGCCAGACCGAAGACGCCTGGGCCTGGCACTTATGGCCATCAGACGTCCCAGTCCTGCAGGATCAGGTCGGGCGGCAGCCTCCTTCAGAGCACCCGTCGGAACTCCCTCCGCTGCTTCGGCCTGGAGGCAGCCTTGCCACGGCTTCGGCTCCGCAGCTCGCGACAAGGCCAGGTCTCCCAGAGCGGCTTAGGAAGAGCGCAAGGGAGGACCAAGTGAAGTTCTTGAGACATCCCAGGAGCTCAGGTCCCATGAGGCCCCCAGGACCTCCCCTGACTGCTTCTCCCACTTTCCCTGCAAAACGGGCCTTTGTTTCCCCAGCATCCATCATTGACTTGTCGGACCAGTGTGGACATGCCGTGTTGCAGACTTCCCTACAGCCTAGCATTGTATATAGTTTAAAGATGTTTAAAGAGGTGTTGCTGAGTTACGCATCCCAGCCAATCTTGTCGTTGGTCTGGGTCCGCCAATGTTTGATCTCCATCATCATTTTTCAATCAAGTTTTAAACCTGTGTCAGACTTTACGAGGACATGATTACTCTTCATTGCTCAGAGCATTGGCGAGACACACTTTGAAACACAAGCCTCAAGGGAGCCCAGGCAACGTCGACTAGCGCCAGCCCAAAAAGCGCGATGGGCGGGCAACACCGCAGCCCCCATTTAGCTTAAACATTTCGTCAATCTCAAGGCCGAGGACAAAAGAAACCTCGACGAGTGCACCAGCCGACCATGTCGGCCTTATACATACGAGAACCTCCACCGTAGATTGTTTGGGGAACCGAAGCTGAGCAATTCGAAGAAAATTTGCGCATGAAAGCTCCGGTTTAAGATTTCCATGTTTTACCATGATCGACATTATTGTTGATATTGGCTCAACGCATGAAGGCTCGCAAAACTTTCATGCCGTCTATTGTTATTTGCGGTGCTCTCTCGAGTGCGCGCACGCGCCAGTCACCACGGACATTCCCCGAAACAAAACCAACGAAGAAGCACTAACATGCCGATGTGTTCGACGTCTGTCTGCAATTGCCCACATTTTGCCTTCGGACACCGAATATACCGATGATTCCGGCTTTTCCAAGACAAAACAACAGCAGGTGCTGGAGGCGCAAAATGACGAAAGAACAGCAGGCGGGCAAAGCCTCCTAAACACTCGATACGTCAACCACGCGAAGAAGCGTAAATACCGATGTATACGGTCGTGTTTTCATTGTGTTGGAGCGGTTCTTCTTGTTCTGATGATTGTCAAGCGATCAGTCACCCCCTCCCCCCCTCCCCGCCCAATTTTCAGCACAATTCATTCTTGGATCCATGCCAAAACTCCGATTCTAGCAGAGGCTGGCATGGCTTTGGCCTCGCCCGGGCCTGGTGCCTACGGGGCCAGCGAATCCTACGGCTCAGCTCGGGCCTCAGTCACATGTAGGGTGGGTTTATAGTGTCCGTAGTAAAGGCTTGTTTGGCAGGGTTTATATAAGTAGGGCTGATATAAGGGTTAGAGACGGGACCTTCCGGAGATGTGGCCTTCGTTTCCTCCGCCCTGAGCTTAGAAGCGCCCCCGTTCTGCTGGCCCTGTGTTCGGCAGAGCTGCTCGTGGGCCTGGGGCCTTGGGGCCTCACTGCAAACCGTCGCTCCGGAGCAAGAGTGACACCTGTTGTGCAAGGCTCGGGTCTGGAAGGGACACGCCAGGCTTTGCATCGCTTTCGCGGCTGGCGTGACGAGTCCACGCGCCTCGAGCGCAGGCCCTGGCTCCTATGTGCCAAACGTAAACTCGACGAGGCGGGAGCGGCAACAGAAGCCTCGTGCAAGATTCACGTGTTGGGCTCAGGCCGCAGTTCCCGCGACACACTTGCACTCCCCGAAGAGACGGGGCATGGAACTTAACAGCCGGGCGCGCAATGCGGAATGCGGTGAGCTCAATTCCTGAGCAGAAGGCCGACTGGGGACACCGAAAGTCCGAGTCCCGGCCATGCTGAGGAGAAGAGAAATTGAGACTGGTACGGCTGAGAGGGGAGTTCTCCGAACTGTTCTTCTCAGGTGCTCCACCACACCCGGCCCGGGTACCTATGGCCATGGTGGTGCGGCTGGTGCGGGCTCGGAGAGCCAGAACCCCTCAGAGCTCGGAGAGATGGAACCGCAACAGTTCTGCGGTGTGAGGTCCAGTGTCAAAGTCCGCCCCGAGATGGGCGTGCCTTGGCTTCCCAAAACGGACGCAGATTCTCTTTTTTTGGGGGTGTTTCAGGATCTACAGCGCGCACATGCTGCGAGGTTTGGCACTGCCGACCGAGGCGTCCGAGCAAACGGTGCCGACCCCTGGTCTTGTGGTTTTCGCTCGCTTGGCTGAAGCAAAACCCGCTCAGGCGAGAATCCGGGACCTGGCCAATACGACCTCCGTCGCTTTGCTGCACGTGCGTCTTTCGGGGGCTCGGTTACGGTTAAGACTTTAGGCTTAATTGCTTTAGAAGCGTAAGTACGTTAGACTGCCTTAATGGAGACTTCAGAGACATGTTTCATGTGTCGGGTCCCATCGCCCATTGGCGAGGATCCCGAGTCGCCGGCTCGGGGCCCAGCCCAGGGCGCTCTGCCTCCGCCAGCCGTTTCGGTGGCTCTTCCGTTTTGAGCTGCGGAGGACCGAAGTTTTCGATTCGATGCCGCAACGAGTCGGACTCCTCTGGGCTCTGTCCCACGCAGCCCGGGCTGGGCTTCTTTTTTCGGGTGGTTTCGGAAGCAAAGCTCCGGAAGTCAGAGCTCCTGTGATGCCAGGCCCGGTCCGGGCGCCTTTGGTGGGATGTACACCCAGTTCGGCTACTGAGGCGCTTGGCGGATTGCTCTCTTTCCTCTCTGTCCAATATGTTTGTACTGTATAGGCGAGGATGGTCCCCAGACTTCTCTCTGAGAAAAAGCCTTAAACTCCAACTCAACCCTGGCTTCGCAGGAGAGCGGTGATCTGGCTGACCAGCACCGCTTCGCACCTAAGTTTGCAATCGGCTTCCGAGTGAAGTCGGCGCACTGTAGCTCGTTTCAGTTTGTCCAGAGCTGATGGGGCTCCTTCACAATACGTGTGTAAGCATTGGTCCACCTTCTGCTACAACGCGACGAAATGCCGACGAGGACGACGTGAAGGCATTACTAGTCACTGCTACTACTGCCACCACGACCACTGCGCCCCTACCCCTCCCCTTGCCACTACACTAACGCTATCACCACGACTAGCACCGGCGTCGCAAAGGAGCGTCAAGTCCGTAGGAAGGCGCGGAAGATGCAGTACCACTTCGGCCTGCGGTGTGTTGACTTGCAGCGTGGCAGGTTCGCTACTAATCAGGCGAAATGAAACGGGGTTATGAAGGATGGTGAGACAGAGCGACAATAATCTGGGCGAAGCTCTTGCATGTCAGCGCAGCCAGCGCGAAGATTTGGGAAACTCATACGGAGCTTAATTGAAAGGTTACTTACCTCTACTTCTACTACTACCACCACCTCGACTACTACTATACTACAACAACAACAACAACAACTACTACTACTACTACTACTACTACCACTACCACTACCACTACCACTACTGCGACTGCGACTGCGACTGCCGCTGCTGCTACTACTACTACTACTACTGCTACTAGAAACCCCGTCTGGCACCTCAAGCCATCATCATCAGCATCATCATCAACGAAGATGACAGTTGCAGAAGATGCAGCGGCTCAGGCTCCATATCCGTGACAGCTGCAGAAGTTGCCGAGGCTCACTTATGCTCACTTGCCTTAGCTGTCACAGCGGGTGAAGTTGCAGAGGCTCCGGCCCCAAAACTGCGACGGCAGCTGGAGTTGCAAACTCGACGGGAAGAAATTGCCAAACCACAGGTGGTCGGACAGTACGAAATCGCTGTAAGTACCGTGCAAAACGCAGGTGCTGCCAAGAAGGTTTAAACACTCCTACAACTTGAAGCGCAACATGTTGTAAACATCAGAAACAAAGATGCCAGCTGTACGTGGGACGGGCTCGCCAACACCCCTAAAGCCCAGACCTCGGCGTAGGAGGGTTTGCTTTTGAAGTGGTGTGTGTGTGTGTGTGTGTGTGCTCGCTAGAGTGTGGAGATATAGTTCGGGGTGTCCGCGAGACAGTGTCGTGATCATCCCTGAAAAAGGTTCCCCCCAACCACTTTCGAGTTTTTGCAGAAAGCCATCCGATATCCCAAGGTCAAGTTCGCAAAGTTAGAAGTAAGTTTGGTGACTATATAACATGGTCCGGCATCACGAAAGCTCTGTAAGTACCGAATAAAAAAGCTCTTCTGGAGATTTTGCTCGGGGTGTCTGCGAAATAAGGTCGTCATCATCCCCCCCTCCCCCCACCCCACCCAAAAAGCAAGTTCAAAATCTGAAGCTCGAGTTTGGAAACTCGACAAGTGGATTTTGAGGCTTCATAGGAACACTGTAAATAGCGAGGACAAAAGATGTGTTCGCGAAGAGTATTTAGGAGGGGGGCGTTTAGAGTACTACTACCACTACCGCGACCGCGACGACTGCCACTACCACCCCTGCTTCTGCTACTACTGCTACTGCTACTGCGACGACGACTACTACTACCACCACTACCACCACCCCCACCATCACCACCACGACGACGACGACTACTACTACTACTACTACGACTACTCGCCACTGCACCCCTTCCTTTTCCTCCTGCGGTGCCTACTACGTGCTTTGCTTACTACTTCTGCTGCTATTCGTTCGCTGTTACTAGGACAGTCTATCCTCGTGAAGGGGCGTCAGCCAAAGATTGGAATCATGAGAAACCGCACATGTGCTGTCAACAGTCCCTGTTGCACAGGCCAGACGGCTTGTAGACAGGCATCCTCAACGCTCCCTTGTGTTCTCCGGTCAGTACATTGCATGCGACTTGCAAAGCCTGTGTGACGGGAGCTCAGGCGGCACTTGTATGTGTAGCCCGCCTAAGGCCCCTACACATTGAAAGCCGGTGCACTTGCGACGTTTTGCGAGGCATACTGTATGAGATTCATGTCGTGTAGGGTAATGTACTGATTAGAAACACAACAGTAGCAGTGCCAAAGATGGTAATCACTCTCACAAGCCCCAGAGTGGTATCATCAGATTAGATATCCATTCTGATCATGTGTTGAAAATTCATCTTGGCAAGGGGTTTAATCGCTGCTGCCGCCGACCCTGGTCGGGAAAGCCGGTGCTGCCCCTGCAAAATAGCACGACATGTAATCGCACAGCCTTGTCATTCAAACGGTGCCGTGTCATACCTGAGCCTGTGCCACCTGGCGCAAGCAGCCGCAAAGCAAAAACGATTGAAGCCAAAGGGGCGGCCTGGCTTTGGGGATGCGTGTTGGAACAAGGTTGCACATCTCGCAGAACACTCCTTGCTGTGTCCCGAGTTTACACGTTTCACACCTGGCAAAGACCCGAAGAACTGCCACGGCAGCACCTTGGAGGGTGAAGCTCTTGGCTCTGGCATTGCCTTTGTGTTGTGCGTGGCATTAACAACATCTGAGCGATCGTCGGCGTGGGGACCTATCGGCTTGAGCAGAGCTTCTACAGAGTGACCCTGTAGCGGCTCCCCAGGCCTGCGACTCTGCAGGTTTGGACAAATAGCAGTTTGGAGAAAATAGCACGACAAGCTCTTAACTTACCTTCCGAAAGAGACACCCCTAAAAGCTTTAGCCCATGGCATGCGGGGCGCCCGGGCTGCGGCGGCTTGCGCGGCCCAAGCCAAGGCGGCCAAAGCAGCAGTCCGCGCCCTGGAAGCAGCCCCTTGCAATTGAAGATCTCGAGTCATGTTTAAGCATCTTGAGCTATGCTTTTCTTGTTTTCTTCTGACTGGTGTGGTGGTTATTCACAAAGTTAAAGCTTGCTTGCTACCAGCGTCTATCACGGTCTGCACGGTCTTGGTTTACTTTCGAGACTGCCCAACACAGGCACTCATGTTTTCTGTTGGCATTTCTGACTCATGTGGCCTTCAGTCACCGATTGGGTCCTCAAACCTTTTGACCTCGGCTGTTCCACTCCTAATCTAACTGACCCTCTATCCAAGGATGTCGGTCTAAGCTGTTTCTTGACTCCCGGGCGGAAGCTGGTCGGTAAACTGCTGTCGAATCGGATCACATCAGTGCCGTGGCATGAGTGTGGTGGACTCATCTTCAAGGTACCCTTTGTTTCAGTGGCAGACGAACTTCACGAACCTCACCCACATGGCTCAAGCAGGATAGTTCCAGTTTGGGGAGCCCAGGACTTCCAGCGACACGACGTGCTGCCATCTGGAGAGGTGCTGCACTTGGGATCCCTGGGCCGAAGCCTCAGACGACGAGCCGGGGTCTTTATTGCACGTAGCACGGGGACGGGGGCTCGGCTGAGGTTGCCCACCGGAGCAAGTCAGAGCGGCAGAGCCAGAGGCGGACCGAAGGATTCAGCGGCTGCTCGGCCAAAGACTGCGAGAATCCTCGTGAGTTTGCGCCGCAGTTGGTATAGGGAAGAGTTTGTGCTCCCATGGTCAGGCGCCACAGCTCTGAGACGAAGCGGCGTACACATGACAAGGACAAGTTCATGCGCACTAGCTTTCCGAAGCGTACGAGTATTAGCATAAGGCCCTTGAAGCCAAGGCAGCCCTACTAGCAACGGGGGAAACAGCTGCCTGCCTAGATCAAGGACATCACCACAACATCGCCAGAGAAAAGCACCGCAGTCGCGTCCTGGATCCAGGCCTGGGCCGCCGTGCTCTACTCGGAGGCCACCGAGGCGCCCGCGTCACCGAGGCGGCGCTTGGCGCTGGCGCTGGGCCCGGGCCCAAGCAGAGCGGGGGAGAGCAAGCACTCTAGAGACTAGAGATGTCGAGAGATGTCGAGAGATGTCTAGAGTCTCTTTGACATTGTGTCTTTCGATCTGCTTCTGGTTGGGCGGACTTAGCTTAGGACTTGAATTTATCTGCGAGGTCGTTCGCAGGCCATATTCGCTCCGCTTGATTCACTTCGGCCTGCATGCATGCTTACATACATGCATACCGCCCCCCCCCGCATTTCTTGCTCGACTCGTACCCGCCAAAGATCTTCTCCGGCATGGGTCGAGTGCAGGCTGCGATGGTATCGGGCTTGTTGGCACAAAAGCGCGTTGAAACTAACAAGTGTTGCAGCTCCAGGCGCACGTCCACCGGAACTTTTCAAGAGATGAGTGCCGAAGCTGAACTGATTTCTGCACGTCAGTACGGGGGTTGGGAAGGGTATGAAGTGTTCGTCCAAACTATTAGAAAAAAGCATGGCACCGTCCGGCAATCAGGCCATACTTCGTGCATCTGGATTTGAAGACGTTTTCCGAACAGGAACAGGTGCGTGCAGCCCTGCTTCATGTGCCTGAGACGGTGGCAGTTGCACTTGTGACTTGCTTGTCGCATTTCTGGCGCTGCCAACAGCCGCAGGCATGCTGAGTCTATTCCTCGCGTGCAGGTCTTTGACTCTACTGTCGCCACCAGTGACGGCGAAGTGCTCTTCAAGGGCACGGACGTAGCATTCCGCAAGGCCCCCTCCTTGCAGGAAATCGTGAAGCCGGGGGCCCGAATTCTGCGGTCATGCTGCCAGGTGACGTCAGAACAGATCAAGAAAGCCATGGAAAGCCGGATGGCGGAGGATGATCAGAAAATCTATGAGGCTTCCAGCTTCGATCACAAGATTTCCGAGTCAATCCCCTAAAGTCTAAATCCCGTATTGCCATCGACATGTCATACTCTCTCTCTCTCTCACATGTTTTGGCTTGCTTTGTCCCTCTGTGTCTCTGCGTGAGTCTGCGTGTATCTATCTAGGTATCTATTGTTTCGATCTGCCTATAAAAATCGATTCGTAGATAAACAGACGCGTGCATCCCGCGTCCGAGGCCCGTGCGTAAGTTGCAGAAGAATCGAGTGAACACGGACTGGCTTTGGAGACCGTGCCTGTGTGCGCATGTGTGCACGCGTGCGCACGCTTTGTTTTTTGCACTGTCTTCAAGACTTCTCCTGGCTTCCAGGCCGTTCGGCTCTTAGCAGTCTGCTGATAAGTCATGCGTGGGCGCTTGTCTTGAGTGTTTAGGTGCCAGTCTCCCTTTTAAAGGACGGCTTGTCCAGTCTCTTCATCCAGGCACACTTTCGTGTCTCATGCTTGGCTTGCTTGCATCGACGTCTTTTGATTCCTTATTCTGTTCCGCTCTCGTCTCCTTTCGCAGGTCGAGCCAACGCAGGAATTGGATGTGCGGACGCTCTTTGCAGCAGAGGGCTTTATCCATGGTGAGGTGTCCCGGCTGCAATTGGAACCTTACTGCGTAAGTGTCCTTTCGACCGAGTTTGCAAGTTTGCAGAGCAACTTGTCCATGTGTGCGATCGCTGCCAAGGTAGTGGAAGCAATTGAAGTGGCAGCCTCAGTGCCTTTCACGCAGCGAAAATGTGCTTGACGTACGCTACACCAGTTTGCCTGTCGCACTAACGCCACATCGTTCGTCCTTATCGAGGGTTTTTTGCATCGCACAGTTCCTGCCGCCTGCCCTTTCGAGGAAGCAGTCTTCTCTTTCGCTTGTGGCGATTAGCCGCGCGCTTGTGAACATCGTGAGACACTTCTCGTGGAGCGTTGGCGGGCTAAACACGCGCGATTTATCATTAGAGTTCTGTCAGCATACGGTGAACTCGAAAAGTCCACGACGGCGAAGAACATGACGAGCACAACGACCAGGACCACCATAAGATGACTCAGCGGGATGGCAGCGTGCACGCGCAGCTTTGAAAGTTGTTTGATGCATATGCGAGACGACCCACCGAGACAACCGCAAGCAGCTAACTATCTCCCCACCCCCGGCGTGCGCGCACAATTTTGGAAGTGTGTTGAATGCATGTAGGGCAATGTTGGATGCCTCGCCGAGATGCCAATGTCTCAAGTGTGGCATTTGTGCAAGCTCCCCGCGTGCGCACACAATTTTGGAATATTTTGGAGGTTGTTTCGTGCATGCAGGACGACTTACCGAGACAATTGAAGTAGGATGTTCGGATTTAGGGACGGCATGGAGGTCCAGATCTGCTGAAACGAACGCCAAATACGTGTAGGAAGGCTCGGGGAATGCAGTTGAGGCTGTAAATGCATTCTTTAAGGCTGTCAAAGCTTGAAAAAAGGATGTTGGTGCCCTGGAAACTAAACTAAGGCATTGGCAGGATTCTCGGGTGTTAGGGACCGCATGGAGCTCCAGATCTGGTGGACGTTCGCGTTACAAACTTTTAGTGTCACGAAAACTGTCAGAGTCCGCAATACAAGGACACAAAAACTCACGGGTGGACGTTCGCTTACAAACCTTCTAGTGCACTGAAACTTACAGGGTCTGCAGTACCAAGACACAAAAAACTCATGGGTGGACGCTCACATTACAAACGTTTGGTTTGCTCGAGAAAACTTACAAAGTCTGCAATAGAAGGACACAAAGACTCACGGGCGGATGTTCGCGTTACAAACTTCTAGTGTCCTCAAAACTTACAAAGTCTGCAATGCCAGGACACACAAACTCATGGGTGGACGTTCGCGTTACTTTCGTTCGGGTTCAAAGCTGTGCAGAGATCCTGCCTCGCACATTCCTGGGCCTTTCGCTTCGTAAGCACTTGCTGCTACGCTGCGGTGTCGCCTAATGAACTGCAGCTCTATGCGTTTGTCTGCACGACGTTAGCCTTGGCTCCGACAAGATGCGCCGAATGAACTGCAACAACATGCCTCAGTCCTGGCTCCATGCATTGCATCTCTATGCCGTAGTCTATGCCTCAATTTGAAAGACTTTAGGGGATGTCATGTCCCTACCCCCAACATGGAGGGCTGGCAGCTCCGTGGTTTTGCACCATCAGTGGAAGTGTTGCACTGCTCAGTGTTGCGGGCTTGCACCCCTTGCAGACAGGTTGGCAGCAGCAGCAGCAGCAGCTGCCCACGTGCGCTGACTCAGAGGCGAGCGCATGTCCTTTGAATATTGTTGCTTGGATGCTAGGTACGGAAGGCTCGGACCGCGGAGTCCTCAGCCGTGCTTCTCCGGACGCTGTGCCGATCCTGTAGTAGCCCGGCCATGTCGCACGAACGCAACATGAATGAAGATGAACGAAGGCCCATCGCACAGAGCATGACGGTGGCCAACCTCCCCAACGAGCCTCGCCTGCATTGATTGGGCTGGTGCGGCTCGCAAACCAGCTCGTCTAAGGATGCTGCTGGCTTCGGCATCGCCGACGTCACAGCAGGAAGAGCAGGACTCGGTACAGGAGTCCGCCGCTCCGGCTGTCTTTTCCTTTCGAGATCTCCTGGCGTGGCCCAGCCTCCCGGAGTTCTGTTTCAGCTCTCCTGCGGAGGAATCTTGTCTTTGGAGCCCTGTCGCCTGAGCGGGGGGAATCTTCTCGTCAATAGAGCCTTACTTGTACCACCTGAAGGGGGGGGCGGGCTGTTATCGCAGTAGTTTGGGGTTCTCAGCGTGCTGCTGAGAAAGTTGGAGCTGGTGCGAGTTGCAATCGCTTGGAAGCGGCTTGGTGCGAACATGTGAGGGTCCCGTTTACCATGTTTCAAGTGACTTGGCAACTCAACTCATTCCTGGAACTGGGCAGGAGCCAGCAACGCAGGGGTGCTCTGGCAAACGCGAGGTAGGTCTTTGATTTGATCTTGTATCTGGTCATCGAGTTTGAAAGATTCTGCAGGGCATCTGTGGCCCCGGCGTCCCGATGCCGCAGCCCCCGTGGTGCCCGGCGCACGGGGACATGCTCCCGCCTCCGAAGCCACTTCCAGTGCGGCCCTGGCCTTTGGACCTCGGCACCATTCGTGCACTGGGCTCTGGGGCAATGGGCTCGGTGCTCTTGGGGAAATCGGCCTACATGCGTGTGGCCATCAAGAAGGCGCGGCAAATCCTGGCAAGGAATTGCATGCTCTCACGCCGTGCTCAGCGACCTAGCGTCATTCAGGTGCCCCCAGAGTACCAAGAGGCGGCTGAGCGAGAAGCGGAGGTGTGGGCCGTCCTGCACCATCCGAACGTGGTTGCCCTCGTTGATGCGTTCCACGACCAGTCAGAGGGCGGCAAGGTCTTGGTCATGGAATACGCCGGGCTTCCACTTGACTCGCCGGGCTGCCGGCGTCCGCCATCCTTGGAAGCTTCTCGGTTATGGGCGTGCGTAGGTGTTCATGTCAATTATACAGCTCTTGCGGAGCGTGTCTTGCCAGCCAGGTTGCTCGCAGAGTAAGGCGTTTCAAGACACTTTTTGATTTAGCACATGTTGCAGGTCCTCGCATGTCCCACTGGAAACCTTCATTTTTGCAGTATTTGCGCAGGGCTGGGGGGCGCTAAGGCCCTGAAACCAAAACCCTCAACCCGACACCCTGCCTTTCTGAACCCTTCAACCCCAAAACCCAAAACCCCGAGACGGCACTTTGCCTGGAGGCTCCAAATCCCGAAGCCCAGGACTTGCAACCCTAAGCCCCATTCTCCCCAACCCCTCAACCCAATAACGGTGAACCCTGGCGCCCTACGCCCTATAAAGAACAAACGGACAGACAGACCCTGAGTAGAACAGGCGTGAAGAAAGATAGCGCTGAACCCCGTAACCCCAAACCCCTGAACCCTGACCCTCAAACCCTCTATAGACACTTTTTAGCCCTCTAAGCTCAAAACCCTTTCCAGTAACCTGTAAATCTTCAAAACCACTAGACGGCAGATGTCCCGAAGGCGTGTTGGACAAAGCAGTTGTCAAACGCAGATCCTGAGAGTGATGCTACCTAAAGCCTAATCTGATGCATTGCTGCTGCTGCTGTGCTGTTACTTGCTTTTGCTTTTGTTGCTGCTGTTGCTGTTGCTGCACTCGCTTTAATTAGTATTACTCTTCTGCTACAGAAGGTCGATGTTCGAGCCGCCAGGGCTCTGGACTTGTGCGCCACACCGCGCGCCCGCAACATTCGTCACCGGCGCGCAGAATTTCTAGAACGCTTCAGGCGCCAAAGAAAATGAACAAGACAAGTGACCACCTGGCGTGGCTCAGCCTCCCGGAGTTCTGTTTCATCCGAAAATAGTGGCTGTCTTTTCCTTTCGAGTTCTCCTGGCGTGGCTCAGCCTCCCGGAGTTCTGTTTCATCCGAAAATAGTGGCTGTCTTTTCCTTTCGAGCTCTCCTGGCGTGGCCCAGCCTCCCGGAGTTCTGTTTCAGCTCTTCCTCGCGTGGCTCAGCCTCCCGGAGTTCTGTTTCATCCGGCAATATTGGGGCTGTCTTTTCCTTTCGAGATCTCCTGGCGTGGCCCAGCCTCCCGGAGTTCTGTTTCAGCTCTTCCTCGCGTGGCTCAGCCTCCCGGAGTTCTGTTTCATCCGAAAATAGTGGCTGTCTTTTCCTTTCGAGATCTCCTGGCGTGGCCCAGCCTCCCGGAGTTCTGTTTCAGCTCTTCCTCGCGTGGCTCAGCCTCCCGGAGTTCTGTTTCATCCGAAATTAGTGGCTGTCTTTTCCTTTCGAGCTCTCCTGGCGTGGCCCAGCCTCCCGGAGTTCTGTTTCAACTCTCCTGGTGTGGCTCAGCCTCCCGGAGTTCTGTTCCATCCGAAAAATATGGCTGTCTTTTCCTTTCGCGCTCTCCTGGCGTGGCTCAGCCTCCCGGATTTCTGCTTGTGATTTGAAACAGCTTGCTTGTCTCTGCTTTGGCATTTCATGGCGTAGCTCAGCCTCCAGGAGTTTGTGCCCAAGCCCGTACCACCTGAGAAAATCCCGGCAGAAGTCGTGTTGTCTAGAGCCTTGTCACCGGACCGGGCGGGCGTTTGCAACAAATCGTAGAGGAAGTCTTTTTGGTAGAGCCTTGTCTCCTGAGGGGGGCGGGTTGTTTCAGGAATTGAAATGGTGTAAAATCCAAGGTCGCTTGGCAGGCAGCACGTGGCTTGGCCCATATGCACGCAGCGGGATTCGCGCACAGAGATCTGAAGCCCGCCAACCTAACGGGCTGTTTCCACGTCTTCTTGTCGCGTGTCGTTGTCGCATCATGTCGCATCACAACACTTGTGCAGATCATTGACTTTGGGGAGTCAGCTCCCCTAGTCAAGCTGTGCGAGTACCGCGGTTCCCACGGCTTCCGAAGTCCGGATCTTTTGCCGCAGATCACATCACTTGAATTGAAGTGTTCTGGTGAAGCCCTGGCCTGGCCATTGCAATTGTCATCGAGGAAATGGCCGCATGCAGGCCGTACGGTAGCCCCACGGACATGTACTCCCTGGGGGCCGTGCTTCAATGGCTGATGCCAATCCCCGGGGAGGCTCCAGTTCACGATCATGAAGCATTCATTGATTCTGAGCAAGCCCTTCCTGCAGGTCCGCGTCGCGTATGTCACCGCCGCGTTGCTGGAGACCGAGCCGGCCCGTCGACCCTCCGCGGCTGAAGTGGCTACTTGGGGCCCCGACGGACCCTCAAAAAGACTTCGGCGCAAGGCCAGGCACGTGAGGGCGCATGTGGTAGCCTGGTAGTTTGCTTCCTTGGGAGTTTGCTTGGGGTCCGTGCTTTGGCATCGCGCAGATCCGGACATTTGCTCTTGGATTGAAGCCCGAACTTTACATGCCTTTCAAATTGAGCCTATCGACAGAGATGCTGAGATGCTGCAAAGGACGTCTAGCCAGGGATCAATCGCATCTCTACCCAGCATGCAAGCACGCAGAATTTGTTTTGGGGATTGTGGCGTTTTCTTGTTTTGCTGCTCTCTGGGGTGTTTATGTGGATGGTCGAACTCCTTAATTGCCGACAATGCCGACGAGGAGGACGACGACGTGAAATCATTACTGCTACTACTGCCACTACGACCACTGCCACTACCACTGCCACCAGTCACTCTCGCACTACCCCTGGCCCCACTAAAGCTACCACTACAGTACTACTACTACCAGACTACAGTACTACTACTACTACTACTACTACTACTCCTGCTGCTGCTGCTGCTGCTGCTGCTGCTGCCACTCTGCCACTCCGCCACTCTGCCACTCTGCCACTCTGTCACTCTGCCACTCTGCCACTGCCACTGCCAGAACCACTACCACTACTACTGCTGCTATTGCTGCTACTACTACTTCTTCTATCGCCACTGCTCCTCTTCCTCTTCCTGTGCCTCCGCCTCCAACTACTACGTCCATTGCTGCTGGTGCTCCTACTGCTGCTGCTGCTGCTGCTGCTGTTGCTACCATTACGACGACGACTACTACTACTACTACTGCTACTACTACTACAGTCAGTGCTACCCCTGTGCTACCACTGCTGCTTTTCGCTGTTGCTACGACATTCAGGCAGTCTGTCCTCGTGAAGGGGCGTCAGCCAAAGATTGGAATCATGAGAACCGCATATGTGGTGTCCACAATGCCTGTTGCACAGACCAGACGGCTGGTAGACAGACATCCTCAACACCGCCTCTTTGTTCTGCGCAAAGCCTGTGTGACAGGAGCTCAGGCAGCACTTCCATGTGTAGCCGCCTAAGGCCCCTGCACATTGAAAGCCGGTGCACTTGCGACGTTCTGCGAGTCATACTGTATGAAACTCATGTCGTGTAGGGTCATGTACTGATAAAGAACGCAAAAGTAACAGTGCCAACGATGGTAAACAATCTCACCAGCAACAGAGCTGTATCATCAGATCGGATATTCACGAGAACCATCCGGATCATGTGATTCATCTCTGTAAGGGTTTATGCGCCGCTGCCGCTGACCCTGGTCGGGAAAGCCGGCCATACCTGGACGTGTGCCACCTGGCGCAAGCAGACAAAAACGATTGCAGGCAAAGCGGCCTGGCTTTGGGGATGCGTGTTGGAACAAGGTTGTACATCTCGCAGAACACTCCTTGCTGTGTCCCGAGTTTACATGTTTCACACATGGCAAAGACCCCCAAAACTGCCACGGCAGCACCTATTGCCCCTCTGATTCTGGCAAATGAGTGCTTTTGTGCTGTGTGTTGGCATTAACAACATCTGAGTGATCGTCGGCGTGGGGACCTATCGGCTTGAGCAGAGCTTCTACAGGAGTGATCCTGTACTGGCTCCCCAGGCCTCCGACTCTGCAGGTTTGGACAAGTTGGAGACTGCAAGACAAGCTCATAACATATCTTCCAAGAGACACCCAGCTAGAGACACCCTAAGCTTTAGCCCATGGCATGCGGGGTGCCCGGGCTGCGGCGGCTCGCACGGCTCAAGCCAAGGCGGCCAAGGCTGCAGTCCGCGGCCTGGAAGCAGCCCCTTGCAATTGAAGATCTCGAGTTATATATATATATATATATATATATATATATATATATATACACATATATGTATATATATATATATATATATATATATATATATATATGCTTTTGAGCTATGCTTTTCTGGTTTTCTTCTGGTGTGATGGTTATTCAGAATTATTCACAAAGTTCAAGCTTGCTTGCTACCAGCGGCTATCACGGTCTGCACAGTCTCGGTCTGCTCTCGAGACCACCAACAGGCGCTCATGTTTCCTCTTGGTATCTCTGACCCGACCCATGATCCGACCCATGATCCAAGGATGTCGGTCTAAGCTGTTTCTTGACTCCCGGGCGGAAGCTGGTCGGCAAACTGCTGTCGAATCGGATCACATCAGAGCCGTGGCATGAATGGTGTGGTTGACTCATTTTCAAGGTACCCTTCGGTCGATGTTTCAGTGACGAACTTCACGAACCTCACCCACATGGCTCAAGCAGGATAGTTCCAGTTTGGGGAGCCCAGGACTTCCAGCGACACGACGTGCTGCCATCTGGAGAGGTGCTGCACTTGGGATCCCTGGGCCGAAGCCTCAGACGACGAGCCGGGGTCTTTATTGCACGTAGCACGGGGACGGGGGCTCGGCTGAGGTTGCCCACCGGAGCAAGTCAGAGCGGCAGAGCCAGAGGCGGACCGAAGGATTCAGCGGCTGCTCGGCCAAAGACTGCGAGAATCCTCGTGAGTTTGCGCCGCAGTTGGTATAGGGAAGAGTTTGTGCTCCCATGGTCAGGCGCCGCAGCTCTGAGACGAAGCGGCGTACACATGACAAGGACAAGTTCATGCGCACTAGCTTTCCGAAGCGTACGAGTATTAGCATAAGGCCCTTGAAGCCAAGGCAGCCCTACTAGCAACGGGGGAAACAGCTGCCTGCCTAGATCAAGGACATCACCACAACATCGCCAGAGAAAAGCACCGCAGTCGCGTCCTGGATCCAGGCCTGGGCCGCCGTGCTCTACTCGGAGGCCACCGAGGCGCCCGCGTCACCGAGGCGGCGCTTGGCGCTGGCGCTGGGCCCGGGCCCAAGCAGAGCGGGGGAGAGGCCAAAGTGAGAGCCCCAACCCAGAGTCTGCAAGTCTCTTTGTCGAGTCTTTCGATCTGCTTCTTGTTGGGCGCACTTAGATCGCTTGGGACTTAAACTATCTGCGTGGCTATGTTCGATCCGCTTGGTTGATTCACTTCGGCCTGCATTCACGCCTAGATTGCCTAGGGGCCTAGATACGTGCATACCCACCCGCATCTCTTGCCCGCCGAACAGCTGCCACACGCACAACTGTCTGTTTGCTCGTCGATTCGTGCAGATACGATGCTTATAATATTCTTTTTTACAAGCCCGCACACGTACACGCAGTACACATGCATTGCGATTGTGCGGCTGGCTTCTGTGTACGCAGCATCTGTTGCAGCATGTTTGACTTGCTTTGCGAATCATGCAAACTTGACAGTGGACAACGGGCGCAGAGACACGGCGATGCGAACATAGACGTGGAGAAGAACATATAGTAGTACGGCTCTGAATTCGGAAGTTGGAGCAAACGATACTTGTAGGAAATGAGCATCAACCTTTATGGATCTTTATGGCCCGGACTTCGAAGTCTTTGCAGCTACCTGGACCTAGGCGTTCCAGAGACGGCCTTGCGATTGGGTCCGGGGCTGCACTTGCCTGGGGTGGCAGTGGAGGTGGCCCGCCTGCCACGAGGCGAGCTAATGCATAGCTGACCTTCCTTCTAGACCCTCGCACATAATTAATCCGTAAACTTGCAGCTGATTGTACACTTTTTTTTTTTTCTGACGCCGGTTTCTGAGCGCTTTCGCATTGGGGCGTTGACCACAAACGCGCTTGTTCGCCACCGGCACCGGCTTTGTGCTGTGTTGGCAGGTCTTCCGGACTTGGACTTCACTCCGGAGCTTCGAGCTGGGGTCCTCGGGCAGAAAGGCGAAATGCTCGCTTTGGGTCCTCCAGACCCTCGGTGCAAGATTTCGGTTGGGTCTTGCGCCGCCTTGCTTCATGCTTTCTTGAAGCAGGGCCACTGCGGCGGACTGCGTGCGTTGCTTCAGGACCTGACGCAAAGTCTGGGCATGACAGATGTCTCGTCTCTCGGCCAAGCATTGGACCTAGGCATCTGTCCGTGCTTTCATTCAGATGAGTCAGGTGGGCCTCTAGTCGCACTCGGGTTTCTTTCCGGCACACTTCGTCCGATGGGGCACCACAGGTGCCCGGCGCACCGCTACACCATCGTGCTGCGGAACTTGAGCGAACAGAAGGCAACTCGTGTTAAGAGAGCGGAATCGGAAGCTGCAGTAGACGGTCATGGTGAGGTCGCCGAGGGCAGATACGACGAGCGCCTGGAGGCCATCAGTGTAGTGGTGTGTGTAGTAGAACAGAGCCTCGCCGGTGCTTTAGTCGAGCGCCTATAAGGGCCTGGGGCTCCACTCTCGCTGATGCCATGACATTCGAAGACAGACTGGGGCATCCATTGCCCGAACTGTCATGCAACAGAGCATCCATGCCCATGCAGGAATTGTGACAAACGTGCGCTGCAGGGCATTCGTTTTTTAGGACTATAGGGCACAGGGGCTGTAAGCCCCTGTGGCAGCCGCGCACGTCAGACTGAAAACGTTGGTATACGTTGGTGGATGGCTGGTGAGGGGACCCACCGTGTCTGGCGCTGCAAGCCACATGAGACATCCCATCCCATCCCATCCCATCCCCTCCTTTGCCATCGTTCATCCCGGGTGGCAGCCATCCCCGATTGCACCCTGAATGTTTAGAACACTCATGTATTCAGACTCCGCGCTGCTCTGCTCAAACCGCCTCCCCTCTTCAACCACCTCCCAAAACCCCCCATCCCCTTGCCAAACCATCCCATCCGATCGAGCAATCCCCGCAATCCCATCCCCACCCATCCCATCCTTTGTTACGGTACACAGTCCTTGAGGAATTTTGTGTTATAGGGTGTAATCACAATGGCTTACAAGTGGTTTAAGGGACGCAAAGTACCGAGTGATTAGGGCTGACTAGGGGTACTTTATTGGATGAGGATAGTTGCAATTGTCCCGAAGGGTCCACGTAGTCCTTATTTATGGTTTTTGGTACTTAACAAAGCCCAAGAGTCCTATAATATTGAGTACTTGGACCCTTAGGGTATGGGTTACCACTCGGTACTCGGACCCTCTGCCTTCCTGCATTCCCACGAGCATCCATGGTTCGTTGTGTTTCTACGACATTCTACGACGCTACGAGGCCGAAATGCTCGCATGTCCGAACCGAGACAGCGTCCGCTGCGAGCAATCCGTTCCCAAGAGCAGCCAGGGCCGAACCCTGACAACATCCGCTTCGAGCCCACATGCTCCCAAACAGCATTGTTTTCAGGGTCTAAAACCACATAAATAGCTGAACAACTAAAACGTGGGATTTGGCCACGTGGCCGCGACCACGTTGTGGTGGTGGTGGTGGTGGTGGTGGTGGTTCTTGTTCTTCTTCTTCTTCGTATCATTCTTATTGTTCTTGTTCTGCTTCTTGTGGTTGTGGTTTTACGCGTTTAATTGCTATATTACTACTTGGAGGCCAACACAAAGAAACCTGTAATGTATTCATTGCAGACTCTCCGTAGACGCTAGACTCTCACGATCTGAAGGAGATACGAGAGAAAGGCTTCGCCAACTTTTTCGAGCTGTCGTCGTTTGGCTTAGCGGAGGTCCGACGGTACCATGCCAGCAAGCAGCCGACCCGTTTGTGATTGGGGCTGATAGACATAAAAATGCCGTGAAGCAGCTTCCTCAGAGACGAAGGCAAACCGTGCGGTGGCATATTGTCACAGTATAGCTTCTGACCCTCTGTGCCACACAAACCAGAGCCTCGTCTGGCTCCGAGTGAGACAATCGGCATTTCAGACAAATCGTCACACCCTCAACCTGGCATTGTGAGTGTGCAATGTGAAACCCAGTCATTCGAAGGACTAATCGTAAGAGTGGTCCGAGGCTGCTTGCGCGTGAAGCACTGGCATGCTAGTTAGAAGCTTGCATGAAACTTGATATGTAAATCCAGTCAGAACATACGTAAGCCAACGCATCTAGTCGCCCCCCATGTCTGCCCGGAGCCGAAGCCGGAGCCGGGAAGGGAAAGATGCGAAGAATCCGCTTCTGGAGACGAAAGGGCTGCCTCGATTTCAGTCCATCGATGTGAAGCACGTGAAGCCGGCGATGGAAGCTATCTTGAAGTCCATGCGCGAGGACTTCAAAAGCCTTGAAGCCGCTCTCCCCAAGAATCCCAAGCCTGACTACGAGGGGGTCGTGGAATCTCTTGAGAAGCTGCGGCACCCACTTTCCTACAGCTGGGGTGTTGTCAGTCACTTGAACAATGTCAAGAACTCGGATGCCTTGCGTGAAGTCCACCAGGCGGTCCAGCCAGAGGTAGTCAAGGCCGAAATGGAGCTGTCGCAGAGCCGCGTCGTTTTCGATGCCCTGGGCAGCTTGGAGAAAAGTTCTCTTCCCGAGTCCCGGCAGCGAATTGTGGAGTCGGCTTTGCGCGACATGCGACTGAGCGGGGTGGACCTCGAGGGCAACGCAAAGGAAGAGTTCAAAACCATGCGACTGCGCCTAGCAGAACTTGGTACGAGCTTCGGGAATAATCTGCTTGATTCAACGAAGGCTTTTGAACTTATTCTCACAGATCTCAAGGATGTTGAAGGCCTGCCCGCAAGTGCACTCGCAGCAGCGGCACAGTCCTACAATCAAGCACAAGGCGGAAAGAGTGAGAAGACCGAGGCAACCTCAGAATCGGGGCCTTGGCGGCTGACACTAGACATGCCCTCCTACCTTCCCGCCCTGAAGCACCTGAAGTCCTCCGAGCTGCGCGAGAAGCTCTACCGTGCTTTCATCTCACGCGCTTCTACCGACAAGATGGACAACGGGCCTCTCATCACGGAGATCTTGCAGTTGCGGAAGAAAGCCTCAGCATTGCTGGGCTTCAAAGATTACGCATCCGAATCCCTTGCCAAGAAGATGGCTCCGGACCTCGAGGCGGTGCGCAAGCTGACGGGGGACTTATTTTCAGTGGCGCGGCCCGCTGCCGAGAAAGAGCTACAGGAGCTGCAGGATTTCGCCAACAAGAAAGGCTCAGCAGGGTTGCTTCTAGCCGTCTAGTCGAAGGATTGCAACATCCGTTCCATACCAAAATGTCCTAGTGTAGCGATTGCACGCAGACCCAGCACAGGCTACGACGGCAAGCTGCAGCTATGGGATGTGGCCTACTGGACCGAGCGTCTCAAGCAGGAGAAGTATGCCTACGATGAGGAGGCTTTGAGGCCGTACTTCTCGCTTCCCAAAGTGCTGAAAGGCATGTTTGGCATTGCTTCAAAGCTGTTCGGAGTCGACATCGCTCAGGACGACGATGCAGCGGAGCGGTGGCATCCCGACGTCATGTTCTTCAAGGTACAGGACGCCGGCAAAGACATCGCTTCCTTCTTCCTGGATCCATATGCACGCCCCGGGGAAAAGCGTGGAGGTGCTTGGATGGATGATTGCCTCGGGCGCTCCAAGGCCGTGGGAACAAAGCCGGTGGCATATTTGAACTGCAATGGCTCGCCGCCAGTGGGCACAAAGCCGTCTTTGATGACGTTCTCGGAGGCTGAGACCCTGTTCCACGAGTTCGGCCACGGTCTCCAGCACATGCTGACGCATGTTGAGGATGGTGAATGTGCAGGCATCAACAACGTCGAATGGGATGCGGTGGAGCTGCCCTCACAATTCATGGAGAACTGGCTGTACCACAAGCCGACTGTGGACTCTTTTGCGGTGCACTTCGAGACTGGAGAACCGCTTCCTTCAGACATTTTCGAGAAGATCAAAGGCAGCCGCATTTTCATGGCCGCTTCCATGATGCTTCGGCAACTGCAGCTAGGTGATCTGGATATGAAGCTCCACTCTGAGTTCGATCCAGAGGGGCCAGACACATTCTTGGATGTACAGCGGCGAGTGGCCGCCAAGTATCAGATCTTGCCGCCATTGGAAGAAGACCGCTTCTTGTGCTCATTCAAGCACATCTTTGCTGGGGGCTATGCGGCAGGGTACTACTCCTACAAGTGGGCCGAGGTTCTCTCAGCGGATGCTTTCGCCGCATTTGAGGAGGCTGGTCTTGAGGACGAGGAGGCCCTGCGCGCAGTTGGACACCGCTTTCGAGACACCGTGCTGGGCTGTGGTGGCGGCAGGCATCCTAGCAAGGTCTACCGTGACTTCCGCGGTAAGGATGCGACTGTGGATGCCCTCTTGCGCCACAACGGTCTACTCTGAGCCGTTTGGACTGGTGGATTCCGGCGCATCCTGTGAAAACCAAGAGCTGGGCTGCTACTGGTATACGTCTGGTAGGATGTCGTAGGTTTAGGCGGCAAAAAGGTTCTGCGAGAAGCGAAGCTGCAAGGTACGAGATCGGTGCGGCCTTGTGGTGCGGACATTGGGACCGAGCCTGTCAACTCCTCCTCACCTCAAACAGAGGCGCGCGGAGTGTGGGGCCGTGGGGCCCAGGCCTAGTACTTGAGGTTCGCTGCTGCTACGCTGTGAGGTGCCTCGGCTCTCGCAGCTGCTTCTGCCGCCTTCGCCGCGAGGGACTACGCGCAAGGCCTGGAGATGCATGGGCCCCGTCGGGGCCCCGCCGAAGACGCTCCGTGAAGAGTGCTCCGTGCTCTGAGGCTTCCCACGGATATGAGCTGCAAAGGGCTCCGGGCCCTGGCCATGCACTTGCTCCTCAAAAGGCGCGGGAGGGGAACCTGCATCCCAAAGGCCCTAAAGGCCCTAAAGGCCCACAGGAAGCTTCGTCGGTTGTCACATGTTGTCACCTGAGACTGAGATCCTCTGATGGTCAGGGATCCCTTGGAAGCGCTGCGGCGGGCAGTGCCCGCCGTGCTTTGGGGCAAACTCTTGGCGACGGCCGGCGCCTGAGTGGAGTCCAAAGGGGAATGACGTGATTACGACAGCCCAGCCAGCAACCACGCAATCCAGGAAACTGTGGTTCAGGAAGCCACTTGATTCGGCCGCTACTTGCAGAGGCTTGGGGAAGTGTCAGGTGATCTGGCACTGCCCGCGTCAGCGACACCTCTGTGCTTTGCGCTTCCTGTCTTCCCTCGTTCTTGTTGGTAGGGAGAGCAGCGGCGCCCACAAGGTGAACCTCACACGAGCATTTTTGCCTCCTTTGACTTCTTGCGTTAACTCGAGACCCTCTCCGAATCTTGTATCTGGGCTTGGGTCTTGGAGTTTATATAGAGCTTGTGGAGGTATGCGTCGGCTTAGCAGGGTAGCATGTACATGCGGCTGACCCAGCGCCGCGTAGGCCGAAGCTCGTAAGGGGTGGATAGCCAGGAAGATAGCATACTTAGTGTACGCTATGGCGGCTGACATAGCGACGCGTAGCAAACGTACTAGACGGTGGGTAGGTAGCCTTATGGTAGGGTCGGTGGTAGCGCGGCGGACCCAGCGCCGCGTAGGCGTTTTGCAGCGTAGGGTGGTAGGGTAGGTGTTGTGTAGACTCAGTGTAGTGTTAGTGTTGGTGTAAGTGTCACTGTTGGTGTTGGTGCTGCTGTTAGCTAGTATTACTGTTGTGGTTTTGGCGGTTATGGTTGTGGTTGTTGTCATTGTCGTTGGTTGTCGTTGTTGTTGTTGTTGTTGTGGTGGTGGTGGTGGTGGTGGCTGTTGCTGCCTGCAAGGGGTTCGGGAAGGGGGGTGTTTGGCTTCGATGTCGCTGTATACTCGCCTTCCGGGACTTTTAAAGATCCGGTTTGAGTGATGTCATGTCTTGCAGGTTTAGGTCGTCGCGCTACGTTGTTTGGAGCCTGTGTTTGCCAGGTCTTATGTTGCGAATCCCCGAAGTCCATCGGAAGTGTGCCCTGTGTCTTTGGACCCCTAAAGCGGTGATGTGTTTGTTGACTTGGTCCGTTTCCCCTTATGGAATGTGCAAGTCAAGAGTGAAGCGAAGTGATGGTCGCTAGAGGCGCTGCTTGAATGTGGCTTGCACACAGCCTCCAGGCCTGTGTCACAAGGAAACAGTCGCACCTCGTCCGTGCTGCCCGATAAGTTCGTGAAAACAGCCAGACCGACAACTATTATCCTCAGCGTCGCGTGCAGCCCCCAAGGAACATGATTGCCCATGCTGCATGTGAGCACATTGACTGCCGCCTTGATTCAGGAAGCCCTGATTTTGTGGTTGGTTTCTCGGCACCCAGGTGGGTCGCGTTTGCTGGAATCGTGCGGTGGCTGCGCGGCTGAGCGAGCTTGCGACTGGGTGGCACTGGCATGCACTGGCACATGGTGACATGGTGGTGGGGATGTCCAGCCGCTGCTGGTCGCCGCGGTCGCCTAGGCCCAGCAGCCAATGCTGGGAGATTTGGTTTGGGACCAGCCGCTTGGAATAACCAGGCTGAGGTCTGTGAGGCAACAGCTTGAGAAATCTAGGACCTAGGAACGTGACAGGAGCAGTGCAGGCAACGGAGATGTCGAGCTTAAGCACCGCGCGAAATTCGCTATAGATCTTGATCCGCTCCTTTGTGCTGCATTCTTTGTTCAAGTTGTTCTTGCTGCAGTTGCTGCATCCGAAGAGTCCGAGTCATCATGAGCGCTGCGCATCGCTGCGCTCTGCACTTCGCTGGAAAGGGGGGGGGCCCGGGCCGTTTCTCTGCGGTCGAAGCCAGGAGCGCGGGCGAGCCGAGACCGCTGTCGCATCAGGATCTGCGCACAGGCGCGTGCTCTCTTTCCCATATGTAAGCGCCAACAAGAAACTTGGGCCGGTGGACGCCCTACACTTGGCTTCCCCCTGCAGTACCGTCAAGCTTCATCCGGTGCTGCATCGGCACGGTCAGAGCCATCACCAGTTATCACCATTATCATTGTCATGGTCGTCAATGTGAAGGTTCGAACCGTCGCCACCCATGTCGTCACAAACATATTTTCTTCATTGTCGACTTTGTGTCGTCATCATGAAGTAGGCACTTTGAATATCAGCAGCAGCATCATATCCAGAATGTTCAACTTCTCAAACTCGACAAAATCATCATTACAATTACCATCCTCGTCATCATGACAACCTGTGTCCCATCAGCAGCTTACCATCCCAACCATCATCACCGCCGCTACGATAATCGTCATCCACAACACTGCGACCGAGCATCCGCCTCCTGGATCCCCGTTTCCCATCTGCCATGAAGCGCCACCGCCATGCTTCGCTCTGCCGTGTCCAAGTGATTTTGATTTAGCGACCCATGGAGACGGCACCGGGAGGATCCGTGTTGCTCCCATCTCGAAGGGTCCGTGCGTACTGGCTACGCATGAGAAGCGCACCCAACACAGGCACACACGGCCCAGAGATCCACGCAACAGGTATGCCGATAATGCCGATTACCGTGCATCCAGGGCTCGAGATTGAAGTAATTAGACAAAGTTCTGACCTGGAGTAACTCGAGATCCATTCCAGCAGTGTGATTGTTGTCGGTGCTGACAAGCTGGCAGTGCCAGTCTGCCATCTTTCCCTCCGCAACTACCGCCACCATCACCACTCACTAATGCTAGTGCTACCCTGAGCATCCCATATTGATTACAATCAATATCTTGATTTTGATGGTTCGCAGAATCAATATAATATATTGATTTCTTGACATCGATAATCAATATGTAAAAATAAGTAAAACAATCAATATGCGAATCAATATGCAAATCAATATGTAAATCAATATGCTAATCAATATGTACATATATGTATACATACCATTTTATATTGCTAATATGCATAAAAAAAACATATGAGTATATATGAAAAATATGTATATGTGTGTGTAAGGCTTTGGGTATAGAAGACTGTAATGTAGAGGTGTGGGGTATAAAGGTGTCGGGGTAAGGGGTTTTGAGGGGGTTAGAGGCAGAAGGATTTAGGGCTATAGGGGAGGTTCACAAACATCGGGGTTTAGGGCTCTTGGGGTTTAGGGGTAAGGGGCTAAAGGGTATGGGGTCGCAGGACTTTCGTGGGCAGATGGCTTTAGAAAGTCTAGCAGAAAGCGACGTAGAATGAGAGAAAGAGAGAACAAACGAAACGGAAGGATAGGGAACGAAGAGAGAAGAGAGAAGCGACTAAAGGAAGAGATACAGACAGAGAGAGAGAGAGAGAGAGATAGATAGATAGATAAATAGATAGATAGAGAGACAGATCAAGAACAACATAGAGAAGGCAAGAATAAAGTGGCAGGAGAGAGAAACTTAGGACAAACCAAAGAAATAGGACAAGAGAGAGCGAAGAGAGAGAGAGAGAGAGATAGAGAGAGAGAGAGAGAGAGAGAGTTAGAGAGAGCGAGCGAGAGAAAGAGAGAGGGACGGAGAAAGCGAGAGAGAAAGAGACAGAGAGAGAGAGAGAGAGAGAGAGAGAGAGAGAGAGAGAGAGAGAGAGAGAGAGAGAGAGAGAGAGAGAAAGGGAGAAAGAGAGGAAGCAAGAAAGGGAGGAAGAACGATAGAGTTTAGAGGGTTTAGGGTTTGGGGGTCTCGGGTCTCGGGTTTTTGTTAGTTCCTCTAGGTTTTGGAAGCTAGGGGTGACATTAGGGGTTGTGGCGTTTTTTTTGTTTCGGGGGGGGTGTTCTACGTTTCCAAAATCATTCTCCCCAACCCCAAACCCCGAAGCTTTTCCAGCCAACCCCCCTAACACCCCCAAGCCCCTAAAGCCTGCCACCCACCAAAATCCTCACCCCGACCCAAAACCCTTCACCCTTCACCCCCATCGGGTTTGAAGGTGGTGGCGATGGTGGTGGTGTTGGTGGTGGTGGTGGTGGGTGGTGGGTGGTGGGTGGTGGGTGGTGGGTGGTGGGTGGTGGGTGGTGGGTGGTGGGTGGTGGGTGGTGGGTAGTGGGTGGTGGCTGGTGGCTGGTGGCTGGTGGCTGGTGGCTGGTGGCTGGTGGCTGGTGGCTGGTGGCTGGTGGCTGGTGGCTGGTGGCTGGTGGCTGGTGGCTGGTGGCTGGTGGGTGGTGGGTGGTGGTGGTGCTGGTGGTGGTGGTGGTGATGCTGCTGGTGCTGGTGGTGGGTTGTTGGTGGTGGTCGTGGTGGTGGTGGTGGTGGTGGCGGTGGTTTTGGTGGGTTTGGTGGTGGCGGCGGTGGTTTTGGTGGGTTTGGTGGTGGCGGCGGCGCTTCTTCTAGTTGTGGTGGTGCTGGTGGTGGTGCTGGTGGTCGTGGCGGTGGTAACCCTTCAACCCCATCGGGTTTAAAAGCTTTTGGTGGTGGTGGTGCTGGTGGTGGTGGTGGATTGAGGGGTGGAGGTTGGATAGAGCTGGTTTGGAATGTGCTGCGTGGGGGAGGGGGGTTAAGGGTTGATGGAGCGGTGGGTGAACACGGTGAGCTCTGGGTTTGGGCTGGGCACTTCAAGGTGTTTGGGTTTGGTGGGCGTGGTTTTTATTCTTTGGACCAGGTATCGAAACAAATTTGAACCAGTTTTGAATTATTTTTCCAAATTGGTTCAAAAAAATCAAATCTGATGAAATCTGATGAAATCTGGTTTTTCATCAGATTTCATCAGATTTCATCAGATTTGATTTTTTTGAACCAATTTGGAAAAATAATTCAAAACTGGTTCAAATCTGTTTCGATACCTGGTTCAACCTTGAAAGGACCGGAGAAGGGCCAGGAGATAGGAGGGGGGCCGGGGGAGGCCAGGGGGCCCAGGAAGGAACAAACACCTTGAAGTGCCCAGCCCAAACCCAGAGCTCACCATGTTCACCCACCGCTCCATCAACCTTTAACCCCCCTCCCCCACCCAGCACACCTCCACCCCTCAATCCACCACCACCACCAGCACCACCACCAAAAGCACCAAAAGCTTTTAAACCCGGTGGGGTTGAAGGGTTACCACCGCCACGACCACCACCACCACCACCACCACCACCACCACCACCACCACCACCACCACCACCACCAGCACCAGCACCACCAGCACCACCAGCACCACCACCAGCACCACCACCAGCACCACCACCAGCACCACCACCAGCACCACCACCAGCACCACCACCACCACCACCCACCCACCACCACCACCACCAACACCACCACCATCGCCACCACCTTCAAACCCGATGGGGGTGAAGGGTGAAGGGTTTCGGGTCGGGGTGAGGATTTTGGTGGGTGGCAGGCTTTAGGGGCTTGGGGGTGTTAGGGGGGTTGGCTGGAAAAGCTACGGGGTTTGGGGTTGGGGAGAATGATTTTGGAAACGTAGAACCCCCCCCCCCCGAAACAGAAAAAACGCCACAACCCCTAATGTCACAGCCCTCCCTCAAAGCCCCTAGCTTCCAAAACCTAGAGGAACTAACAAAAACCCGAGACCCGAGACCCCCAAACCCTAAACCCTCTAAACTCTATCGTTCTTCCTCCCTTTCTTGCTTCCTCTGTTTCTCCCTTCTCTCTCTCTCTCTCTCTCTCTCTCTCTCTCGCTCTCTCCCTTCTCTTTCTCTCTCGCTCTCTCCCTCCCTCTCTCTTCTCTCGCTCTATCTCTCTCTCTCTCTCTCTCTCTCTCTCTCTCTCTCTCTCTCTCTCTCTCTCTCTCTCTCTCTCTCTCTCTCTGTCTCTCTCTCTCTCTCTCTCTCTCGTTATCTCTCTTGTTCTTTCTCTCCTTGCGTCCTTCTCTCGTTCTCTCCCTTATGTCTCTGTTTCGCTCCTTCTGTCGCTCTCTCTCTTTTTCTCTTTCTTTAGTTTGTCCTAGGTTTCTCTTTCCACTTTATCCTTGCCTTCTCTATGTTGTTCTTGATCTGTCTCTCTATCTATCTCTCTCTGCCTCTCTGTCTGTATCTCTTTCTTTAGTCGCTTCTCTCTTCTCTCTTCGTTCCCTATCCTTCCGTTTCGTTTGTTCTCTCTTTCTCTGATTCTACCTCGTTTTCTGCTAGACTTTCTAAAGCCATCTGCCCACGAAAGTCCTACGACCCCATACCCTTTAGCCCCTTACCCCTAAACCCCAAGAGCCCTAAACCCCGATGTTTGTGAACCTCCCCTATAGCCCTAAATCCTTCTGCCTCTAACCCCCTCAAAACCCCTTACCCCGACACCTTTATACCCCACACCTCTACATTACAGTCTTCTATGCCCAAGGCCTTACACACACATATACATATTGTCATCTATGCTCATATGTATTTTTATGCATATTAGCAATATAAATTAGTTTGTAAAACAACATATATAGCAATATGTTAATCAGTATGCTAATCAATATGCTAATCAATATGCTAACCAATATGCTAATCAATATGCTAACCAATATGCTAATCAATATGATAATCAATATGCCGTGTTTTCGGTATATTGATTTTTGACGCTGCGCAAAAAATCAATATCTGTTTGCGAAATTGATTGATTGTAATCAATATGGGATGCTCAGGGTACTGCTGCTGCTTCTGCTTGGCTACCACTGTAACGGCTACTACTGCTACCAACGACTGCCACGATATAGTGCAGCCGCCACTGCTGGTACTTTCACGTGACAAGAGAGTCTGTTGGAGGTCAGTGGCAGCTGAGCGACATCGTCCTCCCACTTCCCAGGTCGGGCATCCTTTTTGTCGCATGTCGTGTGAAAGCCACCTCCTCGCACGCTCTCGACTTGTTTACCCGTTGCTGCACGATTTGGTTCTTTAGCGTCCTGTGCGTCAGTGTGGGCAGGCTCCCACACTGAGGCGTCGCATTGAGTCGTGCGTTTCGTTGAGGCCCGGAGAGCCACTGCTTCAGGGCGGCCAGAGGCACCGGCCTCTGCCATCAGACGTTTTTGAGTCGGTTCAGGATCTCACTCTGCAAGGCTTGCCATGGAGGCGGAGCTCCAGGAATTGGTGCCTGACCAGGTGCCTTTCTCTCCCAGTCTGTCAGAGAAGATCTCCATCTCACTTCGTCGTAAGGATGCTCCCGCAGACTGCTTCCCCCTGGACGTCTCAAAGATCCTACCGCGGGTGCGTCGAATCGTCAGCATCCCCTCGGCTCCTAGGCCCTGTTAGCGGCGTAGCGATCTGAGCAGATTCGCAGATGGCTTCGGGGCCACAGTCCGTTATTTTCTTCCCAGGACTTGGGCTGGGACGTGATTGAGTCCTCCGGCGGCGGCGTGGTCGACTGTGACCTTGCGCGCCTCACTGCCAGGTGCAGCAGGGGAATATCTCAAGGGCTCGTCTTTTTGTTGAACCTGCTCCACTCGTCTTCGAGGTGACGTTTCTGGCCGCCATACTTTCATGGGACTGAACCTCCTTCTTTGCCCGAACTACTCTGAGCTCGCGAAGCAGAAGCCGAAAACCTGCAAAACGGTTGCTTTGCACGCTGAAAGCAGTGAAATCACCGCTTTGGTGCTGATTTGTGGGTCGAGGAGGGTGACAGCATCCAGCCAATCTGGCTCAGAACAAGAGAGGGGGGGCGACGTTGACGACGAGCGAGCGCAGCTACGAAACGACGCCTTGGCTTGAAGTCCGTCACGTCGCTCGGTCATGGGTCGGCTGGCGGCTGGCAGTGATGCTCGGGCATGGCTTCATGCACGACCGGCGTCGCCTCGTGCACTTGTCGGCGGCGGTCGATACAATTGGCTCCCGCCCAGCCAAGCACTGTTTGATGGATGTCGGGTTGTGCTGCGGGGTCGTGCTAACCTCGATGGAGATGGCCGTTTGTGGGATGTATGCCTGTGCGTGATCGTGCGCGTGCGCGGGGTGTGCAGGAAGCTGTCGTTGCTAAATGTCAACTTGGGATGATTTGGGATGCTGAGAAGTTGGGCTCCGCTTCGTTTGGGGATCAATTTGTCCTTGCTCTCACGAGGGGACCTGGGTCCAGAGCAGCTCCGGGGGTGCCGGGTGCCGTCTCGGTGTGGCTTGCGACGACCTCGGTGTGGTTGTCTAAGGCTCAGGCTGTTTTTACGACCTCCGTGGGGTTTTGCATCGCAGGTTGGGCCCGGGATGACAAAACATCGCGCGTTGGTTTCCACTCTTTTTTCGTTTAGATAGTTCGGACGTTTTCTTTTGCTTGGGACGCTGCAGGTGCGTGGGAAATTATCGGCATGCCACCTCCTGTGAGAGTGCTTTATGCTCCCTTCCGCGGCTGCTGCAGGGGCAGGGACAGCGAAGAAGTGCCTTCTTCCCCGGCTGCGCGAAACCGGACCCCACCGGGCCTGGCGCTGCGCCTGCGCTGCACGCTTCCTCGAGCCGAGTCCGCGGAGGCGCGACGGTTGAGAAGAGTCAGACAACACCCGACTCTGGGGTCAAGCAAGTCGTATGTGAGCCCGAATGGGAGATGATGCATGTATAGCGTCATAAGCAGATACGGTATGGTTGCAAGACTAAAGGAGCTGGTGCCAATCATGTTCGAACGAGATCGCGAATGTTTGCGAGTGTTAGGCATGAACGAACGAGATAGGGGCACAGGTGCGAGATAGTGTAGGCAGCACCCAAATGCAAACACACGCACCGGCTCATATACATATATAATTACCGATCTACATACACACAGACATAGGTAGAAGGCAGATCCTGATGCATTGAGAGCAACAGGACAGTAGATTTGCAGCGCGTTCAATCGCCGAAGAGCTGCCTAGCAGAGCCCTCCTGCAGGGCCTTCTCCGTGAGCTGACGGCGTCGAATCCCTCAGTGTCCCAGCTGCCGTTAGCGCCTTCGACGTGACTGCAAGGCGACCTGTGTATCTGAGCTCATCTGAGGAGTTTCGGGACAACCTGCACCGCAGAGACCACATCTTCTGAGTGCCCAACTGGTGCCCAAAGCGATCGAGCCAAAGACAGCTCGTGGCATACTGGGCAGTGGAGAAGTTCAGCCTGAAGAAAAATCCTTCCCTCGATGTCGGCTCTTGCAGGGGCGTGGCGAGTAACTGCCAGAAGGAAAGAATTTTACTTGCCAGAAATCTGCATCGGACATTGCCGCGAGAATTTGTAGCGGCCGTGCCTGCGTTCCAGCTGGTCCGAGATGTCACCCAGGTCTTCCTCCGACCTCGATGCCTAGTCCAATTCGTAGGCGTCGCTATATGAGCTATGGTACTGATGTCATGAGCAAGCATGTACATAACACATGGGACCGATTGCCGGACCATGTCGTTACACTATTCCGCCTGCACATGGGGCCGATAGTCGGACCTTGTGCAGTGCTACGCAACAATCCGCGCCAATGCAACTTTGGCTCAAGTATGTCATCTAGCTAAGTGCTAGATTGCCTTTGCGATCCTAGAGGAAGTTCGAGCCATTTCCCGTGCAACGGACGACGTGTCAGACTCATTCAGAAGCAGCCGATGAGCTCTGGCTGTGGCATTCGGTTCTTGCCCTTTGCACCTGGCATGCATTGCTGCAGTGGTGCAGCTGCGTTTCGCTATGTGCCGCTCATATCTCCCGCCGCTCCCTTCAATGGAGTACCGCGAATGTCGATGCCAATCTGCAGAAACTTGTGGAGGACATCCACCTGGCCATTACGCCGAAAGCTGACGAGAGACACCATTTTCTGCCAGCAATACCAGCTGGAGGCGGTATGAGGCGGTGTGCTCCTTGACACCCTGCTCCTCTTCTCGTTTCCTACGTCGTCTTGCATTGCTGGATTTGCTGTCACTATCATGGCCTCAGGTTGGGTGAAGCCCACGGCTCTTCCAGCTTGCAGCACAGGGCAGCGCCCTGGCTTCATGTGCCACTGCAGGTGAGGCGGCTGATGTACTGGGACCGCTTGCCGATGGTACCTTGCCACGTTGCATTGTTGCTGGTCTTTTTCGTGCTCGGTGTTCTGCGAATCGAAGTCGAATGCGCTGCATCAGACTCAACGCTGGACGAACCGATTCCAAGCTTCGCCTTTGCGTCTTGAATTCTTTCTGAGTAGCTTGCTGGCGAGAATACGCCCGCCTTGAGCACCCGGCACGGCTTGGTCCGGTACGTTTCCAGCTTCTCTTTCGGGTGGTTACCTGACTGGGGTCCGCGTTGTGCACGGCGTTCTGTTCTGTCCATCTCCGTCCTGCACGGCTGCACGCGACCACGCTCAGCGTGGAAGGACCAAAGCCGGACGAGTTTCAGTTCCGCTGCATCCCGGACACGCAGGTCGCCTAACTGCAAACACCGCCGTCGACATCAGGTTCGATACTTGATACCACGGTGGACGTCCGATGGCTGCTTCGGATTGAGGTTCTGGGAGGTGCAGCAGCTGTCGCCAGCGTTCCTGCAACCCGACACAATCCAGGCATGCCGGATTGCGGAGCAAGGCAGGTGGCTATCGCTTCCTGCTGATGTCGGTACTTGTCTCGCATCGTCCGTGGAATTGCCCTACTGGAAGACTGCACACACCACAGGAACTAGCGGAGGAAAGATGCTGCAGTCGATCCTTTGGGACACTTCCTTATAGGGCTTCCAGCAGATCCTCGCGCAGCTTGAGGTCGCGCAACGTGTTGCCTGAGATGTGCCGAACCTGAATCTTGGACAGCAATGGACCATGGACGCGGGAGGTTGCTGCCATGCCTCCAGATAGATTGCGCGCAGCACGTTTCACCGCAAACCTTACAGGTATGGCATCCAACGAAAGAAGTTTGTGCGGACACGGACACATCCCAGCTCAGGTGAGATGAGCGCATTCAGAGCCATGTGGATGTATCACAGACCAGGGAAAAATTGTTTACGTAAGTACGACACGCGGCGTCGGTAGCCTTCCAGCACTCGGTGCTGCACCGCTGCCAGCTTTGCTCAAACAGATTTCAGGTCACTGCAGATGACGACAACACTTGTGAAGATGACATGCACGCGTCATGTGCAGTGCAGTGCAACCTTAAGCACAGGTGCGCACAATCTGGAGCTTTGACGAAGTCGCGGCACCTGTGCTTGCTTCGTCGCCATCACCTTTGGTAGCATGGATTGTTTCCAATGGCTGTGGGGAGCACAAGAGGCTTCGAGCGGCATGTCAGACCTTCTGCTTGATGCTTCAGCGTAAAGACAGCGTTGCTGCATTGAGACGGGTGAGGAGGTTGGGAGCAGCTTGTGACGTGGCGCTTTCCAATGAGTCTGTTGAGAAATGGCAGCGGAGGCTCCAGGAATCCCCAGGAGTAGCGGTCAGCACATGCTTTGCCACTGATGTTGGCCAGGTCGGCCAGGTTTGTCCCTACGGCACGGCGTTCGCAAGGATCCTCAACGAGGTGGCGCAGCTGCAAGGGCAATCTTAAGGCTTAAGGTTTCTTGCACATTCATTCTTTCCGATTTTGCTTGGCCCCTTGTGTGCAGTAGTCCGCAAAGCAGGGAGGGGTCGGGTCAAAAGGGATTGCACTGCTGATGCTGGCCTGTTCTGATCTTGGGTTACCTTAATCAAGGCCAGATGCTCTTGCCTTCATTATACTCGCAAGTTGTAGCCTGTCGTGTGTAGCGACTGCCGCACATACCCTGCAATGCCCTTCGAGCCTGTGCCCTGTCGCGAAGGTCCGAGTGGATTTGGTCGTGCGATCTGAGGATTTCGCTGGCATTGGAGTGGCAAGCGCCCTCACGGACCGGGCACGCGTCCTCTGCACAGGATTCTCAGCTTCGTGTTCTTCGCGCCGCGGCCCGGACAGTTTTGGCAGGTGCCTTCACTTGTTCTGGGACTCCACCCTTACCACTAAGTTCGTCGTTGGATCTCGCCGACGCGCACGTCTTGGGTATCGGCTGACATGCAGCTGGGCGCCGTTCTCAGGGGCACGCCTACCTTCTGCCATTGTCTCCGACAGGCGGACTAGCATGTCTCATTCGCGAGTTTCTGTCGCGACGTATACATGATCCGAGAAAGGACGGAGCATGCATGCGGCCTTGTTTGACGTACACAATGGATGACTGCTGCAGTGACGTGTCCTTTCATCACGGCAAGCAGCCGCCTGACGAAGGTCGAAAGTCCGTCATCTCCGAGGCTTCCGACGCTGGGCGCTGAGGCAGTCTGGTCCCCAGGAGGAACAGAGACAGCCTGTCCGTGCCAGCCAGAGAGGGAGGCTGGGCGAGCCAGTCGAGCGGGAGACAGATCGAAAGTGAGAACGTACTTGGAGTCTAACCTGGCCGGCCAAGCCCCGAGCAAAGCCAAGCAATGTACTGTGTGAGGAGTCTAAGAGAGGTAAGGCGATAGTGAGTGCTATGCATGTTGGCGTCTACATATGCCTTTTTGTCTTCTCTCTCTCTCTCTGTCTCTGTGTGTGTGTGTGCGCGCTGCTGATGTCCATTCTGTCTGTCTGTCTGTCTGTCTGTCGGTCGGTCGGTCGGTCGGTCTGTCTGTCTGTCTGTCTGTCTGTACATGCCCAAGCATACATGCAGGCTGCAAGCATGCATGCAGACATACCTACATTGACATGCGTGCATACATAGCTTCCAAAGTGCACCTACCCATGCGTGCATAAGAGCACAGGTGCATTTGCGAATAAGTGCCTTCAGGGAATCAAGAAAAATCAAGCTGGAAGCCTCTTCGTAGAGTCCCAATCCTGCTCATAACTGTGTGAGTGCTTTGGTGACTTCTTGTGCTTCCGTTGGCCAAATCCTTTTCGCTCAGTGTCAGCAGAAAGTCAGTGCTGGCGCTGTGGTGTTCTTGGCATAGGCCAATTTCAGGCAGCGATGGAGATTTCCTTCGGGATTGTCCTTGCAGGCAGCGGGTTAAGTGGAATGACGACGGCAGCATCATCTGCCTCGGTAGCTACAGCAGCTGCTGCTACAGCCGGAGCGACAACTACGGTCACTGCAGCGGCAACTGCTACAGCGGCGACTGCTGCAGCAGTCACCGCCCCTGCTTGGCTAGTTCCTGCTGCCTGCACAGCCGTCGGTGTGGTGGCAGCAGCAGCTGTGGCTAAGGCGGTGGAGTTTTTGCACATGTGGAGAAGCCAGCACTGAGGAAGCAGTGCAGAAAGAGCCCGGTGCCGTTCTCGGTACCGGCGCATTTGGGCAGATTACGTTGCATAAGGAGGGTATGCAGGCATGGGCGTTGAAGAAGGTCTCCCAGGCAGTTCTGAGCCACAGGAAGCTGGAATCTGTGTTGGATGTAGAGCGACAGGCTTTGCATTTGACTCAGGACTGCCCTTTCGTTGTGCAGTTTCACGGGCACGTCGAGTCCCGCCAGGAAACGATTTTGATATTTGAGGTTTGTCAAGACTTGGTTGACGTGTGCACGCAGGCCGCCCTTTGGCAAAGGCCAGGTGAAGGAGCACGTGGCTGCCGTGGTGGAGGCGCTCTCCTACATCCACGGCAATAGAATCTTCCAGCGGGACGTGAAGCCAAAAAGAACCTCCTGCTAGACCATGCGAACACGTGCAAGCTTTGTGACTTCGGCCCCGCAAAAATCGGAGTTGGACGTGCGCACAGCTTCGTCGGCACCGCTGAGTACATGGCCCCTGAGATGATCAACAGGTGTGGCCATAGCGCATCTGTGGACTGGTGGGGCCTTGGCTGTGTCGTTTACGAGCTTTTGACCGGCGGGATGCTATTCAGCGGCAAACGAGACCAGGTGTTCAGCACAATCGTACTAGGCCTCGCAGAACATGAACAAGTGCATCATCGACTCGACTCACCCGAATGCTGCTGACCTTATCCGGAAGCTTTGTGCCGCAACAGAGCAGGAACGGTTTCCAACGCTGGGCATGGAGGTGCCGAAGATCGAGGCCTTCAAGTCGCACCCATGGTTCGCTTGCGCCACCTTCCGGTGGCCAGACCCAGGCAAAGTGCAGTATCCCAGCTGACTTGAGGATTCATGCCCACCCCAAGTCTTCAGGCAAACAAGCCAACAAACAGAATAAGTAGAAAAAACCAACACTTACAAAGCACAAGCAAGCAAGCAATCAAGCAAACAACCAAGCCGACAAGAAGGCAAACGAACAATCGGATGAGCGGACACACAAACCAGAGGGCAAAACAACAATCACACAATATTTGCGAACCAACAAAACAACCCATTCAGCCCCCCCACCCACCAGTCAACCAGCCGAACAAACGAACAAACACCACGCAAAGACAACAACCGAAAAGCACCGACTGGAGAAGCGTTTTTTCCCACATTGAGCGTCCTACAATGAGCATGTGGGCATACAGCGCCTGGACAAGTAGGGTCTGGCCCGCTTTGGCTCGTCGGGTCGGGCGAGAAGTAGGGACGAGCAGGGTCAGGCACTGCCTCGACAAGTAGGCGCATGAGGAAAGTGGATTGGGATGAGTTTCCAACTTGCCATGCCATCCGAGGCGCGCGGTGCCAGCTGTATTGCCAAGGCTTGCTATCTGTGCTTACCAAGCGAGCGACAAGGTTGGCGCGGCATGTGCAACGAGCTCAACTTCTTCGTCCCGGCGGGTCAACACAAGCCAAAGCCAAGTTTCTGGCACGTGTCTGAAGAAGTGATCACTTGGAAATCTGCGGTGCGTGACCAGCTTACAGGTAATTGTTGTTAGCATATTACAGGCTCCGGGCACGCAGGTTTGGAGCATAGGGTCTGCGACCGGATACTAGGAATGCTTCATGCGCTGGAGCCCGAGGTTGTGGTTTACTTATAGCCGTTGGGGCGGTGTAAGATTGCGTCATGTAGGTTTACGATGTTTGTTCGGCCTCCAGAACTTCCGGCTGCATGCCGTCGCTTGCGAGATTGCAAGTTGCAGGAGTTGTATGTTTCAAGACTAATCGACGATCCCCTCCACGGCGCGAAAAGGAGCGCAAAGCGTCTCCTTTGAAATCCTTGAGTCAAAAGAGTCGAAAGATCAGGCGTTTCTTGGGCGGTGCACACACGCTTTCTCAAACTCCGGACCGGAAGATGCTGCGATGGCAATCGCCACGCCACGCATGCACAGGGCACACGCCCTCCACTGACTGCTGCTATACTAAGACCTGCTGTACAGGGATACTGGCAGATCAGCTTTGTTCACGAAACCTCTGCTTCCACATCATCTGGACGGTCCAAACATTCAGAGCCACTTGCAAGTGAGGTTCCATACTTTGAGTGACTTTCGGGGCCCTTGATCACAGCAGGGAGCATGCTTATCCAGTTTAAGGTTGCTAGGGCTCTTGGCTTTGCGCAAGATATCGCAAGATAATGTTCGGATGTGAATTTTCGCGTCTGCTCAGGTCCAGCCGGTCACACTCGCATGCACCAGGCCCCGTCAACCCATCCACTGGGCTTGCTCACATGTTGTGTCGGGAGGCTCTGCTGATGCTGTGCCGGCCGAGCATGGTGATGTGGAGGAGTGCTGGACTCAGGATCGCTCATCAAGCGCCTTTCGAGCCTATGCCCTATCGCGAAGGTCCGAGTGGATTTGGTCGCCCGGATCTGAGGATTTCGTTGGCATTGGAGTGGCAAGCGCCCTCACGGACCGTGCCCTTTGTTGGCACACGTCCTCTGTACAGGATTCTCAGCTTCGTGTTCTTCGCGCCGCGGCCCCTGGACTTGGCAGGTGCACGGTGCCATGTGTGCCTTCCATCCTTGAGTCTCTGAGGGCTCAATTGGCGCCTTTCTGCCAGTGTCTCCGCGCACAGCACGGCACAGTATCTGAGTAACATGTTTCGCGCGCAGAGCGGGCGGAATCGCGAGTGTGAGAGTACGATATATAATACAACATACAATATAGTATATACTATCTAGCGCGTTATATATGGCAGTAAAATGGCTAGACATCTTTCATTCATGTTTGACAGGACAGCCCCAAACTACAAATCTCCACACGTGGACATGTGAAGGGCCCGGCAGAGATGTCGGCTTCGGGGCATCGGTGTTGTGTGTCATCCACGGGAAGTGTATGTTGAGAGCCGGAGTTTCCATTGAAGACATCTGTGTTGATGCCGTTTTATGAGTTCATACAAACGATGAGGCAGGTTTGGATGGAAGGCAGCCCCAAATCACTGCGATGCTGGAGATAGAAGTAATTACTCAAATTTCTGACCTGGAGTACGTGTGATTGTTGCCGGTGCTGACAAGCTGGCAGTGCCAGTCTTCCATCCTTTCCTTCCACAACATTACCGCCACCATCACCACTAATGCTCATGATACTGCTGCTGCTTCTGCTGGGCTACTAACGGCCACTACTGCTACACCGACGACTGCCACGACAAAGCGCAGCCGCCACTGCTCGTACTATCACATAGCAAGAGAGCCCTTTCGGAGGCCGGTGGCAGCTGAGCGACCTCGTCCTTCCACTTCCCAGGTCGGGCAGCTGAGTTTTTCCTAAGGGCACCTGCAAGAGGCTCCTTTTCGTCGCATGTCGCGTGGAAGCCACCTCCTCGCACGTTCTCGACTTGTTTACCCATTGCTGCACGATTTGGTTCTGCAGGACACTTGTGCGTCAGTGTGGGCACCGCGCCCACACTGAGGCGTCGCATGAGTCGCGCGATTCTTTGAGGCTCGGAGAGCCACTGCTTCAGGGTGGCCAGAGGCACCGGCATCTGCCATCAGATGTGTTTGAGGCTGGCAATGGAGGCGGAGCTCCAGGAACTGGTGCCTGACGAGGTGGCTTTCTCGTGCCTATCTCTCTGTCAGAGATTCTGTGGCATCGTTCGTACGGTCGCTCCCGCAGACTGCTTCCCCCTGGACGTCTCAAAGATCCAGCCACCCCATTGGCTCCTCGGCCGCGTTCTAGCGACCCGCAGAAGATGTTTGGGCAAGTTTCTATAGTTTTCGCTTTGACGTGGCCGAGTCCTCCGGCGGCGGCGTGGTCGACTGTGACTCACTGCCAGGCGCGGTGGGGGTGGTGAGGGCGGTGAGGGCGCTGGGGGGTCCGGGCACACATTGGCAGCCTTTAAAGAGGGATAGAATCTTGTTTAAACACCTCAAAATACGAAGTACAGCATGAAGGCGGTGTGGGTAGTGGAGGTGGTGCAGGCTCTGGGGGCATGGGGGCGGTGAGTCCGGGCACGCATTGGCAGTAAACACACTCCCCTAACAACGAAAAAACGTCTCGGGATATCACTGGCGCCGCCCGCCAAGGGGGTCGGCGGAATAGTAGCAGTAGTCGTGGTAGTAGTGGTAGCGGTGGTGGTAGTAGTGGTAGTAGTGGTAGTGGTAGTGGTAGTGGTAGTAGTAGTAGTAGTAGTAGTAGTAGTAGTAGTAGTAGTAGTAGTAGTAGTAGTAGTAGTAGTAGTAGTAGTAGTTGCTGTTGCAATGGCAGTTGCACTAACTTGTAGTTTTGTTGTACCAGTAGTATTACTACTAGAATCAGCACGTGAGGGCACATTCTCGGCGTCTTGGTATGTGTGCATGCCAAGCCAAACCACGCCAAGTTTAAGCCGGCGTGCAGTTGCCACACCCTCACCTTCAACGGAGATGTCGGTTGCCAAACCATGCCAAACCCAGGACCCGTAATGTTCTCCGCCAAACCCGAAACCCCATGTTTCCCGGTTCGTTTCTAGCTGATCCTGATTTGCTGGCTTTGTTATTGTTGATCTGCGTTTCCCTATGTTTCCTCACTACAGTCCAGAGAGGGTATACAGTAGGATTTTGTTGTCGAATCTTTTTTTGTCCTTTGATCCAGACATGTTTGTTTTTTTGATGCTTAGCCGGGTTTCTGCAGAGAGACCTCCAGGCTGAGGGCTACGGAAAGCAACGCGCAAAGAAGGTGCAGCCAGTGCAATAACTTTTGTGGACATGTTGAGACGACTCTGCGCAGGGCATCCGGTTTGTGCGGTTCCCTCCCGTCCTCAACCTGCAGCTGAAGCGCTTCAGCTTTGACATGGAACTCATGGACAGGGTGCGAAGCAACTTCACCTCATGCAGCCCCAGCTCTCTCGTGCTGGCCACTGGTGCCGGCAGGTAAAACTCAACAGCCGTTTCGAGTTCCCAGAACGGCTCGATCTCTCCGAGTTTGCTCCTGGCGCTGGGCCCGGAGCTTACCCGAAAGCTCAACGCGCGAGAATTTTTGACGAGTGGCTGTGCTTGACTCTGAGGCACTTTCTGCTACACTCAGTGGATCTCAGTGGTTGTCCACATCGGTAGTGCCGACAGCCGACGTCTGAGACGTTCGCTCGCTTCAACCTCGATGAGCAGGGTTCGACTGTCGCAGGCGGTCATTATCACACGTTCATCAGGCCAGGGACCGAGGGCGGTCTCAATGGGTCCTCTCCTGTCCTGCCCAGCGCACAAAATGCCAGATTGAGAAATATTGAGAAGGCCACACCTGGACAAGCGATGGCTTAACTTTGATGACGACAATGCACCTTGACGAAAGAAAACGGTGACTTTTTCATCAATCACGCTTTTACCGGAACGTCAGGATTATGGCCTGCAGCCATCGGACTGCGGTCGACGACAACTTTGGAGGCATCTCAGCCGTTTGTGAGTGACAATGCTGAGCATGAGCGGCCTTGATTGACGCTGCGAAACAGGAAGCGAACCCAGCGCCTTCAACATCTTCTTCTGCTGCTGGCCGGGGAGTCTCCGAGTCCACAACGCGTGCTCCAACGTCAAAACGTGAGTCTCGGTGCCGTCGGTGACATTGTCTTTTATTTTGTTCCTCGTCGCAGGTACATCCTCGTCTACATCCGAGAGGACTGCGCAAAGGATATCTTGCGCATCCCTGATCCAATGCAGGCACTAATTGCTTTGCTGCAGCCCGTGCTGCCAATTGCCATACCTGTATTTTTCTGACCCCACGCCGAATTTCCGATTCATAGGTGAACAGCCGCATGGTGGAGAGGCTGCTGCGACAGCCCAGCTGAAAATGATCCGCGTCAAAACGCTTGACCAGCCATTGCATATCATTGCATTATGTGGCGCTCATGTTATTACATAAGGTGCAGTAGTTCAGATTGGACTCAAGTGTCCACGGTTCCCGCATATGTCTGCCGATCTCGAACCCCACCACGATCTGACTGTGCTCGTGTGCCGAAGTCACCAGCAAATAAGTACAACCATGGAGCTTCCTCAAACAAACAGGGGTGTACTGAGAACAGCATTGCAGAATGCAGCAAGAGTCATGTCTATATTTGTCTTCACTTCGCATGCGTGCATTCCTGATTGTGCTGTACTGTGCCCAGCCTCCGCAGCATCACCTCAATCTATCGATTATTCAGATGCCTGCTAGCTGCCGCTACTTTTCTCTTGGACAAGTCTCATGGCTGTTGGATGCCAGCAACAGTTGCCTTGTAAGAAACTCCCCTTGCATTGGCAATGAACGGTTTGCCCTGTCACGATTATCTGTTGCATTGCTGCTTCACTCACCTGCAGGGATCCCATGTGGCCAGCACGTGCTATGAATTAGCGATGATGAGCCTGGACCTCCCTTTTATGATTGATTTACGTGGCGTGCGACTGGGTTCTACTTTCCCCACATCATTGTGGGGTTCTTGTTATTTTTTTTGCTATGACGCCCATCCATCACTCACCATCCACCATGCATCCCCCATCCCGCATCCACCTTGCGATGCTGCTTTGTTCTCCTCGTCGCCGGACAAAAAACGGCATCACGGACTTGTAACCCCAGGCTTGGATCGAGCCTAGAGTCCTAGAGGGATTGCAGAAATCCAGGCCGACCCTCTGGCGAAGACACCCCTCACACTCGAGATTTCTGCTTGTCTCACTTAAGGAGTTCCAGCACGCGCGGAGCATCTGCACCACATCTGTCTCTTCTTGGCATGACTGTGACTGTGCATCTCGGCTCCTGGACGAACTGCCAGACGATAGCAGATAGCAGGTTACAGCCCAGAATAGACAGCGGTCAGTTCCATGTGCGATAGAATGGCAGACTTGATTCGGGAGTCGAAGCATCCAAGCGTTCCGCCGGGTTCTGCAGCTGTTGGGGTAGAAGCGGAGGTTTTGTTGCCGTGCGAAGGCATCTTCGATTCAGCAGGAGAGCTTGTATATTCTTGTATAGCATTTTCAGAATCCAGATGGCATCCTGCGCGCGTGCTTAGTGTACACGCTGATGGAAGCTACAACCGCAGCATGCCAAGACGAAGTGAAGTGACTTGCCATCTTGTTGGCCGAGCTTCATGGCACCTTGCGGCAGAGGTGCACTTCTACGTGGAGGATAAGGCTGGTCCTCCTGTATGGAACGAAATGGGGATGCTGCTCGTCTGACTCCCACTGCAAGTGTTGTGGTATGCTCAGGCTTCATGTCTCGTGCCAGTGGAATTGCCGCTGGGAGCCTACTGAGTTGTTCCTCCTGGCGTCAGTGGTTGTACCACCGTCGGGTGGACGGCGTTTGGGCCGAAGCACCTGGAACTTTGCTTAGCAATGCTGGTGCCGCTCCGCAGCACTTTTATGTGCGGTTTACTGCGAAGAAGCAGCTTCCGCCGTCTTTTCGAAGTCGCGAAGTCTTATGGATTTAGACTTGACTTGACTACGTGACGCTCTCGTGACGAAGAGTGGGTATCTGCATCGTTCTGGTTGCATCGTCTTGCGTGATCTCTTTGGCCTTGCAGCAAATCTGGTACTGCGCACAAAAGTTGTGCAATCATACTCTCTCAAAAAGACATCAACAGACGAACGAAGGAAGCAGATGCTGGCTTGGTGCAACCGTTCCGGAATGATTGGTCAACTACTCTTGACTTAACGGGCTCAAGCTTGCCATTGTCGGACTGCCCGGCTTTAATTAGATTGACGTTGAGATGGTGGGTCCGCGGAACGCCACGGCCGGCAGCCCTAGCATCGGGAAGCAAGGAACGAAGTGCAGGCGCCTTGATGCGACTTTGTGCCGAGGCTTGCCCACCCTGCCCCACCCGGGCAACGCCCGGGTTGCGGGGCCTGCCGGTCCTATTGGGCCAGAAGGCGGACGATTGGAGTTTCTCACGGTGCTTTTGCCCTTGCCACATTGACATGGTCCTGAAGTGCAGACATGGGCGCCCATTGAGCGCCCGATCCCTGTCAAGATTCCCGGGAAAGCTGCATGCTTAGCAACATCTCGGAGGGCACCTCATGTGTTGAATCGTTTTCTGGGAAGTTTGTGCCAAGTTCTGCGACAGGTGGAGAAGGTGGTGATCGCGAAGCGAGCCGTCAAGAAGATTCCGGAGCCCCGTCCTGTTGCACACCCAGCATGTCACCCATGTGCTTCGGAGAGCTTGTGCTGTAGTCGGGTTTAGGCATGAATTTCAGGCGGTGGCAGTGGTGGCGAGGCTGCCGACGATGCCGACGCCCTCCATCTTGGGCCGCATGCCAAGCCAAGCTTGGACTGAGAGCTCCGAGCTGGGTCGAGTTGCTGTTCGCTTCACGTCTATCGTACAGCACTTAAATGCGTGCCGAGGTGTCGAGAGCGGATTTTGGGGGGTCGAGTAAGGCCGGCCATGAGAGATCCTGAATTTGTATATTCGGTTGTTGGGCTGCTGTGTTGCTGTGTTGCTCTTTGCCAGGGCCCCGCTGGGGCCCCGAGAGAGCCTCGCCGGCCTGGTCGCTGGGCCCTCAGCATCCCTCAGCCTCGGGTTGGCAACGTACCAAGCCCAGAACCTGCTGCTTTCAGGAGGTCGGCGATGGGAGCGGCCAATGCTGCTGGATGAGAACAAATCCCAGAAGGAAAAAAACGGCAAAACAAAAAACAAGAACACACACACATCGTGCACGTATGCCCCGACCTCAGCTCTCTTGCATCGTGCAACATCGTGCAGAATGGGGAGACGCTGAGAACTTTGAGCATCCGCAACGGCCAGGCACTCTTCCAGAAATTGCCTTCGCCCGGCGGCCTTCTCCTTGCAGAAGGAGACCGGATGTTTGCAGCAAGAGAGACAGGAAAGGACGAGAGCGAGATCGAGAGAGCGACCTGCAGACCGACAGACGGAGTTGCAGAGACAATTGGCATGTTGAGGTGGCATAATATGCCGTATCCCCCTAGATCGAACTCCTCCCCGCCAAGTAAGAGTCTTTTGCCGCAGAAACCTGGGCGTGGCTTCTTCGTCTTGGTGTTTGCCCGGATCTTGGATTTCGACACGCTTCTGTCAAAAATCCTTCTCGGATGCACGGGCCTCTGTCTGGGATGACAGCATGACGACCACGTCAGGGCCCATCATCAGTGTGGTTGGGGGTTCTTCATTTCGGGGCACCGGTGGCGGGTGAGTATCAGGTGTGCCCGACCAGTGCATTTTGCCGAGAAACTCTTCTGCAACAGAGGTGCAACGGATGGCGCCATGTTTCAAGGCTCGGCGCAGCCGTCTTTCAACCGCGTAACTTCAAGTTTGCCGCACGGACGTGACTTTTTGAGGCTGCCTGAAGCAAAACGCCGGGGACTTGGGAGTTCAGCCCTTTGAGGGAGGAGTTGTCGGGCGAGCCCCGGACCATTATGAGCGCTTTTGTCCAAGCCCAAGCCCAAGCACTACCCCCTGAAAAACAAAGCACTGCTCGGCTCGAAGTTTACCCGGACCCTGAACGATGCAGTCATGGGTTCCGCAAGGCGTGAAGCCTGAAGCCTGATCCTCCCATGCGTGAGGTTCCAAGCCATGCCTGGCGACCTGGCCTGGCGAGGCCGGTAACGTTGATCCTGATCCATACGGGCATGCTCTCGGAGCACGGGGAGGGTGGGAGGTGGGACGGAGGAGGAGGTGGTGGCTAAATTTGGCTGCTGCCCGTTTCTTCAGAGAGCAATCATCTGCTGCTTGTGATGGCGGGCGCCATATAAGTACGATTCATGCATCCTACAGTGTGGCTGTGGCAGGGCCGAAGACCGGCGCTCGCCCAACAAACGCCTGTCAGAGGTGCCGCGAGGGTCAGGGCCGGTGGCTTGTTCTGGTCTTGTGCTCAGACATGCTGTCCCTGTGTTGCCAAAGTGTGTTCTGAGCCCATGCTTGCGAAAGCGAGCGTCTACATGGGGAAAGGCTGCTTTTTATGGGTTGCGATGCCACTGACTGATGTGTGTCTCCAGTGGCTGCCTGTGGAATTCACACGGGAATGGCTGCTGCGAGGTTGTGGATGATCACTTAAATGTGTCTCGATCGGTTGCTTTTGGAATCGAGCATCTACGTGGGGAATGGCAGGGTTCGATGTGTTGTGATGCCATTGATGTGTGTCTGGAACGGGTGTTTGTAGTAGCGAGTGTCTACATGGACAATGGATGGTTTTGATGCATTGTGATGCCACTGATGTGCGACTGGAGCGGGTGTTTGTGGAATTGAGCGTCTACATGGGGAATGGCTAGTTGTATATGCTGTGATGTTATGATCGTTATTGTGTATCTCGAGCGGCTGCTTGTGGAATCGACCGTCTACGTGCGGAATGGCTGGTATTGATGTGCTGTGTTCTGTGTTTCGAGCGGGTTCCTGTCGAATCGAGCGTCTAAATGGGGCATGGCTGCCTCTGATTTTTTGAGATGCTATTGCATCTCGAGCGGGTGCCTGTGGAATTGAGCGTGTACATGGGGAATATCTGGTTGTGTCGTGTTTGGATGTGTTGTGATGAGAATTATTTCTCGAGCAGGTGAAAACTTCAGAGAGGCTTTATGGGGATCGCCTATGGACTTCACCTATCGCGACATCTAGTGGCAATCTACGGCCTTGCAGGCGATCGAAGCTACCTAACCGCGATGGCGATGCCAGACACACGTGTTGATGTGGCCGCCCCATCTGAATTGATGAGTGTGTTCTGGGACTCCTGTCTCGGGCCGAGGTCAGAACGGCCATGGCCGTTGCTCTCAATTCGAAATGTCTTGGGCATCAGGCGAGATGTGCCTGCTTGGCCGTGCCGAGTTGCCCAGTTGTTTCGGCAAGGCGTGTTGACGACTCCATGGAGACCTTCTTGAGCAAAGTTCAAAGTGGCCAGCGGCCAAACGACCGTCGCTCCTGATGAATAGAACAGGATGCAAGTCGGAGTCGACACAAGGCCTTGCTCAAAGGGCGAGTAAGCGCCGACCATTCTCGGGCCCATCCTTGGTCCCAGTCGGGAGCCCAGCTTGAAGGACGCTCTGTCAAGATCTGCATACTTTCTCAGAAGGCTTGGGGCACGGAAACCGGCAGGATCCAGGCTTCAACCTGCATTACGTGGGCGAAAGCGTCCTCGTTTTCTTGCAGGAGGCTTGCCGAAACCCGTTGCTCTGAAATGTTTGAAAGCCCTGCCACAGATTATCAAAACCACTTTGGAACCCGAGCAACAGTCTTGCAGAGGAAAGAAGTATGGTGATTACGCACCGTGCAGCATGCTAGATGGACATTGCTTTGCTGAGAAGTTTGTTCTCAGGCTCTGGCCTTGCAGGAGGACTTGAAGGCCGGCCACAATGATTTCTGAGCAGCATGCATGTTCACACCACCACAGTTCAAGACCCAAGGACTCCAGGTGCTATGACAGGAGCAGCAAGACATGTCGAGACTCATTCAGCTTCACCAAGTAAAGCTGGAAGCCAAAGAAGCAAGAGACTCCCGACTCACCGATTTCGGAAAAGGAGTCGATGTGCCTCTCACGTCTTTGCTTGGCGAAGGCTTAGTGGGCATGGCTACATAGTGTAATCTAATTGCGAAGCTCACACCTGGTCATGTTCGAAGCCAGTTCACGGGGTTTGCTCTCGGTTCGGCTTGAACCAGTGGTCACAGGCAACAAAGGCGATGCGATCGCAGATTGTCTTCAAGTGATTCTGTATGATTCTGCTCCGCTGGTGGTGATAGTGGTAATGATGGTGGCGGTGACGATGACCATGACGAGGATGTCGATGATGTCGCTGACGATGTTGGTGATGACGGTGTCGGAAATCCGGAGGCCTGAGATCGGCTTACATGGGGCCATGTACTCCAGTGTACCCTCTCCCTTTTGTTCCATGGGCTCGGCTGCGATTTGTTGAAGCCACTT